AAAAAAAAAAAAAAAAAAAAAAAAAAAAAAAAAACGTCTCAGTGCTCCAAGGACTTATTTGGATTATAATAAGAATCAACAAAATTTGGGTCAAGAAAGAGTGCCATTGATTCTTCCATAAATAATGTTTTGGGCTTTTATCGGAAAGAACTATTTCTTACCTTTATTTATTTTGATGAACTTTAGCTGACTTTAAATAGAACCGGTTGCATATAATGTGCAACGTTATTTGTTTTGGAAAAGTGAGCTCCTTTATTTCCTCCTTTTTACTTTTGCTCATAAATTAAAATCATGCAAAAGCCTAAAAAAGGGCCTAAACAATACCAAGAGTCGAAAGGCAAATTGGATGGAAGGGATGTTTTCATAAAGGAGATTCCTTTAAAAGACCTTGACGATGATTGGAACAAGGGCATGGAAATGTTTGAAGACTCTGATAAATATGTCCATAAGCCCTGCACTACCTTGGTGTACGATAATAAAGCCCTCATTATCACTAATCATTCAGAAAGATACAGCCTATTCGACTTTCTCAAGCATAGAAAGCTAAAGTTTTTAGAGTGTTTGAAGCTGGCTGAACCCATCATTTCTGGTTTGATTTATCTTCATTGCCATAATCTTGTCTACTGTAGCCTGACGTCTTCAAGTATTATCTTGGATGAGAATAATACCCCAAAGTTTCGAGGTGCTGGTTTAATTAAAGTTGGATCAAATCACGCAGCTAGCAAACCAGCTTCTGAAGACGCTTTTCGTTGGATGGCCCCAGAAGTGCTTAAAGGCGACCCTCCTTCTTTCAAATCTGACATATTTAGTCTTGGAATCATCCTATGGGAAATATTAGTCGATGAAGCCTATCCGTACAAGGAAGCAAAGGACGCCGCGTTGATCAAAGAATGCGTACTTGGAGGCTATCGCGATCTCTTTCCACCTGACACGCTGCCTAGTTACAGAAAGCTTATTGAGAACTGTTGGCAACATGACCCTAACGACCGTCCAGATTCAATTGGATTACTCGGTTTCATACATGCTGTTAAGCACGATATGAAGAAGCAATTAGGAGAAGTAGAAGAAGCAAGCATACCAAACATTATAAAGCATCCTGGAAAGCTCAATCACAAGGACCCTGCTGACAACCTTTTTGATGTCGCCAAATACTGCTTCAAAATGGGCGAGTATGGAAAAGCCAGGACGTGGTACGAAATGGCTGCAGAGAAAGGAAGTGCCAGTGCTGCATATGAGGTTGCACAAATGTATATGTATGGAATCGGTGTGGAGCAGGACTACGACGAAGCAAAGAAGCGTTATGAAACTGCCGCCAGTATAGGATCTGTTGATGCTGTATACGCTATTGGCCTGATGTATAATTACGACTGTGGTGTAGAGCAAAACTATCAAAAGGCTATAGAATATTACCAACAAGCCGGTAATAAGGGTAGTGCAATGGCTCTGTACAGAATAGCCGAGATTTATTTCTATGGCGATGGTGTAGAGAGGGATGATCAAAAAACTCTAGAGTATTTAAACAGGGCTTCTAAGATGGGCCTACCTTGTGCTATAGAGCTGACTGGCTATATGTATGCTTACGGACGCGGTGTAGAGCAAAACGATTCAAAAGCTCTGAGCTGTTACTACAAAGCCGCTAGGGAAGGCTGTGCTTGGGGCATGATAAGCTTGGGAAACATGTACTACGACGGCACTTTTGTTTGTCAAGACTATGAAGAAGCAATGGAATGGTACCAAAAAGCCATTGACAAATCTAAATCAAATGATTTATGTAAGATACACAAAGAATACAAGCTCATAGTAGGTCCTGATAAGCATTATATGAATGCGCTTCATGGCTATGAGAAAGCCAGAAGAAAAAATTCAGCCATGAACCATAAATGAACTACTGATATCAATGAAATAAAGTGATAATACCATATTTTCTTGCTTGAAAAGTAATACGATAGGTGCTTATTATCATTGCGTGAAGTAATCACCGTGCTATATAGTAATTTGCTAAAGCCACGCCACTTGTCGCTTTCTGTAGTGAAATAAAGTCTCATCGATAACCTTTATACATAAGTTATACTATATTTCCAAAAATTATTGACACTGATGCCAAGAGTAAAATTCGCGCTTGTTAAATTCTAATGTCACGTTAACCATTCGTTAATTTCGCTTGCTAACAAATTAAATGTCATATATGTAGAAGCTTTATCGTACAAAGTATGAGTATATTAAGCATGAAAGCACCGTCAGCTTTCTTTTTCTTCTTTTTTTACTCTCTTTTTCATTGAGCTTTCAAATTTTCTATGAAGACGGGCACGGTATTGCAGTTGATGAATACGGTAGACCTGAGCCTATGGACTACATCTTGATGAAGAGCAATATGCTTTAGAAACAGTTAGTTTACGTACTCAATATTTGCATAATCAGGGTCAGGAAAATAATTTCGATGTAGGCTCTATAGCAGATGAAGATGCAGAAAATGACGTAGATGTTTGCATGAATGAGGCGTCGAATAAGCGAGCGTACACACTCTACACGGATCAAGACAAAGTTAGATTCTTTAAACTGATGCTTGAGAAAGCTATGAGTGCCTCAGCTGCTGCGAAGCAATCAGATATCCATGTTCGCACAGCTCAAAGATGGGCTCAAATGTACAAAACGGATCCTGATAGTATTTTTATAAAGCATAAGAAAACCGGTCACTCGCGTATACTTCATGAAGAACACAGGTGAGTTATCTTGGAGTACATAGATGAGAATCCTTCAGCCGTCTTGGAGCAAGTAATGGAGCGACTACTTCAAAAGTTTCAGGATCTCAAGGTCTCTAAAAGCACTGTCTACAATTTTGTAAGAACTGAATGTAACTTGTCACTCAAAACCTCCTGGGAATTCAATGGCCTTATACTGTTGATAAACTTGACTAATGGCGCCGAGTTGTCAACATTGATTCAAAAGCTCTCAAGCCGCAAGAAGGCGGACAACTTAGATTCTGTGGCACTATTCAAACTGATGGCGTTAGTGTCACAGTTTTCAAGAAGAGGTTCGATAGGCAAACAAGGTATACGGCAAGGTTCACAGTGGAGTATGAAGCTACCTCCTACATCACCAATCTAACTAGTCGAAATCACCAAGAGATTTCTGATTGATGCGTCGCTGTGGACCCAGGAAGAAGAGATATGTTGTATTTTGCACACGAAAACTCTATATCAGAGCAATCAGTGAAATTTCGGTACACCAAATAACAGCAAGGCAAGGCGTGGAAAACCAAGCAATACCGTCGAACACTGCAAGATTTCAAAGTCCAAGATCCTGGTGTCGTATAAGCTGAGCAAACCCTTTCTCAACAGCCAAGCAGCACCGTATTTGTAGAAGGCTTTAGCCGCTTCCTTCAAGCCAGATCTGAACAGTCTACCGTTCTCAGTCGATTCTATGGACATACCATCACAAATCATGATAATGGATACCTTCTCTTTCGCAAGGCCTGTCTTTCAGCGTACTTCAACAAACAACGTGCCAATCAAAAACCTATTCAAAACTTGGGCGCCAAGTTTGGAGAAGGCGCCATGTTTGTAATGGGAAACTGGTCTGCTCCCCATGCTAGGTATCATGAGCCCATCCGTGGCCTTGGTTTCCGAAGACTCCTCAAGAAACATGGGTTCCAAGTCTATCTTATAGACGAGTACAAGACCAGTAGGTGCTGTCCAACATGCCACAACGAAAGCCTTCGCACGTTCCGTCGTGTTCCAAACCCACGACCGTATCAACGAGAGCGATATTCTACGGTTGTCTGCCATGGCCTTTTAAGGTAATAATATATTAGCTACTTGGATGACTTTATACTGATTGAACATTGCCTGTAGATGCACCAATTTATACTGTAGACCCACCATGGCAGCACTAGATAGATATCGCTTATGGAATAGGGATGTTGCTGTTTGTCTCAACTATCTGCACATCCTTCGTGGACTTCGACTTAATGGCATGGTTCCTCATAGGCTTCGACGGATTGCTGTTGCTTCTACAAGACGTCGAAGACGAGTGGACGATCAGGAGCAACCAAGAACTAGAATACGCCTAGACGATGATTCTTCGTCCTAGTTATCGCTAGGACACATCTAGATGCCTTCGGGATAAGTTATATATAATGATTTTTTTACAGAAATAACTATATAATTCTTTATATTCTCTCCTTGGACCTTATTACTCTCATTTGTATGTCGTCTCCTTTTATACGCATTTTATTTTTAACCTTTGCGTAAATACTTTTTTCATTCACGTCCTCTTTCTGAAATTTATTTTTAATAAAACAGTAAGGACGACTGTCAAAGAAGAGATAATAGAGGTATTGCCAAACGGTGCATCTGAAATAACATTAGTAATAAAACTAAGCGAGTCATAAAAGGTCACTAGAAACAATTTTTTCATCGCTTGCCTCTTTGTTTCGTGGCAATACTCGAAGAATCAGACGCTACAGAGGCTTAGGTATATATCCCTTCTAAGATCATCATTGATTGAAGGCAGAGCAGGCTGGAGTACTTGAATCCTGCTGTGAGATCTAGAATGTCCGTAAATTGGTATTTTTTTTTCTCTCATCAGAAAGAGCTGGATTCAGCTGTATCACAAACTTCAAACGGTATTTAAATATGATAGTGACGTTCGAAGGATGAAATGTGAGTGCCAATGTCTGAGTTTGATTACATTTGCCCTGGTGCAAAGAATCACTGTTCTCTAATAGAAAGAGAAAATCTTTAGCTTACTTCCACCCTTTTTTGTATTTTAAAAGCCATGTTGAGAGGTGCTTCCAAACTTCGAGCAACATGCATATCGTCTGCGCCTAAAAGAAGCGTAGGCTTGACTGCTGTAAGAATGACGTTCAATACTTAATTTAGCCTTGGCTCATTTATGTTGTTTTTAGTCAAAGAGATTGTATACTTCAACCACAACTGAAGAAATTACCAATACAGCAACCACAACAAAGGGCTCATCCGTTGGAAAGAAGCTGTTATGGCTCACTGCACTTTCAGCCACTGCCTACTCTGGCGCAACCTATTATGCCTTAAAGAACGAAGCATTTCACGATACTTACACGACCTATGTTCCCGGTGGAGAAAAACTTTTAGACGCGCTCGAGGACTGGGCAGCCGATGAGAGAGTGAAGCATTACTATCGACAAGCCAAAGACATGAAGGATATGGCCTCCGTCCATGCAGAAACAGTCAAACGATTTGCGTCAGATACAAAGGAATCAGCCCAAGATTGGTATGAATATGTCTCGGACGCTATTGCTCAACTCAAGGGAGAAAAGGCACCACCTACCGTTCCTGGCACTGGCCCTTCTCCTTCAGCCAGACGTAGAAAGTTTAAAAAGGAAGCCCTCTTTGCTAATGTTATTCACACCACGGAGGATCAGCCTATTCCTCAATTCACTCCATCTGAACAAGATGTCTTGAACGATTTGGGCAAGACAGTTCAAGATCTGGTACAGGTGTTGAATAATGCTGGTATGCAAGGATATGCCAAGAGATTAGTTGACCTTGCCTCGAGAGATATCGAATCATTAGATAAAGCTTTCAAATTAATCAAGGAAGAAGACGACAAGGCTCGTGCAGAGATTGAAGTGCTCGAAAAGGAACTTGCCACTGTATCTCAACATGTTGAATCTCATCGTCAAGAAGTGTCAGAGAAGGTCAAGACTCTACAAGAAAAGGATGAAGCACGTGTTGACAAGTATATAAAGACTGTTGAAGCAGAGATCGCCAATGAAACCGCCAAGGTCGATCAGGAACACAGAGATATCTTAGCTAAGGAATTGGCTGCTCAACGTCAACAAAAACTAGTTGAACTTGAAGAGGAATTGAAGAACAAGGCGATTGAGATCCAGGCCAACTATGTAGAGCAAGTTAAACAGCAGGTTGAAACAGAACGTGGTGGTCGTTTATCTCAAATTGAAACTGTTGCTGCCAAACAAACTGAATTGGAATCACTTGCTCAAGCAGATGCCGAACTATTAGACGACAGTCGTAAAGCACACCAACTTCTTGTCGCTATTGATGCCTTAAAGAAGGCTGCTTTGGCCGGTCAACGTACACAATTCGAAGTAGAACTTGACGCCATCAAGAAATTGAGTACAAAGACACCCTTTGCGAAGTTGGGTGAACGTCAGAGTGATGAATTACTTCAACTTGTAGCTTCCAGCATTCAGCAGCATGTTGCACAATATGGTATTACTTCATTGGCAGAGCTGTCTGCACGATTTGAAACTGTCGCACGCGAAGTTCGCCGTGCAGCACTGATACCTGATGAAGATGCTTCCATGATATCACATCTCTTGTCTATTATCTTGAGCAGCCTCATGTTCAGAAAGAAGGGCCTTGTTCCTGGTGACGATGTTGAAGCGAGATTGGCCCGTGCAGAATATTATCTTAATACTGAAAAGGACTTGGAAAGTGCCGCTAGAGAAATTAATCAGCTGACTGGCTGGCCTAAGCGATTGGCTCTTGACTGGCTTGATGCTGCTCGTCGCCATTTGGAAGTAAAACAAGCGTTAGAGGTAGGTTGATAGAGGATAGACCATCAGCAGATGTTCATTATTTGAAATAGATTATGAAATCACAAGCATCTTTAATCAGCATGTTACAAGCAAATTAGACTTGGTTTTTTTAATAAAAAGAAAAAAGAACAATACAAACAAAGGGAAATCATCACATCTTTACCCATTTGTTTTGATTGTCAGTAGCTATGATTTTTATTTATTGGATTAGTGGGGAATATCATTCAAGTTTTATTTTGAAAACACAGTTTTATGAGAGAATTTTTGATGAGCTCCCAGTGACACCAGATATTTCAACCTCGCAATGACAGCGAAGAATGGCTCGTGGTTGTAAAGCATGCAGAGGAGCCTGTTATCTTAAAAGCACAGGGCATACAATCACCCTGTTTTACTTTCCAATAGAGAACTGTAGCTTTGCATGCGAAGCAGGGAGAGTATATATACGTCGTTTACAAGGAAATGTTATTGATCAACTAGGAGCCGCAAGGGTTTCCACGAGATCATTAGGCTCCCGAAATTATGATCGGTTTTATAGAGGGATTATGATATGGTATTCAAGTTCATTATGTATGATGCTTTAACGGCATATTCAGATGCTACTGATGTTATTCTCGACCAAACAAAAAAGTCTAGGGCTGTCTACATCCCCAAATATCTTGATCAAGTGTTACACTTTTTGAACAGTATTGATTTGTGAGACCATGATCTTTTGTATCTGTCTATTCTCTTGACAGCACTTTTGGAATAAGTTGGAATCATTAATAAAAAAAATGCCTCGACTTTTTTTTTTCTCTTTGTTTTTTCCTTTTATGCTTTACTCCGTAGTCCGCTTTCAAAAGGCACCACCTGTACCTCGTTTTTTCAAAGAAGGACTCACACTAGATCACGTAAGAGAGAGAGACCAAGTCTAATAATAACAACCCCTTATATACTAATCTCTCAACACAAAAGTTTCTTCTTCGAGCACAAGTCATTTCACTTTATCGACAGATTGTCAGATGCACCAAAGGCATGGATAAGTCCAATGCCAAAGAGATCATTCAGTGGGCAAGAGCCGATTTTGAACGACATCGTCATGAGACCAACATTGTACATGTGAGATCTATAGATTACATACCCTGTTAACTCTATTTATTAGGACAATATCAAGTCACTGATATCCTCAGGGAAACATCAAATGCACACCCTTCAAAACTCTGTTTCTTTAGCTCATGTCAGCAAGAAATAATAATAATAAAAATAAAAATAAAAAAACGTTTATTAATAAACAACCACTCGCCATCCACATTTGGTCACTGACACCTTGGGATCTTTGATTGCCAAGACGTCATTATCCATCGTATACTCCAATTCGACCGTACTGTCGCCTGAGATCACCTTGACACCTCTTGGCTTCTTGGAAGCTAAGATATAAAGACGCTCGATACGGATCGATTGATGAGATTCGGCAAATGCGGTATCACCTTCGGTCTTGCATGAGAGTTCTCCGTTGGCGTAGTTAAAGGTGGTGAAAGCGTAAATACCTCTTTGGTAATCGTACGTCTCTTCGTCATCCATGTAAAGTGTGCCACGGGCAATATGGTCCTTGGAGGGAGCAATGACAAGTGTATAAGGATCCTGTCTCATCGATCTTGAGCTGCGTCTGATACGTTCACGACGAGGAATGATCCGACCGCCACGGTAGTAGGCAGGAATGGTATCAAGAGGTGCGGATACGGTCTGAGAACCTGACTTACCAACAGCTTGGAATGTCTTGGTATTATACCATACCTATTTCATGATGAGTGATCTTGTTTCTCTTATAGTCTAATTTATGTACCTCATTGTCAGGGAAATAGACATTGGTAGACTGCGCGCCTTCTTCAGTCACTGGTTTGACAAGAATACCTTCGCCAACCATAAATTGATCTTCTGTAGCAAACAAACGTTCGTCTTCAGGGAATTCCATAAACATAGGTCGCATCATGGGTGTTCCGGTGCTATAGGCTTCATAAAAGAGTGTGTACCAATAGGGTAAAAGAGCATATCGCTCACGGAGAGCAGCTCGTGTCATCGATCGATATGGTTCTTCAGACAAGTAAGGTTCACGACGCTTGGTGTCAATATGAGCATGAGCACGGAAGAAAGGTTGGTATACTGCAGCTTGGTACCAACGAACAAGCAGCTCGGGCGTCGGGTTATTGAAGAACCCAGGCACGTCAGCACCTGAAAAGACAACACCACCAAGTCCGTTGGAGAGGATCATGGGGTTGCTGTAATAAAGTGATTCCCAGTTAGCCATGTTATCGCCAGTCCAGACAGGACCCACACGTTGAACGCCTGCATAAAATCCTCGGGTCAAGACGAACGGACGCTTTTGAACAGCCGTGCGTTCTCTTACACCATCTGTCGTAGCAGAATGCTAAAAGATATAAGTAAAACAAAATGACAAAGAATATAAAAGAAACTTACGGATAAGAAAGCGTAGAGATTATGTAACACACGATGCTCCCATTTTCCATCATGAATCATCTCCTTTTGCATCGTAATTTCTGGGCCATTAAATACAGAAGGTTCATTCATGTCGTTCCAGATGTGTACGTTCTCTCTTGTGCCCTTGAACTGATCAAATGCAAATTTACTCTTCCACCATTGGTACGATTCATTATGAGCAAAATCAACCCATGAGGACTGACCAGGCCAACACCAAGCGTCGTAGTCTGAACCATCTGGCTTTTTCACGAGCAAGTTCTTTTCCTTGGCCTCCTCGATGATGTTGTATCCGTCTGCGTGCTTGATGTGAGGATCAATGATCGTCACGAGCTTACGTCCCTTGCGATCGAGTGTTTCCTCCATCGAGATGGGGTCAGGGAATTTGGCCGAGTCCCAGGTGAAATACTTTTTCTCATCGGTGTATTCAATATCGAGCCAGATCACGTCGTATGGCATATCGTTTTCGTCAAACTGTCTGTCAACGTCGAGCACATCGCGTTGGTTAATATAGTTCCATCGGCATTGATGGTAGGCAATTGCAAACATTTGGGGTAGAGCAGGTGGGCCTGTCAGTTGGGTGTATTGACGAAGGACATCCTTGGTTGAAGGACCAAGAAAGATAAAGACGTCCAAAACACCGGCTTCGGATATCCAGTGTGTCTTGGTGCTTGTCACAGGTGAACCCATCACCTTTTGTGCCAGATTCTATAGGTACAGCATCAGAAACATGCTCCTGCATAACTGTTCCCAACTGCTTACCTCATGTGCGCCTTCTTTAGCCTTGACAATGTCAATCCATGTCTCTGAAGGGTTCATCCAAAAGATACCTGCTGACATCTTATGTTTGTGTGCAATCATGAAAGGAACGGATCCGTACAGAGCGGTAGGGCTATCGAGAGCGTACTCGAATACGTCGGTATTGTACAACCTGTAAGGTTCCTCATATGCGTTTTCTCCACCTCTGGTCTCCTTGAGCGAAAGGCTTGATGCGTGTTCCTGACAAAGGGGATGATTACGCCTATTCTTTTTATCATTCAAAAGCACTACTTACGGGAATACCATAAACATGACCAAATCCATGAAAAGTGATATCCATTGCAATCGATTCGGGGCCATTTGGCTTTGGGTCTGTCCACGTCTTGAACGTCTCTTCCCAAAGATCATCCTGTCCGCTCTCACCATCTTTGAGTCGTAAGTGCTCAAAGTTGAAGAATCCACGTTCGTTGAGAGTGATGACAGGTTGGTCATTGACCAAGAATTCGATACGCATAGGATCAGGATGTATGACAATGGTGCGTTCCTTGTTTTTGATGATGACCTCTTCTTGACTATCTACTGTGGTCTGACCTGCAAGTTGAGGTTCAGAGTAAAGAGTGTATTTTATATGGTCATCATAACGTGGTTTAATGGGATTCTTTTCATTAATTCGAACACGTGCTGTATTATCTTGCAACACGTACACATCCATCGTCAACACCACACGAGTTTCCTTGTTGATTATTTCTGCATAGACATGGTCATTATTTGCCTGGATTGAATTTGGTACTAATTGATATGGTGATGTGGTCACTTGGTCTGCATAAGCTCTATTGCGTCGACAAAAGCCAGACTGTGAACACGTCTTGAAGTCGTCAAACTTCATGGCTGTAACAATGGATAACAAGGTTAACCATAGGAATGTCAACCTTGACACAGATAGCTTCATTTTTTTATTTTTCGAAAAAGAAAGAAGAGAAATAAAAAATAACCAATAGAAAGATGAATTCCAATTCATACTAGCTTGTTACCCCTTTTCTCTTTCTTTCAGATGATATCACCTTTGGGACTATGCGTGAGTAATTTTTATTTTTTACGCAATATTATGCAATTGAGGCAAGTATATAAAATATAACAAATTGCCATTCTTTTTTTTCTCTCTTTTCTTTTTATTTTTAAAAATAAAATGACGATTAAACTATCAAAGACAGCCATTGATTTGCTTGATCAATCGATTCGATTACTTGATTGTTTAAATGATGATCAGTTCACATATGAATCCAAAGTGATGCCAGCGAGTACAATAGGTAAACACCTAAGGTAATAATAAACAAGACAAATAAATGACAAGACAAAACTCAGTGCTGCTAGAGGCATCTTTGTGATCATTTCCAATTACTTTATCAACAGTTATCGTCCAACACAATAAACTATGACATAAGACAGAGAGATGTAAGGATTATACATGTGTTTATATATATATATATATATGTACTCATCACTTTAATATAGACTCCTGCTGAAAATGAACGATCCATGGCAAAAAAGAAAATAAGAGAAATACAAGAGACGATCAAATCAAATGACTATACATCACTCGATACTCCTGTCTCTCTCACGGCTACCATCAATGCTTCAGATCATGAACCATGTCAATTTCAATCTAGTTTTGGAAGAGAGTTATTCTATTGCTGTATTCATGCTGTAAGTAATAATAATAATAAATTTACATGGCTCTATTTATTTAATGTCTTTTTCTCCATAGATTCATCATTATGCTTCTATTAAAGCCATCTGTATCGAACTTGGTCTGTCAGTTCCTACTGATTTTGGTGTGGCACCTTCTACTCTTCAATACAATGGAAAATAAAAAGTCACGCAGTACAATGTTTTGTCATTGGTTCAATAAAAGCCCACTGTAATGCAAATATAGTGATGAGAATAGAAAGCAAGGCCTTGTTTACAAGATCAGTTCTTTAAAAAAAATTAATTATGGGTTTCAAGTCTAAAGGAATACGAAGCTAAAAGATGCCTTTCTGTAATCTTGATTGAAGTGTAGTATGCTGAAAGGATAAGCATGTAGAATTACTTAAAATGGCTTCAATTGGCATACAAAGACGCTGCATAAGCTTCAGAGTGAGCACAATTAAATTTTATAATATTATCAACACGAAAAAATTATGCTTGTTATTGTACGTTTACCTCCTGTGTATTGATGGTACCTCTAGTAGGTCTGGGTGGGATAATGGATCCAGAGGAGGGAAGCAGCAAACTGTGCGGCCTTAGTCGCTGCTTAAAAGATTAAGGCCTGATGGCAATTCGATTGTAGCCGTAGCATCAGTGGAAGGTTCGAAATGAACAGGCTTGCTTTTCTTTTTTCATATCTTTGACTGATTAATAGCATTGGGATACTTTTCCTTTGAACACTTTATTCCAGATTTATAGTATATCATTAAATATGCTCTCAATATCTGCATTATGATGGATTTTACTGATAATATTACCTGAAGCATTCTTTAATGTCTATAGAACCTATTGATCTGTTATCACTCTGTATGTTATTTTCAGCTTCGTTTACCATCACACAGCTAATAAATTTGACGTCACAAGAAGACCTGTCGGGATTCAAATTGTGATTGGGAAGGGAAAAAAAGTTTTGAACAGAAGGGGCCGTTGCGCTAAATTTGTGTCTTGCTTTTTTCTTGTACATTAACTCAACACAACTCATCCCCCCTTCTCTTTCTCTCTTTCTCACTTTCTCTTTTCCTCAGCTCTTTCACCTTTTCACATGTTGCGTTCTTTTATTCGACAAGCTGCTAAACCATTAGTCAGAAACAACTTGACTAGACGTACTTTGCACTCATCTCCTGCTTCACTTTCGGACGCGATCTTTTTGGTAAATTATCCTGTTGTAATTTATAGATTAATATTAATCATTAACAACAGCACCGCGACACACCCGAAAACAATGCCAGCATTCCTTTTGAATTCAACGAGGATAACAAAAAACGCATTTCTGAAATCTTGAAGAAATATCCTGAACAATACAAAAAGGCTGCCATCATGCCTCTTTTAGATCTTGGTCAAAGACAAAACGGCTTCACTTCCATCTCTGTTATGAATGAAGTTGCTCGTCTATTGGAAGTACCTCCCATGCGTGTATATGAAGTTGCCACTTTCTATACCATGTATAACCGTCAGCCTGTGGGTAAATACTTTTTGCAACTCTGTACAACAACTCCCTGTCAGTTGGGTGGTTGTGGCTCTACAAAGATCTTGGAAACTATCAAGGAAAACCTGGGTATCAAGGTTGGCGAAACAACCAAAGATGGCAAGTTTACTTTGGTTGAAGTTGAATGTGCTGGTGCTTGTGTCAACGCACCTGTGATGGCTGTTAATGATGATTATTATGTAAGTGTGGATGGGATGATCATGATAGAATGTAAATTATTAAACTAGGCAATTCTATATAATAGGAGGATTTGACACCTGAGACTACTACCAAACTTTTGGAAAGCTTAAAGGCTGATAAACCAGTTACACCTGGACCTCAAAGTGGACGTCATACTTGTGAATACGCTCCCGGTGTTTACACTACCTTGAATTCAGAACCTTATGGTCCTGGATTCAGAGTTCGTGAAGATTTGTAAAGGAAGATAGAAATGGAATTTAATATTATTTTTACATTAAAAAAAGATTGATGGCTCAAAAGGTTTAAACGAGGATGTAAAATACAATTGTAGAAGAGAGATTTATTATGATTGATTCAAATATGAGACACATGTTGGAAAAAAGAGACTACCTTTTTTTTTCTTTTCATTCAGAGATAATTGTATGTACAATTAGTGTCGAGTTTGTGTTTATATAAGATGCTACTTCATGAGTAGATTTATTATATTCAAATATTGCAATGTTCATTCTGATGTGGTATCACTTAGTGTAGTAGTAGTTTTATTTGTACATGTGCACACACATACATTCACTCTTACAAAGAAAACATAAACTCCATTAGAATCCATTACATCACTCTTCCTTTTGTATTCTTCTGCTTATTGTTTGAGCCTGCTTTCGCCTTCTTTTCCGCTGGCTTTAAAATCTAGAGAAACTGTGTAAACAATCGCCCCACAAATATGGACCAACTATTATTACCTGGAAAGAGCACATCAAGGACTCATCTACACTCATCATAGCACCTGCATTATCAAACTCGCCACAATAATTGGGTGCCGAGAAAATTGTTACGAGCTGTCTTTTTGCAAAAAACTCATATCCATCCTCCACGACCTGATGAGCACGACAAATAAGGTCTAAATCATGCTTTTGTAGAAATCCGGAAACGACGTCTGCACCAAAGGTAAAGGATATCCCACGATCATTTCCGCTCCAGCCTACAATCTCTTTATCAGGGTCTGACCACAACAGATCACAGAGTAAACCGGTATCCGGAATATCTGTCGGACGCATGACTCTGCGAATTTGTTCCATTGACTGTAAATCGGGTGAAAGGCCTCCGTGCATACAAAAGATCTTTTCGTCAATGACAGCAGCGATAGGCAAACAATTAAAGCAGTCCGTAAAGGTTTTCCATAGCTTAATATTATATCTTCGTTTACATTCGTCATAGAAGCCGTATATACGATTGATACTTGCACTTTCATGATTGCCTCTCAAGATGAAGAAGTTTTCAGGGTATTTGATCTTGTAGGCCAATAATAGACAAATGGTTTCCAAAGACTGCTTGCCTCTGTCTACATAGTCTCCCATAAATAAATAGTTGGCGTCAGGAGGGAAGCCTCCGTACTCGAATAGTCTTAATAGATCGTAGTATTGACCGTGGATATCACCACAGACCTTGATAGGTGCTTCTAGGTCTAATAGAATAGGCTGGTTCATGAATATTTCGCGTGATTTTTGACAGAGGTATCGAATTTCATTTTCTCCCAGTTGAACTTGTTTACCAGGACGACTTCCTCTTACTTGCAATTTATCAGTTTTTATATATAAAAGAATAAAGGGCTTACCTTCCAATAGGCGTGATATAATAGAGTCCACATCCCCTTCGATCACTTCAGTCATACTTTTAATTCACACGCGTGTACACGTAAATAGATAAAAACACTTTTTGGCAAGAAAAATAGCCCAAAAATAAAAAAAAATAAAAGAAAGAAAAGGGAAAAAAAAAAAAGAGAAAATGATAAGCAAACTATTCCGGCTAATTGGTCACGTGAGAAGATCGTCATGTCTTTAGTAAAAATGAATAAGTATATTATTGTTCTAAAGAGTGGTTCTACAAAAGGGGACACTTATTTGTGTAAGCAAGCATTTTGATTGGCTATTTCTGGTCAATGATTTTTTTTATAAAAGAAAAGGATTTGTACGTGTCAAATCAGAATGAAGCAAAAGCTCTTTAAAAGGGCGTGCGCTTCCAAACTTGGATATTATTTATGTCGTCATGACCAACATTATTTTCAAGAATAACAAAATCAATAAATATGGAAACTAGTTTTTATTCATTTGCCTAAAATTACAAGAAAAAGAACCTTTGTATCATAATATTTTGACACATTAATAAGGAACCAAAAAAAAAAAAAGGAGAGGAGGAGACAGAAAAACATAAAAGGTGAGAAAGAAAGCAAAGAAATTCAAGCAGCGAATAAAAGTTTCTTCTCTCTTTCTCTCTTTCTTTCTCTTTCTATTTTCCCCCCTTTTCTTTTATGGATATACCCAATAATAATAATGGGGACAACGTCCCTCGTATACGTAATATTCACCCTTCTCAACTTTCACCTGATCATCATTATGGAGCGACTGATCACTTTGACGAGCATATTCCTATTGAAAGAACGACAAGTACATTCTCTGAGCGTCTCGGGTCCTTTGTTGGTTCCTATTCACGTACTTCGATGATGTTTATGGCAGAGAACTTGACTGTGCCTAATGGTTCTATAGTAAGTGTAGATGAGTTTAAGAAACGGGGTTGTTGATATTTTATAAAGTTGGATGATGAGGAGGACAAATATTCTGATTACTATACATCAGTTTCACGGATCCCTTCCACTGTTTCAAGTCGACTGTCTCGGGTTGAATCAGGACCAGGAGCAAGTACAAGCCACGGAGAGCATGCTTCGTTACTGTTTTCCCATTTAGATAAGGTACTATCGACTCGAAGTGTAGGAACAGTAGCAGATGATTACAGATATGAACCACCTACAGTCACCAAAAAGTCATCATTTACTCAGTCCATATTTAACTCGATCAATATCTTGATCGGAATCGGTATTCTGGCGCTACCCCTTGGTTTCAAAGTACGCAAAGAGAAAAAAATGCTGCCATGATCGAAACACACTGACATAGTTACATACATAGTGTGCTGGATGGGCTGTAGGATTAACTGTCTTTGTCTTTTGTTGTGGATTAACCAACTATACAGCCAAACTGCTTCAGGAATGCCTAGATATTGATCCTGAGTCAAGAACATATGGTGATATGGGAGCACTTGCTTTTGGACTGAGAGGACGTCTTTGGGTAACTGCATTATTTATTACAGAACTTATAACAAGCAGGTAATGTGTCTATATTCATATATGATATCACCCCAAGCAAAAAGTGTATTTACTCATTGTGTAGTGTTGCCTTGGTTGTGCTACTAGGAGACGGTATTGATTCACTCTTTCCTGGATTTGATCTCAAGACGACTCGATTGATCTCCTTCTTTATATTGACCCCCATGTTATTCTTGCCTATCCGACATCTCTCTTATACAAGCTTATTAGGAATCATCAGTGCATTTAGTATTATCTGTGTAATTGTTTATGATGGAGTGAACAAGGAAACAGCACCTGGTAGTCTTATTGAACCAGCTGTAACTAAAAAAAAAATCATGAAACAAAAAGAAGCATATTCTCATAGCGCCTCTTCTTTATAGGATACCGAAATATTTCCTTCAAATTACATGACAGTTCCTCTCAGCTTTGGACTAATCATGGCTGGATTTGCAGGCCACGCTGTATTTCCCACAGTCTATCGAGATATGGAAAACCCTAAACAGTATCGTACGATGGTCAACTGGACTTATGTTGCAACCACCATTGTTTATTTCGGAGTAGCAGCTTGCGGTTATTTAATGTTTGGTTCACAGACGATGCAAGAAGTAAGGAGCATATTCTGATACCAGTAAGCATGTTAAACATGTTTATAGATTACGCAAAATATTGTGTCCATACCAGAGTACAATCAAACGCTCAATCGTCTTGCTGTTTGGCTAATTGCCATGAACCCTATAGCCAAATATGGTCTGACGGTGAATCCTGTAAATATCAGTTGGCAACTATGGCTATTGAAAGGAACTCATCTCGAAGAGTGGTGCATCAAGGGACGTTGGCGTGAACCCATGATTATGTTCATTGGAAAGATCACGGTGAGTGCGTTTATCGTGGTGTTGGCTTATGTTATTCCTGGGTTCGACAAGATTATGTCGCTCCTGGGAGCCTTTTTCTCATTCATGATCTCTGGCATTTTCCCCCTCGTATGCCACGTACGACTGTTTGGAACGACAATGACTAGAAAACAAAAGATATTGGACTATACGCTTATTTTTATTGCATCCTGTATGGCATTCATTGGTACACTTTGGAGTTTCCTTTAATGGATCCATTCATTCAGGTCCTTGTGAAATGATGGTATTTTGTTACTGTTGTGAACATGATTTAAACTTTCATCAAGTATCTTTTGAAATCTTTGTCTGAATAAAGGTGATATTGTCATCAAAAGATTGTCCATAGTTTCAAATGGTATTTGCATATTCTTTTGTACTAATCGTAAAGATGATGCATCGATCGTGGTTAATAATGGAGAGCATGACAGTATCTATGAGTATTGTTTAATCTTTTTGATAGACATGCATAGAAAAGTTGCTTTTTACTTTGTATCCTTGTTCGGATATCTCGATTACGACTATAATGTTTTCTAATAGCGTCAAATCCATTCTAGCAAGATTGTTTAATTCATCTTTGACAAATACTGTTGCTGATCCTGGAACAATACCATAATCATAACTGTGTGTTAGCTGGTCTAATTCATCATTTAATATATCGCGTCTCATTTTTAAAAGAAAAAAAAAGAAAAAGAAAAAAGAAAAGAGAGAAATGAATGAGAAACATTGCTTAATTTTCCCATAAATATATGACGGAAACTTTAATTTTATTTTCCTTTTTGCTCAAGAAGTTCCATCATCTTGGAAGTGACTCTATAGAGTTTGTCAACAGATATAAATAATATTTATTTACTCTATAAAGAAACGCTTCTTTGGGAAGATTGAGGGTAGAGCAACCTCTATTTTATCAGTTTATATTGTTCTAGAACATGAGTTGCTTAGTGTGTATAATGAAGAGCCGTTTTTTTTCTCGCAGCAAGATTGTCAAAAAAGATCTAGCTCGACCCTTTTAATCCCAGACACTAAAAAAGAATATAATATACGCGTAAACGTTGTACCTTGTCTGAATATGCATAAAATATGGTATGATGAGACAAAGGATCAAGTTACACATTAAAGTTTTATTGTTGTCGAAAAGGAAATAACAATGGATAAGGCCAAGATGATAAAACAAACTATCAATGTATAATATTGATATCTGACAAAGCTATGCTCTCTTTCAATAGGCATTGAGCTTAGCTGTGGATAATGGGCTTGAATAGATTGCCAATAATACCCCATCCAGTTCCTTTCAATAGACCCTTCCTCACTCGCGGGAACACCGGTTTGGTTGACATGTATCGTGACACCTTCCTGGGAGTTTAACAAGTTGATGGTTACAGTAGAGAAATGCCCTAGAACATAACAGTTAACACTGTGTGTACAAGTGAAACCTGCTTTTTTTTTTTCTACCTTTTGGCCATGATTTTAATCTCCATGTTTGTCGAATTTGCTTGTTTGGCATCAAGTCAAGTAGTACACCTTGTACATTACCATCAAATAATTCAAATGTAGATCCGGCCTGCTTTGATAGTTTTAATGACTTGCTCGTCCTTGTCCAGATAACGGCACGTTTTGGATCCAAGAGTGCTTCATAGATCTGTTTTGCATCACCTCCCTTGAATTCAAAAGAATGATTGACAACAGTCGTCTTGACAACCGTATCTTTATCCTCACATGATCTAATAGGCTGCAAGGATACACTGGACTTGTTTTGAGCAGGCTCTTTTTTGTTGCTACTGTTTACATAGAGGTCTGCGCTATAGCCTATATTGTTTCTACTTGATATTTTTTTCTATACTGCAACTATTCTTTTGACTTACTGTCAATTAGCTCGCTAGCAAATTTTGCAAGCCTCTCTTTCATTAAAGGTATTAACAATGATTGAACAACTTGCTTTGCTTTCAAATCAAATTCGGATGATTGATTGACTGTACATTTAAACTATCCGTTATTGAGTTGATGGGATATACACTAAATGAACTGATATCGTACCACATATTCCTCTGTATCATATGCAAATTCAGGTACAGAAATCGTTCCAAATGCTCGCTTATCGTGTTGACTGGCTAAACAATATCCATTAGCCACACAAATATAACTTCCTCCCAAAGTTACCTTCCCAGCTAAATTTCAAAACTAAATCATAAATGGCAAACAGTTTTCCTTTTCTTTGATTGAGGTCGACGTCACCGTTGCATTCGTCTAAACTTGTGATTTTCGCATTCACATTGTCTTTCTTTGTTGAAAGATCGACCAACTGTTCTGTCAAGTATTTCTTTGCCCAAGGACGACAATCCTTACTGACCCTAAATGTCATGAGCAAACACCCCATTTTGTGTCAATCAACTCTACATGAAAAAAAGCTTTGCTGCTGTATATACTCTTGTCATTACCAGTGCCAATTGTTTACATTCCTCATGTCGCTCATCTCTAATAGACGCGTGTGTCACTTATTAAAAAAAGGTAGGAAATAGATAGTGTGTCACGATAAACTACATATTCACAGACACTGTCAAACCCCACTTTAATATTGAAATAGACCTAGGCGTTTATTATTAATGCTTTGTGTAAAGAAGAAGAAAAAGATTAGCTGAATGCAGGAACAGACCTATAAAGCTGGTTTAGTATACTCTTATTTTCGAAAAATGACCACTTTACCTTTGAGACTGAGCAGGGCTTCCCATCGTTATCTGAGGGCTTGTAATAACATTACTACCCAACGATGCATTGGGACTTGCACTAGCTTGAGGACTGTTGGGAAGATGAATAGGAGCATTAGCACCAAGCGAAGGTTGACCTCCAGTGGATTCCTTGATGGCCATCAATTGCTTGGCTCTAAAGGCTTCATAGTGTATTTGAGCTGTAGTTTCGATAAGGTCCTGAAGATGAGTACGAGTTAAAAAGTTGCGCAAATAAATGAATTCACAGTGCTCTTCGTTTTCAACTATTAAGCCCTGTTAGTCATTCTGTCAGCCACATCCTCTTTCTCTCTTACCATTAATGACACCATATCTGTTCTTTCTGCCTCTTACAGGTCTGCCATCTATGACGACATTACGCTCAGAGCCAACAATGGCAAATGGAAGCAGGTCCTGTTTTGAAAGTATAATTAATATATTGGTCTTTTGAAATAAAAAGGGGACATACTCGAATGCTTTCATTCAATGCTTGTTCTTGTTCGTCATCCTCGTCACTTTCATAAGGATATAGCTTAATGTTATGAAAGATTAATTCTGCCTTGATTCTTTGCTTAAAGGCAGCACGTTCCTCAATAGTAAGAGAGTCCGACTTGGCAATCACAGGGACAACATTAACAACTTCAGAAAGCTTCTTTAGCACAACAACATCAATAGGCTTCAGTCTAAACATACAATGAGTTACATGCTCATTCAAATTGGACGCACTTACGCATGACCAGTAGGGGTAATAAAGAACAAACAGCAGTGAACACGAGTATCCTGAATGTAACGATCACGCGTGGCAGTTAATTCTTTACGTAAATAAGCAGAATGTTGGTCTTTGATGTATTTGATGATAGGTTCCCAGCTACAAAAAAGGTATGAGTAAGCCTAATTAAGAAATAACTCCCAATTTACCAATTCTCGTTGTTGACTTGATCTCCATATCCAGGGGTATCAACAATATTCAATCTAAGACGGACACCATTTTCTTCAATTGCTATAACCATGCATAAGCAAATTGAGCAATAAGAAACAATCTACTTACAGTGAGAAACGGTCTGGATCTCAGTTGTCTGTCTAGGTGGTTCCTCAGCAGAGAGACGACCTTTACTTTCGATCAAGTGGGATGCAAAGATAGTATTGACCAAGGTAGATTTACCAAGACCAGATTGTCCTATTAGAATATCAATGAGTGAAAAAGCACTGCTGTGTACAGATGCATAACTTACCAACAACCATCACATTAAAATGAAATCCTCGTTTCAACAATTTTTTCTCAATTTGCTGAGTGATTGTATCAAAGCCGACATAACCTTCCAAGGCAGTGACCTGTGATGTCTAGAATAGATGATTAATAATAAATCAACATGAGATAGCCCTTTACATACAGTTGCTTGTTCGGGAACTAAGGAAACGGTAGACATTATATTATATAGTAAAAAGAAAAAGAGAAAAAGAGGTGATAAAAACAAGATATAAAAAAGAAAGGAGAACACAATAGGAGTAAAAGAAAAAGAGAAAACAAAGGGGGAGTAAAGGGAAGTGCCTGGGAGAAAGCATCAAAAAAAAGGGGGGGGAGGACATCTGTAAGCATAGATGGAATGTAAGGGTGTGGAAGTTCCTCTTTTTTACCCTTTTCTACCCATTTGAGTTTATGCTTTGCATTTGAACGAGCTTTTGATTTTGCTTTATGCGGTACTTGAATAAATATACATTTTTTTTATTTTTTATTTTTTCTCTTTTTAGTCATGGCAACAGCAGTAGATTCTCCACGCATTCAACAATTAGCTTCATATTTGAATTTTCAAGCACGCATTACCATTACAGATGGTCGTATATTCATTGGCACGTTTATGTGCGTTGATAAACAAAAGAATGTTATCTTGGCCAATACAAAAGAATACAGAGGAGGTTATATAAAAAGATTCTGAAATACTTGTATTCTAATCTATTTTATATTAGCTGAGGAAAGATTGGTTGGTTTAGTCATGATTCCTGGAAAGCATCTAGTCAAAATGGAAACTGAAGACTTGGAAGTATCTCCACTTTATACTTGAGTAGAAATAGCAGTATTATGTGTGTGTATATATGTATGTCTTATTGCCCTGAAAAAAAATAGTTGGGGAGTTTATATAAATGTATTGTTGTAGTTTAATCATGCAAATATAACGAAAAATATACATATTCTAGTTCTTTTTGTGTTTCTTTAAGAGAGGCATGCTAACATCTTCGCCGAGAATATCCTTAAACATCTCACGTTTTCTTTCAGCACCCTTTTCTCTTTCTATCCAATCATTTCTCTTTCTCTTGAATTGATCTATTCTACATGTCCAAAGGATACCTTTACCAATATAGTGGCTACTTAAATCATGTTCATGCTTGACTAATTCACCAGCAATTTTTTCTTTCATATCGATGTCTGCTGCTAACCAACATTTTTCTATAATATGGCTACCAAATTTATCCTTGGCCAAAATAGTATATTTGCCTAATAAATCACGAATGATCTTCTTTTTCATCTTGGCTTCAACATGACTTGATGACAAGATGGCTTCAACTGCTCTTGATCCAGAAGGAGAAAAGCACCATTGATAGACAACATCAGGTCGTTGTGATAAAAAGCTGTTTACCAAAATAGAGTTTGCAGGGGATTCCATTTTGGCAATGCCTTGAACAATCAGTGAACCCTGTAAATGGAACCTATAAAGGTTACGTCTATCCTCTTCTGAGCTTTCGTTCCATTGTTTGATTGTCCACATACGCATGCAGCAGTTTGCAAATTCTTTTCTATCGCTATCCTTTGGCATATGTAATGCAGTGGCTAATTGTTCAACTATTTCTTGTTGTGATGTTTCGTATTTAACTGATGATTCGACTAAACTTCGGATCACACCGTACTTTCCTTTATCTATATGTGTGTATTATGTTAGATAAAAACGTTTATATAAAATATAAAACTTACTTATAAGCTTTTCAAAGGATCCACTCAGCTCCTTTACCATTTCATCCAACTGCTTTGATTTTCTAACATGACTTATCAAATGTTGAACGACAAAATTAGCAATAGGATGAAGACTGAATTTTTCAAGCTTTGTCTTGATGTAAGTCTTGTAGACCTTTCTATAGATAGCGTCTGGCGCGCACTTTAAGATGACTTCCAACAAATGTGACCCAACAGGATCACGAATAAGTGTTTCAAACCATGCGTCTCTGTCTTTGTTTTCCTCTTTAGAATCAATATCAGTAACTATTCCCCACAGAACACGATCGATCAATATATTTCTAGCCTTCTGTCCTTCTTTATCATCTTCTTGCATTTCCAATAGTAACTGTGATAGTTATAAGTATACTCAATCAACTGTAATATGAAAAAACCTTACCTGGAGAACAGGGTTAGCCACTTTATGGACCGACAAGGAACGAACTTCAGTTTCTGACATATTAATAGCTAATGCTGTCGTCAGAGCTCTGAACATATCCTTAAATGATTCAGGCACTTTTCTTTTGCTTGATGCATGTGATGATGCCTACACGATGGGTCAACTCTTTGCTCTACTCCCGCTTCTCCTTTAATTTACCTTGGTCAATGTATCATTATTCTCCTTCTTGTACTGTAATGACTTTTTGCTTCTCAGTTGCCCTTTGGTATCTGATGTCTCGTCAATTCTTCTACCAGCCAATACAAACAGCAAAATACGGATATCATGTGAAGCAAACTGCTGAGATATTAATCCTCCAACATGGGGTTTAATATCCTCACAAATGCTAAGCACTAACTCTTCCATCGATGGCTGATCCTTTTCTGCTACTCCTCCTTGTTCCATTTCCTGTTCTACAACGTCAGCTGCCAGTGTCAGCAATGTCTGACAGACATGGGAAGCAAATCGATGTGCAAATAATTCAACCGTGTTGCCTCGAATCTTGCTCATAAACACTCGAAGTTGTTTAGCATCAGACACTTTAAGTAGTTTTTCTAAAATAAGCGAGCAAGAGTAATTGGTAGCAAGACGGAACTCGTTGCCGTCAACTTCATTATATACATTCTCAACAAATAGTCTGAGATCTATCAAGATCAGTTAGATCAATGTCTACATTTCAACTTGATCTCTTTACCTTCACCCGTCTCGAACTGAGGATCATCCAATGTTTCTTCAACATTCTTAAAGTAGCCAAGCATTTCTTCATCGAGTTCACCAAAATGAGCGGCTTGGAAGTGTTGTTCAACTTGGTGAGATTCCTCTTGTTGTTGATTCAACTGTTGAACGTCTTCCATAGCCTCTATTTGGTCATTCTTCTTGCTTCCTTTCTTTCCTCTCTTCTTATTGTGTCTTCCTTGTCTTTCAGTACGAGGCATGGTTTTGATAGAGTGAAAGTATAAAAAATAATTGTACTGCTTTTAAGAAAAATTTAATGCTTATCAAACTCCGTTTGAAATAAATTGAGGGGACTGCTCCGATTTCTTTATCGCGTCTTTTTTTTTACATCTCTTTCGAATACTAATCATTTTTCATCTTTTAAGCTGCCCAGTAACTGAGTGAGCACAGCGGTTAGAGAAACAACAAAGATATTTTGTTATGATTGCTGGCCCCCTCTTTCATCTGCTTTGACGCCCACCAGTGATGTTACGATATGGTGAAAACACTCGGTCAGAAACCTTTGTTTAAATGAACTACTTGAAGTATTAATCAGAACAATGAAAAATTATAAGCCAATGAGTCCCTATATAACCTCTTTATTAATATCAAGACGAGGCAGAACCCAATACTACAAACAGCATCATTTTATATGAAAACAGAATTTTTAAAATGCTATATATATATTTCTAACTTTAGTTATTCTTATCCCATTACTCTGATTAGTACATACCTTAAACTGTCACCCTTCACTCTACCTTAACAATCCTTCCATTCTCTTGGATTTCATACATCTCATACATATCATCCATTTTTAAGTCCTTAATATAAATCCACTCATCACCATTCACTTCTACAGCACTAATTCCCCTAGAAACTAAAAACCCCTCTAATGCTTTAACTTGTTCATCTGTTGTACTAATAGTTTTATACTGAAGCACATTTCTTTCTCCTATACCAACAGATGGAACAACTTCTTGCAACTTCACTTTGAACCTTCTTTGTACTTTTAAATCAAAACATATAAACGTAATAGCAACTCCTTATAATAGAAGGAAAAGAAAAAAAAAATATTAAGGAACCGATTAAATTATGGCCAATGATAGTTGGGCATGTCGCGTTATATGTTAATAACATGTATTGTTGTCAGTATCTTTGTATTATTCATTCTTAGAGTATAGATTTATAGTAATCTTATACGACAAGATTAAGTATTTATAGGGTAAATACGACATTGCTGAAGGTTTCGTTCTCTTGGATGTTACAGAAGAAACTCTTGACTGTATACTGAAATCACATTTTCTCCTGAATATACAATATAGGTCTATGATAAGGATATACAGCTCCCATCCTTCACTATGTGTTTTCAAGGCTGCTGTTCTAACCTTCCTGACTTTCAAATCTTGACTATTATTTTTAATGACCTCCTCTCGTCAATATGATAGGAAAAACTTGTGGTTTGGCTCGATTGAAGAAAGACATGATCGCCATTCTCTCTGCGTTTGTAACTGTTTAGGATAGCGGAATTATTTCTGGCACTACAGGAGTTTTTTTTCGGTAGAAGCTATGTTATTCTTGAGTTTTCTAGTTCTTCCTAATCTACATGAATCTGTTTTAATATATATAAGAGAGGCGATATTTTATGCAAAAAAAGGATACAACAATTTCTTCAAAGATCTAATCTTTATACAAATGCAAATCAAGCTTGTTGTTCTTACCATCTGTGCTTCTCTTGCCGCTCTTGGCTTTGCTGCTAATCCTTTTAACAATATTTCTAAACTTAAATCTGTTGTCCGTCGTTTAAAGAATAATCCGCAGACTCTGCTACTTGTAAAAGAAATTTCCAAAGATCCCGAACTCAATAAACAAATACATGCTGTTGAAAATAAACTCACTGCTGAAAGAAGACTTGCTCTTGCAAAAAATATCGGTTTATAAAAACTCGCTGCAAAGATTCCGAAATCAGTAAAGGAGCGCACGTTGTCAAAGTATAATAAAGCATCAATAAATCTAGTTCTTTTTGCACATATGTTTTCCACTGTTTTTTGTTTCTATGCGCCATTAATGGATAATAAGGATAGAAGGCAAATAAAGCTACAAGAAAGTTCATTGGAATAAAGCACTATTAAGAGTAAATGATCACATAAACATGAATACATTCGTGCACTTCACCAAAAAACAAAACAAAACAACTTTAAATAGGGATATTCTGCTTTCTATATTATGAGCTTCCATGGATGACTGCCACGCTAATTAGTTATTTACACAACATTACTAATAAAGGACGTTATTAGCATATGGCTTCCTGTTGCAATTTTCAGTGGACACATCATAGGTAAAGAAGATATGTAAATATAGAAAGTATATATTTATTTATGATATATTATTACATGTGTTATGGATAGAGAGTGGATGTCCAAAATAAGGACAGAAAAAGAAGAAAGAAAGTTTAATAAGGCACGTGAGCTTGCAGAAATCCAAGCATAGCGATAGTTTCGCCAAAGTACGTTCCTTCATGATCCTCATCTATATACTTCATCACTTGCTGCAGCTCCTGGTGTCGGTCCAACACCCAAAACAAAAAGCTTACAGGTGCATTAAAGGCCATGTCACTGTAATCGACGAAAGGCTTGCCGTCCAGATGATAACCTGCCTTGATCTCTCCTCTTGCCAGCTGATGTGCGAAAAAGTTAGCCTCTGTGTCGAGCAGCTGTCGAAGGCGTTGATCCTTAGACAGCATGTAATAGTGACCTAAGCGCCATGGCACACGACATGAGTTCCAATTATAGTCTGGGTCATGCTTGCTCTCGAGCACCTTTTTGTGAACTGGTTGATAGGTTCCTGATCGATGATCGAGGCTTAAGAAATCAGCAATGAGGCCTGTCTGTGGATGAAGAGTGAGCTGGATATGACATGTGTTGATGATGGCATTAATGACATTTCCCCATATATGCTGACGTTCTGTATCTTCCTGTAGGTAAAAGGATAAAGTCAGTTATTTCTTTTTCTTTTCTTTTCTTTTTCTTTACATGGTAAAATATCAAGTATCCACTAAGAATAAAGTCACTGGGTCTTGTCAATGCAAATGCTTCATCCCCAGGATCGGCCCAGTCACCCACCAAAGGCATATATGTCTTGTGATTGAAGCAATGTTCCCATATGGAGCGACATAATTGAACAGCAGATGATCTATAATCAATCTCTCCATGTGCTCCACCTCGTCCCCATACTTTAGCTGCCAAGAAAAGTGATGTTGCAATATCAACGTCGCCATCGGTTGCACAATTCTCTCCGCCTTCATCTCCTGGGACAAATTGTCCATTGTGTCCCGTCTTTTGCTGCCATCTACGTACAGCTGAAATAAGTAACACATAAAAATCAGAGGACTATATCTCTTTACTGCATCAGTCCGTTACGATTTTTCCAATGACTAAAGTATCTATACATTCCATCAAAGTCTGCTTGGTTACGCTTTAATACGGAAATAAGCATGCCGTAGCCTAAGAGAAGTATGAATGAATTAACTCCAACTTGAATGATGATATGTACCGTGTGCCTCTGAGCATGTCACCTCGGGGACACCTTCGCTGGGTTCTTTATAGTAAACATAGTAACCGTCTCCATAGGCCCTCAAGTACCTTTATACAATACCATTCAATCAAATGGTTCTATATTATCCTACCCTTTTTTTTTCTCCCCTTACTTGGATCTCCATTTAGCATAAGCTTCTTCAACGCTTTTTCCCATTTTATTTTGTTATGAAATAAAGAAGAAAAGAAGTGCTTCCTCTTTTATATTGGAACTTAAATTAAGCGCGGTTTAATTTTCCATTCAGAGCATTTGAATTTTCTGGTCACAGCTGTGATTCTACTACTTTGTTCTTTACGTCAATACTTCAAATGATAAAGGGAATGCTTACAGTGTCATAGATAAGCCTGCCGGGCAGTCATTATACCTCTTTTGTCATGTACAAATATGGTCAAAAAGAGTCATAAATGCATATGCAAAACAAACAAAAATGATCCACACGAGGGTATATGCAGTCAACTCGATATACGTCTAACTACATAGGGGAAACAATAAGGCTATCCTTTATTTAATTGCAGCTTATGATACTTATTCCTGACCAACACTCCGGTAAAACTGCAAGAGAGGATAAAAGGAAACAAGAAAAAAAAAAACACCGGACTTTCAAATCCGGGTAACTCCCTGTTCGGCTTCCGTGTGCCCATACAGCACTGAAGAGGGGCAGCAGTTGAAGCTTCCTTCTCTTTAAAAGACTTTGTTAAAGGTAACAGAATGGATGGATGAATGGATGGATGGATGAGTGAATTAACTTTTACGATCAATAGTAAAGATGGCCAAGTCCAAGAACCACACCAACCACAACCAAAGTAAGCATTGAATTAACCCATGTGCAATGAACAAAATTAACATTTTCAATTATAGACAAGAAGGCTCACCGTAACGGTATCAAGAAGCCTGTCATCCACAAGTACCGTGCTCAAAAGAGCGTAAGTGATTCTAAAACACCATAATGAGCCAAGGTTTTGACTTGTTTTATAGTTGGATGCCAAGTTCCTCCGTAACCAGCGCTTCGCTAAGAAGGGTACCCAGAAGGCCCTCGCTGCTGCCAAGAAGAACTAAACATGTGTGTGGACTATTCCAATATTTGTTTAAACTTGGAAAGCAATAATAAAGTCAACTGTGGATGTTCAGTAAAACATTGGGCTTTTGTGTTGTTTTATTATTAGATTGGGTAGAAAAGAAGGGTTCAGTCATTACAATTGTCTTGAAAAAAAGAGAATCACAATTTTGAAAGAGAAGACCAGTCTGGCTTCTTTTTGTTCATGAACGACATGATACCGTAAGCTGCCTCTTCTGACTTCATCATGTCTAAAAATGCTTTCTTGACATATGCTTGAACTCTTGGTGATCTTTGAACATCGTTTCCTTCTACAATTGCGCGTACGAGCTGCTTTATACCTGTCATGGCGCCAGGCGCAGACTCGAGTAACATGTTAGCATAGTCAGAGACTCTTTGATCTAGCTCCTGTTCGGAGGAAACAACGGTACTGAGAGCACCCTTGACTTCTTCCATACTGACCTTACGACCAGTTAACATGTATTCTTTGGCCTTTTGTGACCCTAGTTCAGGAACAATGTACTGAGAGATGATTGCTGGCAGAATACCACGCTTGACCTCGGTTAATGCAAAATAAGCATCCTTGTGAGCTACACGTATATCTGTCGTAAAGATGAGTCCAACCCCGCCACCTAAACAAGGTCCGTTGATTCTGGCAATCACGGGCTTTGGATACTGATAAAGTGCTTCATAGACCTTGATACCATTTGCAAAGGCAGCTTCCTGATCTTTTTCGTCGCTAGATGTTGCAGCCATGGACAAATCCATACCAGTGCAAAAGTATTTGCCTGCACCTGTAAGCACGACTACTCGTACTAGCGGATCTTGTTTTATTTGATCCAGAAAAGCCAGCAATTGTGTGTTCATGGTGGCTGTAAGGGCATTACCCTTGTGAGGGCGGTTTAATGTAAGAGTTGCCACGTTGTTTTCAATCGTTAATAGGACTTCTTGTGACATTGAAAGAAAGAGTGAGAAAAAAGAAAAGAAAAAAAAAAAAAACATGACAAATGCTTAAATTTATGTATTTAGGCATAATGGAGTTACACACGCTTTATTTCTTGGAATAGTCATAGAAACCCTTTCCGGTTTTGCGTCCCAAATTACCTTCAGCAATAAGCTTATCCAATGCCTTGGATGGTTGAGTGAGAGCAGGGTCGATCTTACCCTCCTTGTGCCATCCATCAACAATGAATTTCATGGTATCTAAGCCAATGAACTATACAAAGAAAGTTTTATGGTTACTATATGTAGTCAGTTGCAGGAAAAAAAAAAAAACTTACATCAGAGAGTTCCAAAGGACCCATAGGCATACCAGCACCCAACTTCATGGCAGTATCAATGTCTTCAATCGAGGCTTCTTCACGGTCGAGAATACGGTAAGATTCCATAAGATAAGGAACAAGAAGTCGGTTTACGATAAAACTATTATAGTGTCACTCATAGTCCACACACATAACAAGTATTTCAAAACTTACCCAGGTGTGTCCTTACAGTTTACAGGTACTTTACCCACGTTCTTTGAGAATTGGTTCAAAGCATCAATCACACTATCGCTCACTTTGTCTGTACGAACAATTTCAACCAACTTCATAGCAGGTACAGGGTTGAAGAAATGAAGACCAGCAAAGCGTTTCTTTCTTTCATCTGATGTGGCTTCAGCAATCAATGTGACGGGTAAAGAAGATGTGTTGGAGGTGAAAATGGTATCAGCAGATGCTGCTTGGTCCAATCCCTTGAATAACTTTTGTTTGATGTCAATGTTCTCCACAATAGCCTCGACAATAAGGTCAGATGAGGAAGCTGCCTCGTTAGGATCCTTAGAGGTCTTTATGTTGTTCATCGTTTGGTTGATAAATTCCTTTTGCTTGGCTTCATCATCAGCGAACTTCTTACGTGCTACGCGTTTTAATGAGGAAGAGATGATGTTTTTACCGTTTTCAAGAGCAGCATCCGAGGTATCAACCATTGTCACATTGTATTTAGCTTGAGCAGCTACTTGAGCGATACCGGAACCCATCAAGCCAGCACCGATAATGGTGACGTTCTTGATATCTTTGAGTAAAAGAGAGGAAGTGGAAAATGCTCTTTTGCTGACAGATAACTTGTTTAAGCGCAACATGTTTTTAATATAGAAAGAAAGAAAAAGGAAAAAGAAAAGAAAAAAGGAACGCCTCTTTCATTCAAAAATATAGGTTGTCATTTTCACATGAGTCGTACTTTTTTCCACCCTTCGATTTTTTTAATGGAGACAGTTTTAGCCAATGAAATGGTATGATGATGTTACACTTTATTGCATTTCCATAATCATATTCATAATCATCTCTTTAGCAGTGTCAAAGTCACCGTGCGCTGACACAAGGAATTTATGAATGTAATGACGGTCTAACCTTGGAAAGATCTCACAGAGATCATCCAGCACTATTTCCCAGTCTTCCATCATATAAGGTGGTATATATTCCGATGAGACCTTGTTGCTTCTTCTTCTACTAGATCTTTGGTGGTATCGTCTACTACTATTTCTTAAAGCCATAGGAGGTAAGTAATAATAATCGTCTTCTTCTTCGTCTTCTTCATCCATGTGAAACGACCGTCGCTGTTGTTGTTGCTGTGAATAGTACGCTCCGTTGGCGTTGGAATACGTGCTTGGTCGTCTACTGCTTCGTTGTTGTGGCCCGTCAAGATAGTCGATATATTCAGGGGTTCTCGACCTACGGCTTGGTTTCTTTTTGATATAATCTAGCTCTGAGGGTATCATGTCGAATTCTTCTCGTTCGTGGTAAAGTGGTTCCTGATAATAATAATCATCGTATATGTTTCGATTAGAGTTTGATTTTTTCAGTATAGAGATAGGTTGAGGGGTAGGGATATCAGTCACGGTAGAAGATGAATAGCTTGTGTCGTACACTTCCTGTTCATATTCTTCTGGTTGTTGTTGTTGTTGTATTTCTTCTTCATCCTCTTCGGGATCATAAGATTGCTCAAAGTCTACAGGGGATGTATTGTAAACAGAGTTGGAAGAAAGAGATGGTAACCGGCTCAGTAATTCCTCATTTAATGCTATCTGTTGTGCCCTTAGATCGTTAGTCTTGGTTTTACGTTTAAAGATACCCAAGAACTTTTTAGGCTGCTTAGGTGGAGGTGTGTAGCCAAACCAGTCATCAGGAGGGCCTTTTTGAGCTTGCTTTGTAATCCAAGGCATCAACCCAGTCTTTGTCTCCATGCATTGAAAGTAAGCAGTATCTATTACGTACAAAGGTCAGGCTTTTTAATTCAAGTTCAAAAAAAAAAAGAGCATGGCTTACTGTAGATATGCATTCGTTCTTCGCGTGATTCTACTTGTTTCATCTGCTTTCGTCTCAAAGAAGGTATTTTCTGTCTATTTAAATCCATGATCTCGTTCATCATCTCGTCATTATCATCATCTTGAATCACTCTCCTTTCATAGCTGAAACTATTACGTTTTGGCTTGCAGATGTTGATAGCATCCAGTATCGAACTATGGCTGCCTTTTCTTTCCAGCTGTGCCTCCCTTTGGAATTCTTGAAATAATGATGTCCTACTTGATTTTCTGCTCAGAGGAGCCAAAAATTGCTTGACATCTTCAATGAATGAGGAAGCCCTACTGCTCGGTCTGCTCAACGGTGGTTCTAAATGCTGATCATTGTTCATATGCGGCATACTTTTTCTTCGGGTCATACTATGACTAGGACTAGGTAACTGTAACGACTGCTTTATTTTATCTGCAATTTGACCAATATCAAGCGTAAACGACCTTGATCGAGGTCTTTGCTTTTTAGGTATGTAGCAGTTGGCACACACATTGCTATCAGAGCCCACCATGGGTCTACCGCACTGATGGCACGTCGATAATGTATGCATTGCTGATGGCATTGGAACCTCCATCCTATATATATATATGAATTGAGAAATCAATTTTGAATAATGAAAAAATAGTTCTTTACTCTTCCATTTCGTCACTATCACTTTCGATCAAGATAGGCCGTTCAAAAGTCTGTTCATTCTCTTTTATGGACGAGGCCTCCTTTAATGTGCTTCCATCTATAGTGATCGCTTTAGCTCAGTGGTAATCTCAGTTATATTATCAAGTTACCTATAAGATTTTCAATTTCCTGATATAGTTCTTGAACTGGGTCTGATCGATAATAACATCAGTTGATATACACACACGTGTATTCATAAAATCCTCTATTAAATACCTGAGTCCTTGAAAGATTCCATTGCATATCAAGACTTTAAAATGACGAGAAAAGAAAAAAAGAAAAAGTGTTTTGTCATAGAAATGTATTAAATGATATTGTCGTGAAAACATACTTCTATAAACGGGTATTATCTTGCCAAAACTGTGCTCAGCTGAGATTTAATTGCCTGTTATTGTTTTTATAGCTTTTAATACTAGATCAACAAGGCACATACATAGCTGTAGCTAATGCCTTTATATAAAGATGTATCTATGTCAAATATTAGAAATTAGAGAGCTATTGATATAAAATGATTGATGGTTACAAAAGAGCTATAAAGCACTGCTGGAAAGGGGCACAACGCTTTTATATGCTTTTCTTACAAGCGAAAGACTTATTCTCTTCTCTTGTTTTTATTACGCCTACACAATCAATACATCCCGCATCTTGTCCCCACATTGAATTCTAGTACTTCTTATAGTATCCCCTTACTCGCCTACAAAGAAAAAAAAGATTGGTTGTATTGAGGGATATAGTTCATATATGTAAACAGCTAGTCAGCGTAGGTTATTTAGAAAACTCATTATAGAAAGTAGAGATAGTGACTGTAGCATTGGTATATGTTCTGATGCATGTAGCGTTGGCAGCCTTAAGCCATATTTGTGCCTGTTTAAATGGGTAAAAAATCATCCAGTTTATGCAACCCTCGAGTAGTAACACAATATAGGGTGGATGAGGCTTTGGGCTTTTTTGCTGTTTAAAAACACTCTTTCTTTCTTTCTTCCCTCGTTACAGCATTTCATGGCAACACCAGCGATCCATCAACTACCCGCACATATACTCGATCTTGTCTTTCAGCACACAGAAAGAACAGCCCTTAAAGAGTGTCGGCTTGTTTGCGTATTGTGGTATCTTTTGACTACACCGTATCTTTTTCGTTGTATTCAAATCAGTAGCACATCTCAAATTGACGAATTCATATACTTTCATGAAAATTCAGCATCTGATCAACTTGTTCAATTTGGAAAATATGTCAAACGAATCACTACTGGTGAGGGCATAGGGATGGCTGATACGAGGATATCGTTAGAAAATTTTGAAAAATTTGTCAAATATTGTCCCGAGGTTACATCAGTTAGCGTTTCTCTGCCTGTTTGTAGAGGCAGTTTGTATTATTACCTATTTGAATTTAGTGGTAATATAAAATGGAGGCTTCATAGATTTGATCGGAATGTTGAAAATCAAAAGCTTAAATTGAATTATTACTACAAGTATAAAGACACTATCAAGGTCATAAGATGGCTCGAAGACACTGAAAATTTTGATTTTGTAATAGACTTTCCGTTACTTGAAGAACTGGCTTTGCCTTCGTCAGCGGTTATCACAGACATACAAGGTTTCATGTTCATTTGTAATGCATGTCCCAACTTAACCGAATTAGACCTGTATACCAACATGAATGATCATACAAGACTGGTAGCTGGCTTTGCTATATGTCCCTCATTGAAAACTTTAAATGTTAAATGCCGTTCTTTGATACCCAAGGTGTTGGTTGATTATATTGCTGCAAGCTTGGTCAATCTTTCAAATATAACTTTTTGGATGGAAATAACACTGATACAATCAAACTTTGGTGAAATCTATAACCAGCTAAAGGATTTTTTGTTTACACCTCAGAAGGAGGCAGCTTATTTAACATTAAAAGCACAAACAAGTTACAGAGATGATACTGAAAAAATATATACAATGATTGATGAATGTCTCACTGTCATCTGTCGTCCTTCAAAGCTTAAAGCGTGTAATTTTATAAAATGGATAGCAAATGATTCGTCAGTGCTCGCCATAGATTTATACATGTCAAGAAACCATACAATCGAATGCAAAATCAGCATACCCTTATATTTGTTTATTTACTTTATCGAAAAAGACGATTTTACAAGCAGCAAAATGCCAAACTTTCATAAACTGTGCTTAGAGAGAGAATGTAGAGGGCTCACCATGTCAAGGGTTGTCGCTTTATTTATAGAAAAGGCTTGTAACTTGCAGGAATTGATTCTTCGCAGGTACCGCTTAAAGGATACTTATGACTATGTTTATGAATCAGTGCGAATTCTGCGTATTGAAAACTCCGTTTTTTATCCTGATTTTTTCAAGAAGCTTGCTATATCTTTTCCAAACCTGAAAGAGTTGCATCTGTATGAAGTCAGTATGCTTGGTAATAATCATAGCTTTAGAAGTAAGCTGATAGACTTGGGTGATCTGCACTTGGAAAAATTATCATTGACTACCGATGAAAGGTTTGATTCTGCAAAAATCCCAGAGAGTGTCCTTGTATGCGTAGAAGTACAGAAAAGGCGCAAATATATCAAAGTGGGTGCTGGAAGGATCCTAGAGACTTTAGCAGATGAAGAGGGGATGGCATTTTGGAAGCGTGTGCCTGATAATCATACATATCTCATAATGCGTAATGCTCCTGCTCGCTTTAGGCTGAACAATGTTTACATTAAACTGACAATATAGTAATAAAAAAAGCCCTTTTTACTTTATCAACACAATATCAATGAGAATGGCAGACCTTATGAGCTTTAAAACTAGTAAGCCTCTTCTTTCGAACGAGTAAATGCAACAATTGAACGCTCAGTTTGCTGCTTTATGAGCAACCTTAACCTGTCTAGCTTCTACTGCAAATACACATTCTACATGTACGGTGTTTTGGCTACTGAACCTCCACAACCGCAATACGTCTGCAAGAACTATGGCAAAAGCTGCAAGGTTCATGCCATGGCAGATGTTATTACCAGTGCTTCTAAGAGTCTTGACGCAGATTCCTTCTCTACCTATGACGACATAGAAATTTGCAGACAACCTGCATCAAGTTTCTATCAGTTCTTCTCGCAAGACGATGATGCACCCTCCCTCACCTGCCTACTTGTAGCCGCTAGTCGACTCATCGCTGAGCTATCGCAAACGAGAGCTGAACTTCAGAAAGCCCAAGAGGAAATCAGCCGACCCCGACTGCAAGCTTCCTCTCGAACTATCCACTCTGACTCCTCACTTGATAAACTCCAATCCCTTGATTTCCTCTTTGCTGCCCATTCATTTACTTCCTGGATAAAAAGTCAGCTTATGATACAGCTGATTGTTGCAGGTTATGGGAAGCCTTGCAACCCATTACTCAGCCAACGCTTCTTGCATTATTACAGAATTTATTCGATGATGTGCACATAGAGGTTCTCCTCCAGAATGTTACCTCTCGTCGATTTTATTTCGTAACTAGTGTGTTATAAAGGCCTATCTTTCCACCACGACTATACTCTATTTACACCAACCACTCGCCTTACATACTTTGCACTCATCCATTGCAGGACGACCTTTCACCTATTCAGCTAGGTCCCTTGATGCACTGCTTACTATACGCTGGCGATGTTGACCTTATTTCCGACCGATAGAAGATGGTGGTAATCCTGCGGAAATGCGAAGAGCACAGTATGGCTCTGGGTTATCGTCGGAATCCAAACGAATGTGTAATACTTGATCACTCCATTGGAGATGCCGTAGATTACCAGTTATATGTCGAGTTTATTCCCCATCGCTCAGCATTCGTATACCTGGGTGTACTCTTCAAGCCCTGTGGTCTCATCAGCACTCCTGATAATGAACTGAGTCTGGATGAAAGTTTGTAAGTCCATAACATATGCCTTCTAAATTCGATCTCACATACATCTTTTAGGCTTTTATCTTCAATTAAGTGCTACGACGATTACCCTGAAGAATTTTTGCTTCAGCCTTGTACTTTTCTGATTCAACGTACACTGAAATAAGAAAAAGGAGAAGAGTAAGTTCATAAGCGAGTGTATATAATGTATAGAAATTTACAAATTCTTTTAGTCCAGAATCATGAAAAAGGAATACTTTCCTTCTCAATTTGTTCCAAGTGGTCTTTCTACGGAAGAAGATATTTTCCAGAGAAATTTGCGTTTCTTTCTGGTTGGTTTGACGGAAACTCTGGACAGAATATCCCTTCACAGCAATAGCAAGCAATCAGAAATTGTTTACTCCGTACAAAACATCGTAATTGTTTTAAGATTTGTTTTCAATTGCAAGTCACCTGTTCGTATTTGCAAGGAAGGCAAAAGACGTAAAAGCGACAGCGCAACCGAATTTAGAGGTCTTTTGCGAATAAGAAATACATAAACGTTTTCAATTCTACGCTGTCGACCCCGGAAGAACACATATATTTACAGCGACAATACACCATGAAGAAGGTAATCTAGAAATAAGATGTAGCGCAAAAGAGCTTAGGATAAAAAAGATAAAGACAGATTTCCGTTCGGCCAAAGCTGTTGACATAGAAAAATAAACGCATATGCAACATATGCTCTCATTCATATATCTCGTTTATTCCGTTTTTACAATGAAAGATCAGCGCTATTTCGCTTCCATGTTTATCAAGGTAGCAAGAAAATAACCAAATGTAATTACGGCAATAGTGTTTGTTATTTAAAGAATATTGACAGTGATATAATTAACCGATCTACAGAAGAAAGGGAACGAGTAGTTCTGAAAAATAAGCTCCAACATTTCAATTTGACTCCTTTGGCTGCTTTTGGTGACGATATGAAAAACAAAGATATTGTCGCTATCAGGAATCATGTCCTTACCAGTCTTAAACGTAGCTACAATATACATAAATGTCGCGACTTAGCTATTCGTGGACGTGTGACCGTGTTGAATACTCTTCTTTTTTCCACAATATGGTATGTGTTACACGTTACTTGGATCCCTAAGAGGCTTTATTCAATATCACCAACTCCCTTTTATAAGTTACAATGCATTGCTTCAACCTACACATTATGGTGGTTTTGGTCTACTTGGCCCATCAACTCAGAAAAGCCTTCTTGCATATCAATGGCTCACGCCATGTCTGTTGTCTGGAATTCCTTCAGCTATTACGGCTACATGGATGTCTGCTCATATCTTAAGCACAGCTTCTTTTACTCTACCAGACGGTCGTTTGCCTTTCTTCTTTCTTTTCTTACGGCAGGGCCTACTGCGTCCCTCTATTCAAAGTCTTTGTTCTCTGTGATTTTGCACTTTTGATATTCTCTCGGCTTTACAGAAATATAAGCTCTCCTTGGGGATGGATATGTCACAACCCGCTCCAATCACAGTGTCAATCTCTCTGGTATTACCTCTCTCTGGGGTTATTGGTTGACCCTTTGAGAATCGTGTATTGCTCAAACGCACTTCCTATTCAAGTATTCAGGTTCAGGACGCTTTCCTAGCCCACCTCTGCCTTTGGTACGTAACTTATAAAAGACATTCTATTTTTTTTTTTCTACGCTGGCTTGATCGATTGCTTGTCCTAGATTACAATACATACAAGTGTCCTTTCGTTATAGTAAAACTAGCGTGCTTTTCTTCTTTTTATTTAGAATAAAAGACTGCAAAGTCGCTTGCCATTTTAAGTCAGTGTGATGTATAATTTTTTGTCGTTTCCTTTGCTTGCTAAAAAAATGAGCCAAGTAGATCACTGGCAATCTATGCCTGTCATTAAAGCCTTTCTAGGGCAAAATTCATGTGTGCCATAATATAAAAATGATAATGTTGATGAATGACGTAGCCACTAAGGATCAAATCTCTCACAATATTTTACAAAAGTCTGCAGAATATCACAAAGGAGGATACATCTTGACGGAATACAGATTTGCTGCAAATCAGATAATGTAGCAAATGTATGTGAGGAGGAAATGAGCAAGCACAAATTCATGTCATAACGGTTGTTATTGTGCACACAGTTTAATGAGTAACTATAACGCTCTGATCAAGTATTTGAGACATCGTACCGTGTCATGAATAACTTTAGTCTCTCAATTGTTATAAATGGGAGCTTAATACGTTTATTAATCAGACATGCTTACTCATATCATTTATATAAGCTATCCTGTAAACAATGAAAGCTCTGTATCAGCTCAAACCTGGTTATTTTAAAAGATTGTCTATATTTCACGATAATAAATATACCCCTTATACACTTGGTAAACAATGAACTATATCAAGTAATTCCCCAGAAAAAGCCTTTTTGTTTTCGAAAAAAGTATTTGATGTTAGCACAAAGCTATCCATCATGATTTACCGAGACAAAAAGAGCTTTAAGCATTTCCATCCGCTGAATGAGGGATCATTGGGCTTAGAATCGGCTTTTTTCTTTCCTTTATTGTAGCGTCAAAGTATGCAAATGCAACAAGACTTGTCTAAAGATGAGTGTATGACAAATAATAGAAGCCAGACATTTGGGGTATCAAAGCGCTGAAAATATGGAGAAGTGTAACTAAAAAGTTGATTGAAAACAACAACAAATTGTACAACATACACAGTTTTCCTAGCATTCTTTTTCTTATAAAATAGATTTAAAGTACATTCGCAAACTTGGTATGCTTCAAACTGTGACTAAGTTACGGATGAATACGGGATTAGCATCATTGATACCCTTTTTGATCAATGTGATATGTTGGTTGAGGTTAGGTAAAAGAGGCATTGCGTAGTTTTCGCCACTGCCCCACAATATTTCAAGGATGCATGAAAGAAAAAAAAAAAAAAGACAAGGGACATGAGAAAATAGACACATTGTTTATGGCTCTGCATGTTTATTTAGAATTCATCGTGTACTGCTTTATGGCTTCAACAATATCAGAAACTATGTCCTGGATTTGTGCTCATTTTAAAAAAGCAATACGACTATTCCTTTACAAGCTTATGCGGGGTCATTCTATTGTAGATATTTCACTTTTTCCAAAGCCAGCATATGTTCTATCACCGATTTCTTAAGCCTAGAACCATCGACAGCTTGTCGACAGGTGCTCAAGAACAAGCATGACCTAGACTATAATTGGAACTCATGTTGTGTGCCATGGCACTTAAGTCACTATTACATACTGTCTAAGGATCAACGCCTTCGATAGCTGCTCGACACAGAGGCTAACTTTTTCGCACATCAGCTGGCAAGAGGAGAGATCAAGGCAGGTTATCATCTGGACGGCAAGCCTTTCGTCGATTACAGTGACATGGCCTTTAATGCATCTGTAAGCTTTTTGTTTTGGGTGTTGGACCGACACCAGGAGCTGCAGCAAGTGATGAAGTATAGATGAGGATCATGAAGGAACGTACTTTGGCGAAACTATCGCTATGCTTGGGTTTCTGCAAGCTCATGTGCTTTATTAAACATCTCCCTTTCATCTCTCTCTCTCTTTTTCCATCTTATTACTCCTAACTTGTACATGCCCGTAATAATAGCCATAGAGACACTTGCTATTTTTACATTTATTTTTTTTTTCTCCCTCATAGGTCTTTTAATTCTATTGTTTTGTTGTATTTGCTGTGTATTAGCAAACGATCTTTTGACGCTGACCAGTCCTGCGCCTAATCAGTCTCTAGCCCCAGGTCATGTTTTATCATTCAATTACACAATGAATGCCATGACAACAGAGAGTAAGGAAATACAAGTCATGTATGAACAAGGCACTCATTTGTGTCTTTAGACACACCCAATAACCCGAATTCCCTTGATATCATATTCCAGTGGGTATCCAAAAATAATATGCAGCACATGATTCAATTGACAGCAGCCAGAAATCTAGCGACTGATTGTAGTGGCATTAAAAATAGAGATCATCTTCACTCGTGGAAACTGCCCAATTGCCGTTTCTTTAAACGATATCCACCCGATCAATGGACATATTCACTCATTTTTCAACCCAACTATCTGCCCGCCAGCAAGATGATGGTTCCTATGGGACCGCAGCAAGCCTCAGTTACAGTACCTATTACTATATTTATGAACACAAGTAGTACCATCACAACAAAGAGACACCGTAGCCAGGAATGTTGAATAATAGCGCTATAATACCTGTTGTTTATATCATCGTTCAATTTTGGTAATTTTTTTTGAGGCATTTTATGTATTGGAGAACAAGTAGACAAAGAAATGGGAGAATGTGCTATTTTTTTATGTACGTTTAAAGGAAAAATATACCTTAATTTGGGAATGAGCCATATTCCATTGTAAAAAAAAAAAAAAGGAGCTGTGTGTGTGTGTAAATAAATCAAGTTCATATGCTCGCTTCTCCGACTTTTGCCATGAGCTCCAATATAAATATAAATCAGAAAATTCCCTCTCTTTTTTTTAATACTATCTTTTTTAAAAATATACATTTATTTTTATACTAAAAGCAATTGTGTATAAAGCTTAACTATTTCAAGGCCAAATTACTTCTCTGTTCTTCAAGCTAATCGATGAGAAGTAGTGATAAAACCATCTTTACGTATTCAGTAGTATTATTTTCAAGCGTATCTTCATTATTCCATCCTCCTATCATCCTTACTCATTAAACAAGATGTGGTCTAACCAAAAGAAAAACAACAAGTGTCTACTCTCTCCAAGACAAATCGCAAACAAGGCTTATACATTAGCTATCAAGAAACTGGATCGTGATGACAAAAGACGCCGTCCTCAATACACTGTTCGAGAAAGATTATTATTGTCTAATACAATGGCAAAAGCAGAAGATATTTTAAACAAAAAGGCTCAAACAAAGAGCGCTATTCTATTACCTGCAAAATGTGAAGAAGATACCTTACCTCCTGTCTCCAAACAATGTAAATCAGAAAACATTGCTGTTGTGCAACCAAACCATCATGAGCAGCAACCTCAAATTAGCCAAGACGAATCTAAACTCTTGGCTGTTTCTATGGTCGCCATTGCTGCTGCTGTCGTTTATTCCTCTATTCAACAAAAAGATACATTCATTCAATACAGCGCACCTCCTGCTGTTATTCATCATACCAACAATACCATGACAACCATAATTTAAAATTTAACAAATAAAGTTTTGTTTTAAAAAAAAAAATGCTTTCGGATGTTTCCGTTTACTAGTTTCCGATTTCGTCCGTCTCCGTCTTATTTTCATGCATTCGTTTATTGAATATACTTTTCTAACTTCTTTAGTCTTTCAACAGCTTGCTCTAATACGTCATTTGTTTTACAAAATGCAAAACGAGCGAATTTCGAAGCTAATGGCCAGTGTTCCTTCATGTAAAATTCGGATGGGGGAATAGCACAAACACCAATTTCCTTAGTTAACCAGTAACACATTTTAAAATCGTCGCCTCGATCATTTAAAATATCAGGAAATTCATAACCTTCTGGAATCTTGATCTTGCTCGTGTTGACCAAGAAATAATATGCACCCTCAGGCACAGTATAAGGCAAATTGAGTTCATCAAAGACCTTGGAAAGAATGGCCTTCTTCTTAATATAGTCTTCAATCTGTTGTTCAAAGATCGGTTCCGTCAAGGAGGCTTCAATACCAGCAGCAACAGCCTCCTGACATGGCGAGTTCACACAAAAGACAACTCGAAGTTGAGCAGCATATGCGTGCTGAATCAGCTCTGCAGGACCAATAAGCCATCCTACACGCCAGCCGGTTGCTGCAAAGCTTTTGCCGCCTGAGCCAACGGTAATTGTACGGTTCCAAAACTGATTACCTATTCTGGGAATTCTTTCATAGGGAGGATAATAGAGACGATCATACTGACAGGATATTAGTCACTTATTTTTTTTTTTTTTTTCGTTTGCTATGTACCACTTCATCTGATATGATCAACAAGTTGTGCTTTTCAGCTACTTGTCCAATTGCATTAAGTTCTTGTTCGCTAAATACTTTGCCTACTGGGTTGTGAGGAGTATTGATGATGATGATCTTTGTTTTATTGGTTATTTTAGATTCCAGTTCCTTTATGTCCAAAGTCCATTCATGAGAAGAGACCACACGCTGATCAGCATCAGTAGGAGGTCTCAAGGGAACATAGACAGGTACACCACCGTTCATGGTAATATTGGGCTATATACATTATGCCCGTTAATAAGAACCAAGCTTCCACAATAGTTACTTACAATATATTGATCAAAGAATGGCTCAATAACAACCACTTCATCGCCTTCATCCAAGAAACCAGCCAAGGTAGCAAAAATACCTTCATTAGCACCTGCAGTGACAATAATGTTGGTCTCAGGGTCTAATTCTCGACCATTGAATTGTTGTTTATAAGAAGCTGCTAGCGCGTTTCTTAAGCGTAAAAGACCTTTTGGATGGCTGTTTTGCTTTCATCAATATCTCCTTGTGTCAAATGAACTTACTTTTACCTGTATTGATTGGATTCAACTTTGTCAATGGCCTGCTTACATGCACTTTGTACAACATGGGCAGGAGAAAAGCTAAAACAAAAATATTTAACTTTTTGTACTTTTGGCTCTATTTTCATTCATTTTACTTCATGAACCCTTGTCCCAAATTGATAGCCTTTGTTTCGGCTGCAAGTGGAGTAAAAATGGACCAAACTATGTCAAACAGAATCAACCCATACTGCCCTTTATTTATTTATTCTTTTGCCCACAAACCATCTCGACTAAAGGTGGATACACGCTTTGCAGGTTGAATCTTTGTAGAATATGACATGATGCGCGTTACGACAACTGGTCTTCTAAGTAAACAAGAAGAAAAAGAGGTGATGGAAAACATGAAGGAAAAAAAAAAAAAAAAAGAAAGAAAGATAATCTCAAATTGAACGACAGCAGCAAATAGTAACAAGACTCACGCAATTTGAAAACGAATTGACGCAGGAGGGGGGGAACATCTCTACATTTTATTGTACATCAGCAATCCAGGGCAAACCAAGTACATTTTGTATTGTAAATCTATTTTTTGGATTAGGATTTAACATGCTATATAGTAAATCTTGTGTTTGGTTATCTAAAATATCAAATGCAGGGTACTGCTTCTTAGCATAATCTCTTTGATAAAGCCTGTAATTTGGGTCCGACATGGTGGCCGAGAAAAAGGGCACGCCTTTGAGTCTCATACAAAAGTAAACGATTGCAGCTGACCATACATCTGCTTGACTTGGATCATATTGCTGATGAAATACTTCAGGAGCCATATAAGGTATAGATCCACACAGACCATCTGAGGCGATAAGGTTGGATACTTGTTTAAACACTGTGGCTTCACCAAAATCTGTTATCTTTAGCACACCATCCTGAATCAGTAAATTCTCTGGCTTGATATCTCTATGAGCTACACCTATACTGTGTAAATAAGACAAGCCATCCAGCAGCTGCTTAAAGTAGTAGTTGATTTCTCTTAGTTCAACAAGTCTTCCATCTTTTATAAATGAATACAAATCGCCCTCTGAGCACTAGAGATAATGATATCAGCAAAAGTTTACACTAATAAAAGACACATTACATATTCCATAATGATACAATGTCTATGATGTTGATCAAGTACAAGGTCCATTGTTTTTATAATATTTGGATGCGACAGTACGGATGAAATACAGTATTCACTCATCCATTTCTTTTGTTTTTGACCTTTCTGGAATACTTTGACTGCAAATACACTCTTTTTGTCTTTTATGACTTTGATCGTTGCCGATGCTCCTGTGCCAACCACTTTCTTTTGTAAAGTACCATACTGGTCCAATAGTCTCGGGCAATTCTTTGTATCTCGCTTGAGCTTATAAAGCCATTGAATAAAGTAAAATCTGAATTTGTTATATTTCCTGGTTGAATAATTGTGATAATAGTAAAAATGCTGAGTTGTAAGTGAACTCAATGTATCTTGATCCATTTTATTTTTTTATAAAAAGAAGAAGGAAATAAAAAGGTTGTGGTTACTTATTTAATAATGAGCTTCTTTACCCCCCATCTTGCTTTTCTAGTTTTTTCCCCTTTTAAGCTTTATTCTCCCCTTTGTGTCCTTTTTCTTTATAGAAACTATGGAAATTCGAAACAGTTTTAAGAACTTTCGAATGCAACAGTTGCTTCTAAAGGCTTGTAATAAGGTCCTTGACGAATATACATTTGGCATTGCGGGTAATACTCGTTTCCTAGTAACTCTTTTGCTGTAGGATGATTTGTCAATGTTTGTATGACTGTAAATTTCCATAACTACCAAATAACCATTATTATTGACATTTAACACTGAGAAATTTAATAATAATACCTGTCCCTGCTGCATGCGCTCTGTCGTTCGATCTAGTATGTATTGCATAAATTCATTGGATTGTGACATGTACTATTTATATTCATATCTATTTTAGCATATTATGGCTATCAATGTGTGCGCGCGTACGTACCTCAAGACCCCATTCATGAAATGCAATAGATTGCATTAATGCAAAACAAGCAGTTCGAATATCGTCATCTGGTTGCTTAGCCTCTGCTATCAATCTTGTAGGAAACCCATGATATTGTTTGAATACCATGAGTGTCAATTTATCACTTTCGTTCATAGGTTCATCCCTATCACTGTAATTATTTATATGCTCTTATCTATCCCTAAATTCCTTACCTTACGCCAATCAACTTGGATAATGTCTGAAGGATGACAGCCTTCACTGGACCAATAGAGGAGTGGTAATGGTTGAAGAGCTTTGATATCATTGTAGGATTTTTAGATAACAGCAGGTCAAGTCCTGCTAGATGTGACCCAATAAGTCCAATACTCGAGATGGTGACAATCTACCCTTAATTAGCTCTGTCTGTCTTTTTCTGTTTTATACCGAGACTTACCAATATTTCATCATTATCTGTATCCATAATTCTCTCCATCCTATCCAAGATATCATACTGCTCTGATAGTTGCTTAAAGGGTACCTGTGTGTTTTCCCCCAAATTACCAACGAATTTGATAATCGAGCACTTCACCAAGACAACGGCTACATCAGCTTCATCCTCATTATCCAATATAGCAGCCATACCATCCACCAGATTAGCTTTCTCAAGGAAACTAAGGCCTGCGGATGTTGCTGCGACTTCATTCAATAACTCGATCGCATTGATTTTTACCAGTAAATCATCCGATTTTAGCTCACTCAAGAATTCATGCAATAATCCTGTGGCTTCACAGAGCTCAAATGCATGATCTGAAATGGAGGATATCCTAATCAGCAAGTCGTAAATACGAAACTTGACAGTCTCATTTCTACACAAAAATTAGTTCCATGTCATTATGATTCGTTCTTCATTTACACTCTGAGTAGCTGTTTAAAGATGGCACATGTAGTTGAATTGAAAATGACCTCTTGTCCAGGCTCGGTAAATGCAGTCTTGTATAATAATTCGGATGCTTTTTGAGCTGTCTTGGTATCTTGAAATGCAAGTGTTGTAAGGATATGCATATAGATATCGGAGTTGAGCTGCATATATAGTTTGTATAAGCAAAAGATCATTATTTTTTTCGGGAAAGTACCATGGATTGAATGAGATCATTCGATATCAAACATTTAAATACTTGTTGTACTGATAAAAGTCGAATTTGTGTATTGTAATGTGTCAATCCCTCCGTCAATAAGGGCTATTTTGCTTATAAGTTTACTTTTTTTTTTTTTTTTTCTTCGATCTACCTTGTTTTCTGGTGATACGATATCAGTATAACTAAATGGTCCGAGTAATTTGTTGATGACTTCACACAATACATTAGTTAAGTTTTCTTCTTCCAAAGACAACCCATGATAAAATAAACCAAGAGGAGCAGTAGACAATATTTCCCTGGATTGCTCCATGGTTACTGGTTCTATTGACAATAGTTCTTGTGTCAATACAGAGTTATTATTTAAATGTAAGCAAAAGGACCTTTTAATGTAGAAGAAAATGCCTGAAGAATAGACACTTTATCTTTTAAAGGCACATCAGATTGTGGGTCAAGTACTTCAATCACTTGTATTAATAACGTTGCTGTTGACATTTTAACGCGCTGGATAAGAAACTGGGAAAAAAAAAAAAGAAAAAAAAAAGAGTGCTGAATAAGACGGGGCGGGAAAGTTTTCATCACTATTTTTTTCTTTTTTCTTATGTCTATCACACCCAATAACCCACCTTGCCCTGCATATAGAGCCACTAATAAGGAAAGTTTCGCATATGATACAACCATTCGAAGATGGCCTATTATTTTAAACAGTGCTATTAAGGATATTGAAGTAACAATACGTAATGAAACCAACGAAGCACGCGCAAAAGAGGGAAAACAGATTATCCAGGCTATTGAAGAGATAAAACAAGAGTTACTTGATGATAAGCCTTTAAGGTATTTGTAAAGCCACAAGTCAACACTCTATTAAAGTATACTATAGACCCATTCAGGATACGTTAAAGGACTGTGAGTCATGGAACACTTTGTTGAAGCAATACTTTGAAGGTTGCACTTGGTTCACGGGTACTTGGTTATTCAATGAATGCTATCTTTACAGAAGAATTGCCGAACTATTTCAAAACTCGCAACATTGGGTGGGATACGACTGCTTTGAAAGTCAAAAGCTGGCCACCTTCAAGGGATCTCACGGTGCTGTCTATGATTTGGCACGCAAGATGCCTGGTTTGATCAAAGACTTGACTCAAGAGAAACTAGAGATTGTATATTATGAACTCATCGAGGTCTGTCTCTGGGGGAATGCGACCGATTTGAGTTTATTGACCAACATGTCTCAAGATGATATTCGTCGTCTTCAGGCAGTTGAAAAGAATAAATTGGCTGAGCGAAAGAAGTTTATTGTTGTAGATGACATTGACAAATTATGGAACAAGGTAAAGGATATGCATCAAGGACGTGTTGATTTTGTTCTAGATAACTCTGGTAGGTAGAGAATATGATATATATATATAAAGCTTAGTTTTTTTTTTTAAAAAAAAAAAGGTTTTGAGGTCTTTGTTGATATGATCTTGGCCGATTGGTTGTTGCAATCTCAAAAGGCATCTAAAGTTGTATTCCACTGTAAAACTATCCCTTGGTTTGTGTCTGACGTCATGCCTAAAGATATGCCAATGATGTTTGAAAAGTGTCTAGAGAAAGGCTTTTTCCCTGGAGACCACACTCAAGAGGACACAGAGGCTTTAGAAACCATGGTTCGTCGATGGCAACAGTATGTCCAGGATCAACGTCTTGTTGTCACCTCTGACGACTTTTGGTGCTCACCTTTACCTTACTGGTATTTGAAGTCGCATGCTCCTAGTCTATTTGAAGACATGAAACAGGCAGACCTAGTCATCTTCAAGGGAGACCTGAACTATAGAAAACTGTGCTTTGACTGTGATTGGCCCCTTACGACGTCATTCAAGGAGGCCATTGGTCCAGATATGGCAAACGACTTTACAAACATTGTATCTTTGCGTACCAACAAAGCAGATGTTCTCGTTGGTCTCTCGGAAGAAACGAGAAAGGATTTAGAAGAAAATAGACGTGTTTCTAGAGAAGAGTTACGCTTTAGTGGAAAGTATGCAGTTGTAGAGTACAATTAACTTATGATATGCTGTCCAATAAAGACTGTCATCTCGCTTATGCCGCCCCCAAAGACTGTTCTCATTGCTCAATGACGTGCATACATTATCCTGACAGGCTTGTAAAGAGTATATGTCGCTCTTTTGAGTTATATTTTGAAAAAGCAGCTTTCTAACATGAATGATACTCATTGAGAGTAATACTAAAAAAAAAAACCCTTTTCAACCTCACTTTCATTCATAGACACAGGAGATAAAGACATTATAGAGAGTAACAATTGAAATGGTAAAAAAAAAACTAGAATAATATATATGAATTACAGTTATCTTAGCTATTGGAATATATATAAACACCTGATTCAGTCATGAGGTGTAATCAGTTGGTGTATACTTGGACAGTAACTAGGTTCTTCCTGTTCCCATATTCCAAGCCAAAACAAAATTTCTACAAACACTTCTTTGAGGAAAGCTTTAGCATATTAAGCTGTTCACCTGACTATATTTAATAAAGAATTGCCCTAGTATCTTGCTCTAAAATAACCAAGAGTGTGAATAGGATGTACGATCTTCGTTTATCAGTTTGTAGTTCAAAAAGCGAGAGAATCAAATGGTGTATAACTCTTGACACATAGAAATGAGTATATCGTGATATTATATCGCGATGATGATGTTTTTTATATCATTCCAGTTCAGGATCAAATATTCCAACCGTCATAACCATTATAAGCCATAGACATACATTCCCCCTCGAAAAATCTAAATGTAAGTCAGTAGGCACAATAAAAGTAAAAGCAAGTTTACCTTTGCCTTTACCATCGAACATTTCATTCTCATTATGCGACTTTGAAAAACAACGCTATCCCCTTACGCCGGAGAATAAATTTAATTAGGTAGGCTGTTTAACATCAGGAGAGAACGATTATATACTAGTGCGTTTAAAAAAGATTGCCCCCCTTTATCAAATGCATGGTAGCCTTATACTTGTCTGCCCTGCATCGATCAATGACATGAGTGGGAAAGAGAAGAATTCTCCTTTATAAATTAAAGAAAAAAAAAAAAGAACGAATGGAAAAAAGGCGTCAAGGAGTCATAAAAAAAGGGAGAAGAAAGTTTTATGAAATTTAATTAAAGAGTTTGGGGGATCATAAAACTGTAAAAGCAGATCTATTGTGCTATTTTCACAAATAATTAAAAAACACGCATAAACACATGGTTGGTATGCAATTAATTAAAATACTTCTTCAGCTGCAGCGCGCGAGCGGGAAAGAAAGGAGGACAGCCTAAAGAAATATGTGTCACCATATTTTACAATTGATCAAACAGTTGTCGAAGTGGAAGGTAGGGTGGTAAAGGCCCTTTCGTGCCACGCTTTATTTTCAGATAGTATATAATTTCTTCAGACCTTTGCGCGCTGCTAATTCATTTTTTCTATTTATCTTGAGACGGAAGCAACAACCAAGAAAGCCAGTTGAAAGTTGATGAGTGAGTGACTACCTCATTTTCACTTTCCATTTCGGCAGCTGCTTGATTGGGACAAGTATGACTTTCAATCATTTTTGGTAGCGGTGTCGTCGTTGCTTTGAAGTATGGCGAGATTTAAGATGTCAAGAGTATCTTTAATTGGTGCTATGTCTCTATCCTTTCCAACAAACTTTTTTTCTTGTCTAAAGAAAAAGTTTCCTCCGTCTTTTACATGCTTTTCTATTGTTATTGAACTGTAGGATCTTTCTTTTTGCCCATAAACAACGTACTTCGCTTTTGTTGGCTGAGAAAGTATTCCAAAGCTGTTGTATCCAGCTTTAGTTGTTATTGAAAAAGGCAGTTAAGCCGATGACTTGCGAATTAGATTCTCCATGAAAAAGAGCTGAATATTATTAAGTTAAGTTTGAGTAAGAGTTTTATTGGAGAAATTGAATACTGTCAGCATGATTTAATGTGGTCAATGTGATTGTTATATTATTATCAGATGCGATAGAGAAATTTAAGGTAGAATGTATGCTCTACCGTAAAATTATGCTCGGGTTATTTTAATGATTCTAATTCAAACCTATTGAAGAGCTTTGATCAAAAGAAAAACAACATATCAAAAGGCATCCTATGGACTCTCATGATACCTTGGCTCCTCGAATAGTGGCTGATTGCCAAACCGTCTTTCGTAAAGATTGTATCGGATGGATAGGCATGCAGAGTCCCTCACGGATAAATGTTCAAACGAGGGATGATGGAGTGTCATTTAGTTCGATCTATAAAGAAACTATTGGCTTGGAAAGTCATATAAATAGCCACTGTGTGAAAACGTACATCATTAGTAACGTCTATTCCATTGGCAAGTATTTCTTATCAATATCAAAGAGTAAAAAAGGACACAACTGCATAATATACAACACAATAGTATTATCGGGAAATGAAAATAGTGTGCCAAGAGTCTCCGACTCAATACTATGCTGTGACGCAAAATGCATCAACTCACACTTGGCATTATTATTCTTGGTCTTTTTTTTTTCACTTTTTTTTTTCTTTGAACTTGCAACTTTACTATCGCATATGAAAGCACTCATTATCTTACTGTGCTTACATTCAGTCATTGCATATCAAACTATCATTGATGTCTTATCAAAGGATGAACGATTTGAAAAACTAGTGTCTCATTTACAAAAACTTGAACTTGTGCCCATGATAAACGAGCTCGAGTCAGGTACATTCTTTGCTCCAGTGAATGCCGCATTTGAGAAAATTCCGGATACTGCCGTCAGTCGTGAGTCACTGCTCTATCATATTCTAAAAGGCAAAGGCATATCATCCACTGACTTTTATCATGGTCAGCTAAAGGAGACACTGTATGACGGCTATTTAGGCTCCGATGCACAACGCATAAAAATGACAGTAAAAGGGCACAAGGTTTACGTAAATCAGGCCAAGCTGATAGAAACAGACATTCAAGTAAATAATTATACCTACATTCATGCCATAGACAGAGTATTGGAGTTACCAAAGCTTTTAGGTAAAGGAAAGCAATAAGAGAGAGAAAGATGTTAATAATATCTGATAATAGGAGATAGCATAAGAGACATAAACCCCGCTCTTGATGAGCTGATGCAAAAAGCGGACATCATTCAATTACTGAAAGAAAAGACGCCATTCACGATATTCGTTTCAACAAAAAAGGAACCCTTAGGCTATTACAATGACATAGAGTCGACTTACTTGATGTCTAAACATGGCAAAACAGAGTTGTCCTTATTTTTAAAATATGCAATCATAGATAAAGCCATCTATTTGGACGAATTTACTTCAGGGAAAACGACATGTAAGCTATTATGCGATATAATTCATATTAATAATATAATTTACTAGACAAGTCCATTACCGGTGATTCTTTAACCATCACTTCAACTAAGAAAGGAGAAGCATCCGTCAATGATTTTGCTATTACACAGTCTGATATATTAGCCGCCAATGGTAAGTAAAAAATGTATTGTATGAGCTATTGCCAATGCATACAGAACATAGGTGTCATTCATCAAATAGACGATATATTCAAACCAAACTCATTGATATTCAACACAAGGAAATACCTGTACGGCTTGAATGCTACAAACATGGTACAACTCTTTGACAATTACAACCTCTCACATTACATTGACCAAATGGACACAAACTATACCTTTTTGATACCACCTGAAGACGATATACCTCTCCCTCCTCTTCCTGCTGCATCTTGGCTGGAGTATCATGTAATTCAAGGCCTCTGGTCACAAGATACCTTGGTTGATAAAAAGTTATTGTTGACAGAATTCAAGTCATCTGAATTAGGAGACAAGCGCCAAAGAGTGCCTGTATATACTGAAAATGATGGAAAGAAGAAGCCATCCATCTTGTTTGATCATGCTCGGTCTCTTGGTGATCCCGGTAAGTGCATAGATATATAGGATGCAACAGCCTATTTACCTTTTTATCAACAACAAAACAAACAGTCAGTATTCAAGGCAGTATCATCTATAAAATATCCGAGCCTCTGACGTTACCTGGGGACTTTTTATCAAGACTCGTAGTTGACCTAGACTCATCCACCTTTATTGCCACCCTTTATGTATCCGAAGTAGTAGAGGAGATCAAGAGTACGCCGGGTATTACCTTGTTTGCTCCAACCAACGATGCATTTAAAGAGCTTGGTCTTGTGGCCAAATACCTCGTTCATTTTAGTGCCAAACCTCAACTCCAGTCTGTTTTGAGATACCATGCGGCCAAGAAGTTACTGTATGAAGAAGATATGAAAAGCAAGACACACGAAGTAAACACCTTGGCCAACTCCACATTACGCATCAGTCCAGACGACCAGGTTATTCACGTTGGCAGGCCAGATGATAGTTCGACAGCAGCGATTGTGGATAAACCAGATATGTTGGTATCCAATGGCGTCATACACAAGATTTCAAAGGTTCAAATCCCAAGTAATGTGCAGATTACCAATCAGCAGGTTCTGGTGGGCATTGAGGCTAACACGTTGATGACCATCCTGGAGAAGGCAGAACTGCTCAACCTAACCCAACAAGATAACACGGTCATACTGGCTCCTACAGACAAGGCATTCACTCGATTGGATGTTCAAGCTTTACTGGAAGATCCTTACCAGCTGGAACGTATAGCTAAAATGCACATGGTACCTGCGACCTGGCAGGATGAGTGGACAAGTCATGAATCAAGCACTGTGACTAAACTAAAAAAGCTACTGACCTTTGAATACCCTACCCTGCTCTCATTAGCAGATCGAGTGGTAGTCCAGCAAACCGAAAAGGGAGAGTGGATGGTTCAAGTGAAGGATAGTGATCAACAAGCTCAAATTCTGGGATTTGGACGTACATCCGCGAATGGAGGCATTATCTTAATTGACAATGTTTTGATACCCGTGCGAAGAGGTATCTTTGGCCTACCTTTCCTCTGGTCATTGTTTGTCATCTTACTCATGATTGCTTTAATTGGTGGAACAATTTCAGTATGCGGCTTCTTTGGATACAAGGTATACAATAGAAGAAGATTAGGTTACAGGCCGATATTTTAAAAACATGCTTTTTTTTTTGTAAGAGCATTTTATATAAAATGTCACGTTTTATTTGTCTACATTGTGTATGTCTATGTTTGATTTTTTATATGTAAGATTGAAACTTGTTCATTCATAACCGCGGTTCTTCCCATCACTTTTACGACGCTTGTTATCGTCTTTGTTACTCCTGTCATCGTCTTTGCTACTCCTGTCATCGTCTTTGCTACTCCTGTCATCGTCTTTGCTACTCCTGTCATCGTCTTTGCTACTCCTGTCATCATCTTTGCTACTCCTATCATCATCTTTATCGTTCTTGTCATCATCTCTGCCACTCTTTTCATCATCATCATCACCCTGTTCTTTGGAATCTTCCATAGCATCTTCCATAGCATCTACTTTATCTGTATATTCTCGAGCAGCTGTTTCGCTGAAATAACGAGTAACAACGACAATTTCGTTTGTCTCGTCACTACTGATATACAAGCGACCATATTGATCCACGGCTAATCCATAAGGAGTAAAGCATTTACCTTCACCACAAGGCTCTAATGCTTCCAAAATAACCTCTACATCCAAATCAAGACGAGGTTTATGTCCGAGATCATTAAATGGAATATGGACCACACTGTGTCCTTCTGGTTGATTATCGAATCCGTGATTGGCAATGATGGGAGTATTTGTCCAATTACAGGGAAGACCAACCGAGGTACCCAAGGTCGCCAGATCGCCGACAGAGCAGAAAGTGCCACTGTAAAAATGAACATTGGAAGCATATGATTTTGGAGGCAAGGGAACTTCGGGAACACGGTTGCTTGTTTCATCAAGGCAATAAGCATCAAGAGCAAATGACTCGTTCAAGAAGACAGGATTACCCCATTGTCCGCCACGGCCTCTAGAGAGTTCGGATATTTTTTCTAGACTGTGTTCTGTGTAGCAGTAAGGGAAACCATAGTTATTTCCAGGACCTGCGTACTTGTTTAATTCCTCTGCAAGGCCAGAGACGGAAAGATCTGTTATATATAAAAAAGTTAAACATAAGGATGCGCTGTGCTTAGTAAAAGATGTGTACCTTGGTCAGGATGGATGTCGGTTCTCTTTATATCTTTGGGAAGTCCATTGAGGCCCCAAAGTTGGGATTGAACATCAAATCCGAGTAAACCTTGGGTGTTTGTACCGAACGCAAAGAACTCACCATCGAGATCAAAGTCATAGCCTTTTTCTGGTATATCACGGAAATTAAACTTTTTGATCACTGCATGCGTCGATCCGACCTTTTCATCAACATCAGTCATCGAGCGAGGAATGAATGCGGATCCATGCACATCAATTACAATATCAGGCGCCTCGGTTGATTTAAGCGGATTCAAATTTGACATCACCTTGACACCATCAGCCAAGGGAGAATGTTGACCATCATTATAGGGAAATCGGTAGATCGATGTCTCGGTTGCCACAAAAATATACTGACCATAGATGGCAACACCCGTTCCGAGCTTTTCGTCAAACAATGTACCGTCCAGGATCTGCAGAATGTCTGAATTACCACACTTGTCCATACGAATAGAGTACAAACCGCGTTCAGGCGATACAACCAAGAGATGATTAGTTCGGTCCATGAGCAGTTTTCGAGGATATTCAATCTTGTTTGTCAGCACAAAAAAATCATAGCCAGACATCACCTTGAGTTCTTTGACAGGAGAGGTCGGTACGTCTGGTTTACACAGCGGTTGATCTTCAACATTGGACAGAATAATCGGGTTATCAGAACTAGCGTCTGGTATAATCACACCAGCAGCAGCACTGAATTCAAGAGACCCTTCGGGTCTTTTGACACTCTTTTTGCTTGAGTTCTTCTTCTGTTTGGCGCTCTTTTTAGCAAACGTCAATGCAAAGAGCAAGGAGAACGTGAATAGGAAAATTATTTGCTTCTTCATTCTTTAAAGCAAAAAAAAAAGTAAAGAGAAAAGAGAAAAAAGGAAAGCAAATGTATAGATAAAAATGATATATGCCAGTTTTTTGTTGGAAACCAAACTGCCCTCTCAGTATGTAAGTTTCTCTTTTATGGCCCTCTTGATTCAGCCATTTTAATAAAATTCCCGTTCATGCACACATAGAAGTACACAGATATAAGAAGCTGTGACTTGTTTTAATGCGTCGCAGACGCGGAAAGACCTTTTTTCTCTTTTCTTTTTTCAAGTATGGACCATATCGCAGTGCTCATTAACGAACAAAAATACATTGACTTGTTTGAGTACTGTCAACAGCTCGAGATTCAAGTAAACAAAAAACAAAAAACAAAACATCATGTTATTGATGTGTGTACTATAGAGCGTTACAGATGTAAATGTTGACTTGCAAGTGGTGTATCCCATTTACTTGGCAAGTAGCGTGTTTATCAATGACTTGTAAACTATACACTGTGGATATATAAACTTATGACTAACTTTTGTTTATAAAGCCAAGCTGCACGATATATTAGAAAGCGTATAAAGAAGCGTAATATAAATACAGAACAAATTGAAGCTATTTGGAGAGTGATTGCAGCCTTGATAAATAAGTCATATCCAGAAGCATATAAACAAATGAATTCTTTTGGGTGGACAGAATGGATGCAAATATTGGTGACAAGAATAAAAGAGAAGCTAAGGAATGAAATGTTGTCGTTGATACCCAAGGTTTATAGTTCAATTGACCTATGCCAAGTGAGTAACCTGTTTGGGGTACAAGGAAACGAGCTTATTACAGGTAATTGAAATGAAATGTTTGTCAACAGCAAATAAACAAATATGGTATAGAGTTAACAAACAGGGGATGGAAATGTGAAGGGAATATGGTTTATCCAGTAAAGCAAGGTAAGTAAAAAGAAATGTAAACAAACAAGCAAAACAATAACCTTTCTTAGTTTCAATATCAGTCCCAAAGATAGCAAATGAGAATCAATATTCTAGATTAGCAGATATTTTGATTCAACTTGAAAAGTTTTAGCTCCTTATTAATAAACTCCTGCAGCTTGAGTGTTGTTTATACCAAATGAAGCAACCATAGTGATTACCCGATCAGTAACAAGCATAACTGTACGACCAATGCGACAATCATAAGACCGAAAAAGGGATCTGTAACAATGAAAAGAGCGACAGTTGGGGGCGTACGTTTATTACAAAAGAATGATTGAATTCAATCAATCAATTTCTTTTTTTTGGATATTAGGAAAAGGATTAAAAATAACTTTTTTGAGTGAAATGCAAGCAAAAACAACAGCAAAAATGAAAGTATGTATACATGCCAAATGATTAAGTAATTGTAAGAAAAAGGTATACCATGTGGTAATACAAAGTAAAAGGAGAAATGAAAGAGAGAGAGAGAGAGAGAGAGAAGGGAGGATGATCTATTTTCGAACCAGTAGTGTCTTTTTAGTTGAATTAAGTGTAGTGTTATTAGTAGTATTAGTAGTAGTAGTAGTAGTGCTGCGTCTATTTGAGGGAACAACAGAAGGTCTTTCAGTAGTCATGACTGGTGAATTCTTTCCTGTTGCTGTGACAGATGAGAGGTGACGTCCAATAGGTGTCTTTGTTGCCTTGGCAACAGATATAACATTGGAAGTCTTTTTGACTGGATCTTTTCTGGTTGACATGTTCATTTTTTTTAATTGAGAGATTTCATTCAAGGCTTGATCAAGCTTTGACTGTATCAATCTTCGTTCCTCGGCATCCTGTTGAGTCTGCTGCAGTCTAGCCGTTTCAGTTTCATGCATTTGATCCAGGATACGAGTCAACATATCTTCCATCTTGGTCCTTGCGGTCACTTCCTTCTTTAAACAATACTCTAATGCTTGTGTTTGGTCGAGTGCTTCGTTCATTTTCAACTCATACGTCTGGCGTAAAGACACTTCTTCTTCTAATCTATCATACAACACCTTCTGCTGTTGATCAATCAATACTGTCATATCTTCTACTGTGTTTTCAAATGCTCTTCTCATAGCAGTCTCTTGTTCCAATCGTTGTTCCAGTTGCTTCAACTTGTTTTCCAATTGATTGACTTTGTTTTCATATTGTCGACGATTGATCGTATCACACAATGCAGCAATATGGAAAAGCATCTTGGGCTGATTCATATTACGACGAGTGTTATAGCCACGCCATAAAGATTGAATTTTAATTGCGGCTTTATCACGAATTAATTCTTCATCGTCTTGTAATATGGAGTAAAACTGACAATCAGATTCTAATTCTTCATCCTTTTCGTTATCGTCATAACCTTCATCGCTCATGTTTTCAGTATAGTGTTGTTGTATGATCGTAATGGGTGCATTATACTTGTTCCTATTTAAGCGTACAAGAATGATTCTTGATTCATTTGTTTTGAGTGTATCTGTCATGGTGGAACTATCAAAGTCCATGACAGGTACAGATTCGCTGCAGAATATATCCATATCTTGTTCTGTATATACAAACAAGTAAGCAATCAAATTATATAAACAAACAAGCAAATGCTACCTGAATTTGATCTAGTTTGTGTCACTTGGTTTGCTAAAAAGAAGGATGGGCGTACAGGCATTTGCTTGACGGTAGAAGCAGATTCACAAGACAGCTCGCGTGGCCTTTGTGCGGGCAATTGAAGTGGTGATAGCCTGCCATCATCCACCATTGTCGTCTCATGCCATGACATATGATCTTGATCAACCGATAATAATGCCGTGACAGTAAATGAAGATGGATCAAAAAATGAATATTTGCTATCTCCTTCATCCAAGTAACTTAGAGCTTCCAAATAAGACTTGGGCGGGAATTCATATTCATATTGATCTTGGTCCAAATTCTGGGTGACAAGAATAGGTTCCTCTTCGTCGGAATCTTGGTAGTATAGACTCTGTTGATGATACAATTTAAATAAGTATTTTGTGTTTTTGATGATAATGAAGAAAGAGAGAAAAGAGAGAAAAAGAGAAAGAGAGAAGTGCGGCTATAAAAAGTTTAAAATAAATCAAGATTTAAGGGGGTATTTTTAAGCAAGTAAGATTATAATTCAGGGTGTGTGAATGAATATGGATGCGTACAGATATAATGTCAAACCATTTTCTCATCTCTCTTTCTCTTTCTTCTTTTTTTCAAACAAATATTTACCTCTGTTTGAAATAAATATAAATCTTGTTGATAGATTGTGTACATTTATGATGGATAAATTCTAAAGTTTAAAAAAGGAATGGAAGGGGGTATAGAAAGTATAAGAGTAAAAAAAAAAAAAAGAAGTGTAAAGGAATGAAAAGAAAAAGAGTAAAATTGTTGCTTTTTTTCTTTCTGGCCCTTTTTTATTGACAGTGGATTTTAAGGGGGAGAAAGAAGAGATAATGGGGAGTAATGATAGCTTTTTTATATTTTATAACTCATTTCGAGGGGAAGACTAAGAAGGAGGATGGAGGCATGATCGAATGTATATAAAGTGATCGCGCGGTGAACCGTCAATAAGATGATAGTCGATCCATGTAACAATGCGTTGTGATAAACCTTGTTTCATTAGGATGTTCCATTATATAAATATAAAAATATAAAAATATACTTTATTATATATACATGTACCACCTTCTTAGGACTGTAGATCTCTTGTTTAATTGTTCTCTTTATTCCCCTTAGACCTGTCAATTTAATTTTCTATGTTTAACCATACGTAAACATTCGTAGCTCCCCCCAATCCCCCACTCCTTTCTCTTTATTCTTCTTCTTTCTCCGTATTATTCAACTTTGAGGTATACATGCTGGCTTTCTTCTTTAACTTTTTTCTTATTCATCCCTTTTTATCGTTTGAATGCACTTTTCTTACTTTCGGCTCGATAAGAAGTGTTTCAAATGAATTTGGTCGTGACCCAATCATTTCTGATTTGACTTCAAATTAATAAAACTAGCATATGGACCCTTCTTCTCAATCAAGCAGATAAAGGGGAACGATCTATTCTTCTGTCTAATTATATGTTTATTTATCACGTAGTGATTGACATACACCTCCTTAAGCAATCAAGATCGCTTTCATCGTCCTTCCTCTATTTAAGCAATGCATGTGAAGGAGGGATATAAAAGAGGAGGGGCGTCTTTTTTTGTATGGACAATGGCTGTCTGTCATTCCATTTTAGAAAGAATCGTCAACTTATGACTTGAGCTATTCAAAAACGCCATGCTATATAGTTCTAGAAGCCTCTTTAGCCAAATAACATAGATCCAGACTTTCAATCAAGTATTCTGTTTTACTTGCTGGGTAACAAATGAAGGATATGCATAGTTACCGCTCTCTTTCTTTTTCCCCCTTCAAAAGAAAAAAAACATGTATGTGTATGCATTATTAGCATGAGACTTTATGTAGTCTTTTGATCTCCTAAAATACCTTATTCTGCTTATACGTGAGTGTGAGTATGTGTGTGTATCTGTAGTAACGCCCTGCTTTAAGGGTAACACAGCAAAAAGCTCAAAAAACGCCACCTGGAATCAACGTTACACCTTGGTTTGCATTTGTATTTCATGTCACAACCTTTACTCAACCTTGGTCTGTTCATGAGGCGTTGTATAACTTACTATGGCTTCATCAAAATTGTCTTTTGAATAGCTTGCATTCTATCGTCAATTATTGTTTATACATTCAAAGGGTTAATGCGTAGTCTTGCCAAGGCTTAAGTTCGTTTATTAAGGAGCTGATCATCCTGTTTTCCTATTGGCTGATCACCCATTTTGAATAGCATACTAACCAACTTTGGATACCACAAGGAGATCACAGGATTATCTAAAACTTAAGTTAGAATAACACTAGATCAAGAAAGGATCATTCATTCTTTTTGATTTAACCAATAAAAACTAGAAGCGAACCAATAGTCTTATTTAGGCGCACGATTTGGCAATTTGCCCTTTAATAATGTCAAAGGCAAAAAAAAAAAAAAAAATGCCACTGTATATTGACAATAATCTCTTTGCTAAGCTCAGTAATAACATTCTTGACCTTAAAAGTTAATTGAGAGCAATACGAGTTCTTAAAAGTGTTGCTTCCTTACTGTCAATGCGGCTGTGTATCAACATTGTTTTCAGTTGATCATTTATACTACAACCTAAAAAGACGCAGCAGTCTTTAACAAGGCTACCTTTTTCTCATCTCTCTCTTTTTCCCCTTATTGACTACTCATCCACATTGACACACGATGCATGCTCGTCATTACAACGCCGCAGCTGATCATTTCACATTCCACATATAATTTACACAAGATACATTTTATTCAACAAAACGATCGTTGTATACTGATATTGTTGCTTTCAACGTTGAGATGCATTTAAGGACCTTGAGTGGGAGCAGGGTTCATTCTGCGCTTACCACCGATTTGAGTGGTGACATTGACGAAACGACGGTTGTAAATTTGTCTCTTCTTTGCGCGACCTGTCTTAGGCTTCTTCTTTTCTTGCTTAGCAACCTTGGGGGTTTGAGACTTGACTTTACCGGCACGAGCCAAAGAACCGTGTACTTTACCCTATGATGATGATGGATGTTGGTTGATGTTGTTATACGATGCGCTATCATCTTACCATATTATACGATAATAAAAGAGAAGGTTAAATCATCTCCATACATCTCTCAAGTTCATACCAAAACAGAATCCGGCCGTGGGCTCCGGTTCGACCCGCTGTTGGTCCGATTGATTTATACATTTTAACCCTTTGACCCGAGTCATATTTAATTCTCAGCAGTAGACCGCTCACCTCTGACAGATCGTGTGTGTGCGGGGAGTGAGAGAGAGAGAAAGAGGGCGGGAGAGTCAAAGTGAGGGCTATGTAGAGAGAGAGAGACAGATTATGAACACCAAACCCAAACCACAAATCCCCCTCCTTCTTAATCGATAATATGGGTAAGTGAAGGTTACCTATCAATCCATCCATCTCCAATATTAACCATCCTATTTTCTACATCTAGCTGTCGGCAAGAACAAGTAAGCTCGAATATACACACTTTTTTTTTTTGCAACAGATCCTAATGTGATGATTATAGGCGTCTTTCAAAAGGAAAGAAAGGTCTGAAGAAGAAGGTGTAAGTAATGCTTCCATGAAAACGAAATCAGCTTAAAGAATAAAGGGAGAGGAGAATGAGGACAGATTAAGTGGAGTATACACGCAACAATGAGACAGAAAGAGAGGAATCATGATCATTCTCCACCCAATCTTTTTGCGCAATTTCGTTGATTTTGTACAATCTTATTGACACTCATTCATTAGCGTTGACCCCTTCACCCGTAAGGACTGGTATGACATCAAGGCTCCTTCCATGTTCGAAGTTCGTCAAGTCGGTAAAACCTTGGTCAACCGTACTCAAGGTCTCCGTAACGCCAACGACTCTCTCAACGGTCGTGTTGTCGAAGTCTCCCTTGGTGATTTGTCCAAGGACGAAGGCCGTGCCTTCCGCAAGATCAAGCTCAAGGTTGATGAAATCCAAGGCAAGAACTGTCTTACCAACTTTTACGGTATGGACATGACCACTGATAAACTCCGTTCCATGGTCAAGAAGTGGCAATCACTCATTGAAGCCTTTGTTGACATCAAGACCACTGATGGTTACTTGGTTCGTCTTTTTGCCATCTCTTTCACTGCTCGTCGCCGTAACCAGATCAAAAAGACCACCTATGCTCAAGCTTCTCAAATCCGTCAAATCCGTAAAAAGATGTTTGAAATCATGACTGAAGAAGCCTCTGCTTGCGATCTTAAGGAATTGGTTGCCAAGATCACCAGCTCTGCCTCTCACGCTTCTCAAGACGCTATTGCTGTCCGTATTGAAAAGGCTTGCCAAGGTATCTACCCTCTTCAAAACACCTACATTCGTAAGGTCAAGATCCTCAAGGCTCCCAAATTTGACGTCTCTGCTCTCTTGGCCCTTCACGGTGGTGCTGCCGCTGCTGCTGATGACACTGGTGCTAAGGCTGCCAAGGAGTTTGTTGAACCTCCTATCTTGGCTTCTGTCTAAGAAAAACGTAGATTTTTATTTGCTCACTATATGGCAATAAAAAGTATATCATTTTGTGTAAAATATAATCATTGTCGTTCTTGCTCTTCTTTTCTTTGCTCTAACGTCTCTCGAATTTCTTTGGCAAACCACTCTTTGCTCGTCTCTTGTTCAATCGTCAATACTCGAGGTGCATTCTTTACCTGCAGATAAACACCATCGGATTTTGCCTCGGCTGTTTCAATAAGATCTAATGGAATACTAGATTCCATCTTTAGGTTATCAGAGGTCATAACAATAATGTTTTGATAGGACAAAATAACAACCATTTGATCACTTTTCATGACTGTGTGAGCAATGTAATCATCGTTAAAGAACTTGCCGCTTTCCATTTCTTTAAGCCACATTTGACCTAGAGCTTCTCTTTGTGAAAATGACTACGAAGAGATTAATACAGGTAATTCTAGAGTTCAAGACACTTACGGTTAAAATGCCGTCTCTTCCAATGAATCGAGGTAATCGTTCTCTATTGATTTCTGTTCCTTCAAAGACAGTCGTCGTTTCTCGTATACCTGCTGTTATATTACTAGCCATATCAAAAATACCCACAATAGGTTTTGTAACGACCCTAAACCTTAATTAGATAATGATTCCATCTATTAACAATACATACCCTACGAGGCCTCTACCAACGCCCTCAGCAAACCCCAGCACACCATTCTCTTCAGCTCCCTCAATTGGACGTTTCTAAAGTGATGATCAGTATATATAAACGGCAACCAAACATCAAAATAACTCACAACTAATCCTGCAACACCGCTAGCTATGCTGGTACCAAAGTACCCCACACCCTGAGTGATACCGTAGATTGCATGTGTAGGCTTATTACGAGTCATGTTCATACGTCTCTTCTCTTGGAACTTTTTATCCATAGTTGCAGCTGATAAACCTTTTCCTAAGCTTCCTGTGAATCTCGACATGCTGTCCGTTACACCAAATATGCTCTTCTTCATGAATCCACCCACTCCCTAAAGTAAAAAAAAAGCGAAAGCAAGGAGGGTTAGAATGATCCCTTTTTTACAGATTACGGGACGTACTCTAGCAATACCAATGCCTAAATCTTGCGGACGATCACTCATGACAAAACCTTGATAGGGCTCATAGAACAATTCCCCAAATCCAGAACTAAGGGTATTGAAGAGACCTACGGGGTTGCCAAAGATATCAATGCTACCAAGGATGCGATGAACCTGATAAATGATTTGTTCACGATAATGCAGGATGATACGTGAAGTTAGGTCTTCAGAACTTGCACGGAGGTTTTCTACCATGAGGGCATTAAGCTTTATAGGAGCATCGTTGATGTTTCCTAAAGTCATTGTAAACACGTTAAACACATAGCTTATAGGTGTGTCCCTGGATGAGTCCCTAAGAAATAGGTAAATAAAGCAGTTTTAAAAAGTCCTTTAATCACATACTGAGGATCCTTGCTGTTATTCATTTTTTCGGTTCTAACAAACGAGATGTTCAGCCGCATAGGTTGAATATAAAACTCTTCAAAGTAATAAAGGGCATATGTTTTCTCGACAGTAGGCTCTGCAATTTCCATAACAAACAAGTCTTCCCTATATCACATGCATCAACACATGACACATTCTACATAATATTGCCACTATCTCTTACCTGTGTTCAGGAGCAGCAGGGGCGTTGTCAAACTGTGCAAAGTCTAATAGGACATATAAGAAGCTTTCGTCCATTTCAAATGTCATCTCCTGAAGAAGGAAGGAGAAGAGCTTAAAGTAATATACACCATGTTGGTCGTCCTTGACTTTATCTAGAGCAATATGAAGTGTAGGATGTATATCTAGTTCGGTTGCTACTTTTGGTAAGGTAGATGGATAACACAAGATAGGGTAAGTTGACCCGTACAGTTGATTGTCAACCTAAAAAACCGGTAAGTAAGGAGCACTTAAGGTTTTCATACTACTCGCACCTGCAGCCAGTCAATGCTTAACCTTAATGATTGATACATATTTGAATCAGTGTACTTGAAATCAATGCCTTTGATGGTAGCATATGCTATTTCCTATTGTTTTTAAGCCTATCAGCTCCCAGAGATATAAAGTAATGTATATGGTCAACATACCTGAGGATCTCTATTGATGAGTGACAAACCCAAGCCGGTCAAATTCAACTCAAATATGTAATTGATCACATGTTGAATGTTGACAGTTTCAAAGGCCTCACGTATACTACCTTCTCTAGATGTGGATGCAAGAGTAGAAGTGGCTGAGGACTTAGGTCTGTATAAACTCTTTGAGAGATCAAAATCGGTAATATGTAATATAAGTGCAGAGTCTCGAGCTTTGATATCAATGGATAGGGTATTGCTTCCAACGGGTCCATCTCGCTGCTTTAGGTAACGGAAGGGTATCTGTGAACCAACGGCCTCAAAGTTGATATATCGACGTCTATCTCCTACACGTAACTCAATTCTCTTTTCTCTTGCAATAGGAATATCCCAAGAGTATTCTAGTTGCTCACCAGGAGACAGATGGAAGGTACGAGGCTTTGTGATGGCTGCCTTTTGTTTGCCCTTTAGATTATAGTCACTCGGATCAATATCTTCTTGTGCGAATTCAAGATCGACACTAGAGTCATTCACTATATAGTATGGCCATTCATCATCTTCATTAAAGGTTGCAAAAATAGTAGAATCTCTAATTTCGACGGAAACCCTGACCAGATACGGTATAGCATTCTCTCCTCTATCCACCTTTACGTATGTTTTGCCAATATCTTGAATATTTATAGGGCAAGACCATCTTCTGTCAGGCTCTTGGAGGCGAAGACATAGCCATCGTACTGAAGACTTGCTAGTCTGATACAGCGCCGTCTTTTGTCCTGGTTGGATGTTTATCACATTATCTGTGCTGAACTCGCACAGTTCGAGATTCACTTCCATGTTGTTTTTTAGAATGTAGCGAGGCGTAATGGAAACAATCTTGGTCAATCGTAACTCGTTTGTTCCTTCTTCAACTTTGATACCAGCATGTCTTGCATAAGCATCCGCTTTAGAGAACAAAGTGACGTCTTGACTATTTCCAACAGCTTCAAAACTGATAGGGTCGCTCCATTTAGAACCATCAATGGATATTTGAGCACGGTTATGGTAATCAATATCGTCATAAGAGAATAAGGCAGGTACGATCTGCTCGCCTTCTTTATATGCAGGAATCTGTTCCACACGTTGTTTGCTTTGACGGTATGTCTGGCGTGGTCTCAGACTGATTGGAAGGCCAAACTTGTTGATAATAAGATAAGGTGCATATATACCAATGTAGAGTGAGTCTATTGTATTAATCGTTCTTGAGACATGCATCCTCAAGTTGGTCGGTACATCGTCTTGGTCTATAATGGTTAACTTGTCGCTAACTGAGTTGTAATTCGGAGCAGTTTTGATGATTGCAGCTTCACTAGGCTTGTACTTGTCCGACTTCAAGTCTAACTGTACTTTTAATGTAGCATCGCTCTTCAAACTATGGATATGCGCCTTTTGGCCATGCCGAATAAACAGGGAAGTGCTCTCGCCTTTACCTTCCTCTGATAGCACAAGATCAAAATCAAAGGGTAAGAGGTTTTCGATTTCAATAGGTGCACAGAATTGAATCTTCATCAATGGGTAATGTCTAATAAGTGTGCTCTTTTTGTCGCACTCTGTCTTGATCTGGAAGAACTGCTTCACTGACTGATTATCCAATGATTCACATTCCAGAAATTTAGGAAAGGTAGGTAACAATACATCAGACCATGTCATCATCTCCTTGCTCCAGCGGTGTTTTTCTGAAGGTCTGGCTACGATCCATTGGTCGTAACACAACTTGATAGGCACATGGTAGCTTTCTCCAGGCTGCAATGTGATGACACCCGAAAGGATAAGCCTCTTTTTATTCACAATTGCCACTTGCATCTCTTGCGACGAGCCGTTTTCCAAGACGAGACCGCTTCTAAACGTGACTTTCTTGACATGATTTTCTAAACGAATGTCGACAACCAAGCGATGATAAACACCATTGTCCTCAGGTCGAAGGCGGTAAGCAAACTGACCTTCTCGGTCTACTGCAACATGTAGAATACTCTCCCAATTACTCTCATCCACTTGAACGCCAAACAGGTTTTTGCCAATATTGATATTTTCTCTGCGTTTTTTCCAGTCTCGGAAGATCCATGGCATAGATTCACCATTGCTCAAGCAGAATATATGCGGATTACTACTGTCCGCATCATCAGACATATTCCAAAACCGGAGATCATACCCAGTTGAGTTGGTAAGCAAGTAAGGCCGCACTTGGTCCTGGACCGATTGGGCGAGCGGTCTAACTTCAGACAGTGTCTGAGAAATGGCTAGAGTGGTTTCAATAAATGCATGTGTCACGTTCAAATGCATCAATTCTTCAGAGTTTAATGAAACAGTCGTGCTCTTGTCTACTGGGCTTTGAGATGCCTTGATACCAAACTTCCATGGCTCCAGAAGTGGTTCCCAATGAGAGTTCTTAAAGTTGAAGTTCTTGGCTGCCATGGCAAAGTCAACCTCAGCATGAAGTGCTCTTGTCCAATCCGAGGCAGTGATTTGGAATGGAGGCATTTGAATATCGATAAAGGGCAGATCATGCAAATCTTCGATCAAGACAATCTGGATTCCTTCAAATGCTGCTACCAACGTCTCCTTTATCATCACAACATAGGGTTCGATACCACTCGGTCTATCAAGCTCTTGTGTTCCATCTAAATCGCGTCTGACATCAGAAAGCTCTTCAGAAACAATCGACAATTTGGGAGCCTCATTCTTATTTGCACTGCCCGTTAGTTCTAAAACCTTGTTTACGATATTCATGATCAACATCGCATCTTGGTATGATAGACGCAAAATAATAGGTTTTACATAAAGTTTGATAGACATCAGATTATGCACAGAGTTTGGCGCTGCATTATTCAGTTCGAGGATCACATCAAACTGTTCGACAAAGTGCAGCGTTGACTCCTTTCGATTGTCCATACGACACAAAACCATGCCTATGCCGTCCAGATTAACCTTGAGAACATCCTGTTGGTCTACTGTAAGCTGATTAAACGATAAAACGACAGCTTCAGACGCTTCATTATCTGGTGACGCAAGACAAATGACTTCAAGGTCAACCACATTGACATGGTATTTCATGACCGTTGCCGGTGCCTGACTTTGCATTTGCTGAGCTTGTTGTATTTGCTTGTTTTTATCATTATCCTTTCCATGAGATTGTGCAAACTTTTGAGCCTCAGTAGGCTGTTCTACAACAAATGGAGCCATAAAGAAATCCTTGAGTAAAAGCAAATAGTTAAGAGACAGGATAACCTTGGGACTATCCACAGCGATATGCATGCTCATCACGGACAGGTCATTCTCCTTGTAAGAGTGTAATTTGAATTGAAACTGTGGGCCTTCAAGCGAGGTTGCTGGCAGAATTTCCTTGAATTTTGAATTCGACTCTTCTCTCGCATCTGCAAACTGAACAGATTGCATCTTGACTTCCATTAGCATCGATTCGTCCGACATTGTTTGCATTTTCATGCCAATGCCATTGAATGAGAGTTGTGAGAGCAATTTACCAGCATTGTTTTCCGTTGTCAGCTCGTCTCCTCGAATGATTTCAAGACATACTGTATTCAGTTGGATTGCTAGATCAAGACTAATATTTGGAGATTGTTGAGTTTCTTTCATTGGAACTTCAACTTCTTTGGATCGATGCGAGACTGTAGACACCTGTGACGAGCGTGAGCTTTTGATGATATCTTCTTCTTCTTCATGATGAGCACCACCATTGGATGAAGAGGCAAGGAACGTCTTTTGGATAATATCCCATACTTTCAACAGTAGCTTGTATTGTCTTTCGGTCAGTGACATTCGGACATCTGAAATACAGCCCTTGATCTGTGACACTGGTCCGCTCCTGACATCTGATTTTACAAGATTTTCAATATCAAATGCGATATCCAAATCTTGAATGATTGACATGGTCACTTTATCACGTTGATTGGGGCTGATTATGGTGGATTTCAGACTAATATCATAGAGCCCACATTCGATATGCGCGACAGGCACAGTATGAGTCTCTAATATGTTGATAATATCTCTACGATCTATATCGACAAATTCATTCTTAGCTCTAATCTCTCCTAAATGGGCAATCACACAATCGTTATTCTCGGTGGGTATGATCACAACAGGGCTCTTCACCAGGACATCAAAGTGAAAGTTGTTGCCTTCCTCACGATACTGTTGTACAGTTTCTATAGCAGTGCTTCTTGCAGTATCGTATACATTCTTCATTTCTAAAAACTCCATCAAAAAGTCCAACGTGGTCTTTAGTGAATCATTCATGATGCATTGAATGGAACCCATCTGAAGCTTAAATTCCTGACTGTATCCCGGAAAGTGAACGTCCTTTGAATCGTAGGTCTTGTATGAAAAGTTGGCCAATTCTTCTCCAACCACACTGATCATAAAGGTTTTCGATGCAGCTCTGTCGTCAGACAAGGAAAAGTTGCCAAATTTACCTAGTACTTCCAACGTCTTTGGCTCCATTGTGATGATAAGGTCGCCAAAAGCGAGCTCAAGTGTGCCCAAGCGAATGTTGTTATTATTTAATATAAGATCAATACTATCCATATGGAGAGCGACTCTCATCCTTGACTCATTGGTTGCCTTTTCTGTTTTGTCTTGTTGTGGCTGCAAGGCTTTCTGCACTACCTTTTTACGTATACTGGACGTATCAGAAAGCACGGATGACGCGGCTTGATGTGAGTGCTGGTCATCAAGGACATCGCCATCAGCAATACTATAACTGCTCTCTGGCTGAGATGGACCAGTGAACGTTTTCATGATCCAGTTATAGATTCGTAGCAGCGAGTTTCGTGTGACGATAACAGTAAAGGTGGACAAGACGACATCCACAGTTTGATCAAATTCGTTGTATACTTCTACAAACAGAGGGTGGTTTTTGGAAGCCTTTCTGTACTTGACGCTAATCAAGTCTTTGTCACCATGACGTTCAACAGTATTACTCTGCTTGACAATATTCGATGTCACAAGATAAGGGAACGCACTATGAGGATCTAACCTGTCAACCACGTTCAGCGCTTTAAGTGATACATCTACCAAAAGGTCAAGAGGGCGCGTCAGGACGGTCAATTCAAAGCTCTCCAAAACAATCTCGCAAAGCAATTCGTCTCGTTTGCCATTGGTGTCTGTTGAAAAGGTTTCGTGCAGTTTGACAGATACTTTATCCACCAAAAAGGCCAACTTGAATTGCTCAACTTCCGAGACAGATATGCTCGATGCTATTGCGCTTGAAACAGCTGTCCTTTCACTATCAGTGTCCGACAAGACGACTCCCTGTTGACCTCTAAAATGTTCCTGCATGACATTGGACGACTGTGCTCGGGGTATAGATGGCTGCACAACTCCGGATGTGTCTGGTTCATCATCCGACGTTTTGGGAATGGCAAGATCAATGATTTTCATCAATGTCTTGTATTTACTATCAGATAGGTTGACTGACAGCAGAGGCAAATGTCCAGAGACTTTGAATTTTGTAAATTCTGTTTTGCCAGGTAAGATACAGAGTTCAACCAGGAACTTCATGTCAATACGGTTAATGAAACGCGAATCCACATCGCCTCCGGGAGCTTGATTTTGAAGCTGCCACAGACATTCTTGAACATTAGATCCGATGAGGATGTTTGTCTGTGTCAACTGCAAATTGAACTTGTCATACATTAAGCTTTCGAGCATCTTGGCGTCTTCCGTGTTACTGTTTTGGATGTTTTTTGACTTAAATTCTTCTACTAATTTTGTATCGGCAAGTTCACTATCGATATTGATATGACCAGCATCCAGCACTAGAACGGGCGAATTCGGATCCGTCAAACTTTAAAAAAAGGAGGATAGTCAGTAAAGGAGAAGCCTAAAAATAAAGACTAACCTTTCAGGTACGAAAATAATCGGTGCATCCATATCAATGTCAAGGTCGAATGTAGTATGCGTTTCCAATGCAAATTCCAGGCCAGCACGTGTTTGAAGCTTGAGTTCTTCAAAAGTATCTCCCGCAACAGTAATCAAGGCGTTCACACTTTCCATTTTTGAGCTCGGAGGCTTGAAGAACTCCATGATGCCAGCAATCAGGATTGGACTGTAAATGATCTCTAAATGCCTCATTTTGAGGGAAAATGCATTGTCTGCTTGCTTTTGAAGGGGCTTGTTTTCAAAAACGACAGCAAAGAAGGGTTCCTCTGCCTTGGTTATTTGTTCACTTGTGATAGAAGTGGATCTTCGCCGTTCCAGGTCATTTAAGTTATACACAGTGTCAAGCAATGAAGAGCTATGGCAAAAAAGTGGATTAATGAAACATGATAGATACTCAACATGGTCTTACGTCGAGAAGCCCTTCTTTTTGACACCTATAAGCTGAGGGTATATAGTGTCCTTACTGCCGTCAAATAGTTGAAGATCGCCTAATGAAGCTGCTACTTTGATGGATTCAAGGTATTGGGTCACATCAGAGGATACACTGTTGAAAACGAGAGAAAGTAACTCTCGCTCGGTCTTCTTTTTGACATCTTGCTTCAACGTAAATGAGCCACGGCCCAAATTTGTTTTTAAAGAAAGCCTGATGGTCTAATATAAAGAAAGTTATTAAACATTTTTATACAGTTATATACACAATACATCTTTTGGGATATTCATAGCAGAGGTGATTTTGGCCTTTTCCTCATCGTATTCGATCGCTTCGTACAGTTCCTTCTTTTGCTCCTCTGTCATGTGAATGGATTCCGTTTCGTCACTATCATTCGCATGTTCGTCACCTGAGCTCGACTGGGAGGAGCCTGTGATCCACCCCCACCAGCTACTTCTGGCATTTCCTTCCTTTTTCTTTTGATTTTCGCGATCTAGGATCAAGCATGAGTCAACAATAATAAACAGGAGGAAAGCGTGATTGCTTACCTATTTTAGCCTTTTCTTTACGAAGCTTTCCCTTGGCAATACTTCTATAGAATCGGATATCCTCAAATGACAAATCACGTTCGAGTTGTTCAAGAGCTTGAGTTTGTTCACTGGTTGCTTCGTTTAATTTGGTAGCCATGTAGCATTCAATATACTTCAAACGCTGATCACGACGCGTCCTGAAATGATCCCAGCTCCACTTGTAATGTCTTTCATGGATTTCGTGTAGTATAGCATTAGCAGCAAACTGAAAATATTCTCGAGGATGCGTCTTGGGAGACTTGCCCTTGCCTGGGTGAAATTTAAGGTACTTTTGTTTTTTAAGATTGCTGTGGAAGAGATCGAGTACGAGGATGCAGTCTCTATATTGATGATCGTCAAGTCCAAAAGCGATTTCGTCAAAGAGAAGGGTAACATCTGTCTTGGGTATATGGCCCCCAAACTTTTTGTTAAGCCTGACCTTACCTGTACCTGATACAGGCTTTAACAAGTATTGGTGGCCCTTGTGTGAACCAGTCGAGGTTGGAATCTGAGTCAATAAACAATGAATACTACACATATAAACTCTCATGTTGTATCCTTACCAATTCCGTAAACACTTCGGCGGCTTCTTCATGATGCATACCGGCCAAAGACTTTGTATCCGTATTCCAATAGACCGATAGAGATTCAAGCGTGACAAGCTAAAAGGATAGTGTAAGTAATGACGCACACACAATGATGAGTTTATATCCAACCTTATTGATCGAACTAGTTGGATCACTGATAAATTTCGGCTGCCAATCGTCATCTGTCGAAAGACCACTGAGTTCCTTGAGGGTGACACCAACGGCAAACGGATGTCCTGGGTCGGATATCTTGTCTTCATATCGAATATGAATATTCTTGATTGTAAACTGTAAATTATTAACCACCTTGGTCGTTAACTGTGCCAAGAATCCATCGTTCGGACTTTCCTCGGTCTTATGTTGCTGATCGGGAGTATCGAGTAATTCGGCTGTGGCGAGTCTTTGACGTTTCAGGTTTAACAGACGTTCCTCTTCTTCTTCTACCGTCAACTATAATTCATGATAAATAAAAAAGAGAGTATACATCATCAAATATGCTTTACTGTTGCTTCATTTTTAGGTTCAGCCAATAGATAGACATGATCAATGATCACCTTGACTGGTTCACTTCGTAAGTTTGACCAAGGAATGACCAACTTGAGCTCACCGAGGTAACCTATAAGAATGTTGAGTATTAACCATATCGTAAAGAGAAGCTTCTTTCTTTCACCTTCTGACACGCTGATTGGCAAGTCAAGTTTGTCGAGAGCATCTTTACGTAATTTCAAGTCGGACAGATTAACTTCACCTGTGTATGTATTGCATAATATCAGTACTCATTATCACTTGACCCTTTATTTTACCTTTCCACATGCCAATCTTGAGTTGGTCATAGTTTAAGTTGGAGACATAATTCTTTAAGAACCTGTTTAATATGTTGGCTACAAGAGACTCCAACATGTTTTAAAAAGGAAAAAATGGGTAAATCGGATCGGAGCGCTAGAGTGTTTATTTTATTCCTGCATAAAATAATTTCCCTTTGTATCAGAAAAGTTTGACAGGTTAAATTTGACGTGTTAAGCCCGAAAATCAAAATGTTGGCGAGGTGATGGATGCTCTCAGGGTTACATATAAAATGATAATAAGGCTTTGTCCTCATATCTTTCAAGCAAAGCATAATGTGAATATTCATTTTTGTTTTACTTTATAAATTGTTCATTATTAAGATTTGTGCTCAGGCCTGCAAAGTCTATTACAACTAAACATTTTTGTTCTTTTGATGAAGCAACAAGATTGATCACATCTAAAAGAAGTGATATAGCCATCAATATTTATACTTGTAAGCATAAAGAAAATGTATATCTTGTGTGTTTCCCTGAATGTCGTTTACATCATCCAATAGATCTTTGTCGTGTTTTAAATCTCTTGTGTAGATATCACTTGATGCTTCGGATGAAAGAGAGGCAAAGCACTTGTCTATGAAAAACCTTTTTTAAATAATATAGTCATATTTTGGATATTGATGACTCTGTTTTTGACATATCCTGGCGACTTTCTTCCATAACCAACAATAACATATCCCACTTTCTTCAAAGAGAAACATTACATGCACCAGAAGTTAGACTAAACCTACGGACGCTGCCTTTACACATTACATATAATGTCACCCAACGAAGCTTTTCACCAACTCGTTTTGTGTTCTTTTCAAAAAGAAATACTGTTATTTCTTTATTCTGATTTTATGTTGTTAGTTCGATCAATCACGTGTAATTATAATAAATTCCTATCTGCATTATTTAGCCTATTTTCTGGTGCATGTAGTGTTAACCTTTTTTTTTTTTTAGTTTGGTTCATTTCAACTATACCTGTTCAATTCTATGACAGTAAATGGGATAAATTTAAGTCGGCTCTTATTCAGAATTATGGCCTAACTGTTCAAGATCACAAGATCAAGGCAAACGATGAATTTCACTCTTTGCGTTTCAAGGAACATAAAGAAACCATTGAGCAGTGTTTCGGTCGCTTCCATGCCCTGCGCATCTGGTCTGGCGTTCGTGACTCCCATGCGCTGATCTCTTACCTCTTCCATGTTCTTCCTTTTGGCCTAGTACGCACGATAAACATTATTTTTACTTCTGCCTCTGCCAACGACAAGAATAATGTGGACTTTGTTTGCTCCACGGCAAGAAACATCTACAGCTAAGAACGCGGTCCGCATGCTTCTACCACAGATTCCAAACGTTCGTCTTCTTCTATTACCGTCCCCTCGACAAGCTTGAAGAAGTTCACGTTTATCCCTTCCTCGTCTGTTGGCTTCACTAGTAGTCAAAAAGTCAAGCCCAGAAAGTTCTGCTCCTCCTATAGGGTGACCACGCACAATACCAAAGAATGCCAAGCAAGGAAGAAGGGTGAAGAGCCCAAGGTCAAGAACAAGTGCCATCGTTGTGGTTCTCCTGGTTGGTCTCCCAGCCATTGGTGCAGCATTGCTGCCCGGTCTGGCTCATCGTCTGGCGATGTCGTTGTTCGTGCGTTGTCTGCGTCCTCTGCTGGTAGTTCATCCCCATGGAAGCAATATGCTGACACCAATGATGCTGCCTCTTCTTCTCCTTCGTCCTCTTCAAGACATGCACAAGGTGATGACCAAGAATCTTCGACGGTTCAACAGATACAAAACATGGAGATAGACTCAGACGAGGAATCGTTCATGATAGCTGCCAATGCACAGAAATGTAAGTTTGATATTCGATTCTCCCAAAAACTGAAACAGAATTCTAACTCTCTTGTCATACCGGCAATTATAGAAAATATCAAGACATATGCCTTACTTGATACAGGTTCAACATGTTCTTTGGTCACGCCTACATTTTTTAAATATTTTGGGTCTGCTCTTTCTTTTGCCAAGTCCATTGGTACCATTCAGCTTGCTCATACAGATTCCAAGTTTGATAGAATAGGCCAAAATATCCTCTATGTTTTCTATAATAAATCAATATTAAACACACATTCGATATCTTCCCTTTCTTTTCTCATGAAAATGTACCCATTTGTTTTGGTCTTGATATTCTATCCAGGTTGGACATAGGTATTACAGGTCTTGTCAGTCCTCATTTTGATCATACTGACCCTAGAAATCTGATTCTATTAATCCTGACAGTGTCAAACCAAATGATGATCCATATAGTACCATTAACGAACGCAAGCCTATTCTGGAGATGATCAACAGGTTACTCAAGACTAATTCAGATATTAATATGAAGGATACTAGCTGTAACTTGCCTAGTTCTGTTATACATCTCAAGCTCGGCCTGGAACGGTTGCTTATCATCGTCAATACCTTTTACCGGAAATATATCGTGAAGTTGTCCAACAACAGATCGATGTGCGGTTAACCGAATATATCATTGAAAAAGCCCCATCATATGCTGCTTACAATAGTCCTTTACTTGTTGCTAGGAAGAAAGATTCTCAAGGTAATTATTCTATGAAAAAACCTAGAACCGTGTGTGATGTTGATTTAACCTGCATCAAAAAGTATAAATAAAGCTTTCTTTTTATTGTATTTTTGATTATCTCAATTCTCAGGAATAAATGAATTCTCGCAAATACTTGTTTGTTCCTGTCCTTTGTCTTTCTCATCTTAATCAACTTCGAACTATCTCACTGAGTACATGACACCTCCAATTCATGAAAGAGACACGCTCATCTTAAAAGGACATCTGTTAGATCATTACAGGTTACAGAGTATTGAAAATCAGTTGCATCATGATAGTATACACTGAACCAATCTGCGAAAAGAAATTGAACGTATACACGCAAACTGTCTTGAGTGCACCGGTTCACTCATTTTTCACTTTAAATTCGACCAAATTAGAAAAGAAATAGGTTCGACCAAGCTGTAATGAGTTTTCTGCTAAAAGTCTTTTTTTTTTTCTTAATGAGTTAATCTAGCAACGCCTACGTCTTAATGAATAAATTTCAAATGTATGAAGTGTTTAGTTTCGGATACATCAAACCAAGTTCAAGAATCACAATCTAACAAGTGTAAAAGAAAATAGCCAAGAAAGTTAATAGGCAGTTGCTTAGAGAAAGAAAGGGACAGGGCTATCCTAGTGTGTATGCTTACTACCTGTCATATTTATTATAATACTTAATCTTATCGTATTACATTACACAATATCTATACTTTAAGGATGATGATAATCAGCTTGACAGCAACATATTCAATTGTTGTCGATCATGTTTTCTATCGGCTCTTTAATAGTCAGTCTGGTATAAAAAGACGCTGTTTGTAACAATGTGTCTTGAGCTGTAATTAAAGTATTCACATAATTCTGAACAGTCACTACGACCATGGATCACCAAATGGTATCACAGTATAAATATTCTGAGAACACTCTCTTTTCCCTCGTTTTCTCTTTAGCTATTAGCATTCACTTTTCTTATTAAGCCAGTAATTGTATAATTGGTACTATGCCTTATTGTTTATAATTATTATATCTAACAAACAAACAGTTCGCTTTTGTTTTATAGATCAGCCTAAATTCTTACATTTTAGTCCTCTCTCGTCTTTGCCATGGAACCTTACTTTATACCCGTGACTGTAGTTGGATCTATAGCCGTACTCCTCTTTATTTGTGCCCTTCTTCTTTTTTATCGTGTGCTCACAGGAAGGACTAGGATGGTCATCACCCATTCTCCTCGGGGAGACTCCACCGTCGTCCGGGTCCAGGTCTAGAGCGTCCTTGGTTTTATTTAAAAAAAACTCTCGACTTTGATCTTAATAAAGAAATTGTACAGAAACTCATCAGCTTTATGTTTTGTATTGTTTCTTTTATTTTAATCAAGTATCTCACTACCTTTAGCTACAACAAGGCTAGGAGAGGTACGATATACTTGCATCAACCTTTGAAGTCTTGAGTTAAAGCAGCAAAAGAAGCACCCAAAAAAAAAGAAGAGACCTTAGAAGTGGACAATGCCATTGAAGAGCAGCCAAAAAAGAATCAGCACCTTCGCAAGCTGAAGGAAGAGCATGTAAAGTTTTTGGAAGAATTTATTGACAACAGCCCGGTAGTCATGCTAGATCAAATGGTTGATGCCCTAAACGATAGATTTGAGGCCTTAGTATTTCTAAATCTGGTGTGGATAAGCACCTGAAAGAAAGCTGTTCTTACACATTAAAAAGAATTACAAAGATTCCTGCCAAACGGAACTCTCCTGACGTTATTGAACAAAGATTTAGAGCTGTTGAGGCGTGGATTAAAGATCCCAACATCAGTTTTATGCAAAATTGTATCTTCATTGATGAATCTGGGTTCAATATTCATACTGTAAGAAGTCAGGGCAGATCAAAGAAAGGTGAGCCTGCAAAAGTTGTAGTAACAACCGCCAGGGGACCATCAATTTCCACACTAGGTGCAATTTGCTCCCTTGGTATTGTTAATGTTGGGCTCAAGGTGGCTAAAGCTGGCACAAAATGGAAGGAGTTTATGGCATTTCTTATACACGTCATGGATGTCCTTGATAAACACAAATTGAAAGGTTGCAATTTAATCAGGGAATTACTAGGAGCACGTAAATTTTTTCCTTTTTGGGCAGGACATGCAAATTATTGGATTTTCAATTTAAGTTTGCGCACCAAATCAAACAGTTGCCGAAGTGGAAGGAGAAGATGAGGTGGTAAAGGCTCTTTTGTGCCACGCTTCATTTTCAGATAACATATAATAAAAATTTTTTTTTCGATTCCTGTTTCTTTAGATCTTTGAGCGCTGCTAACTCATTTTTTCTATTTATCTTGGGAGGAAAAAACAGCGAAGAAATCTAGTTGAAAGTTGAAGGGCGGAACCTGGAACGAAGGCAACAATGATTGGAGTAAGTATGGCTTCCAATACCACAACATTAATGGATTGAACAAATATGCCTTTGACCGTCTTGGCATCCTTGATACGAAAACTGGTCATCTTCCACAACTCATCCATGTCCGTCCATTCATCTGCAGAGAGTGTGTTGAAAGGTAAAGGAATCTTGAGGGTTTTGCATTCTTCTTCAGTAATATTGAATGGCTTTGGCAAGTCGTGTGGAACGGGCGACATTTGCAAGTTTACCAAAAAAAAAAAAGCAAAGAATGATTTCTTTTCGTATATAAATCTTTACCTAAGTCTTATACTGTATGAAAGGAGTAATCTACACCACAAATAAGCATAAACGTAGCTGGCCAATGACAAGCCTTCATTTTTTTTGGCTCGTGAGCGTGTAACGTTTGTGTGGCCTTACATGAGTATCTCTTCCCTCGCTTGGAGATGGAAGCTATGAGGCGCAGAAAGAAATTGAAAGGCTTTTACCTTGGTTATCTCTAAGCTCTGCCCGTATGTCGCACATTGTTACGAGGCTCTCTCCCTTGAATGACCCATACACACAATGGTTCCAAAAAGCAATGTCCTTCTTTTAAGTATGGGCTGACGTATAGGCAGGATGGTTGTCCTAAGATCAGTGGGAAAAAGAGAAAGGTTTAGCGTACTTGTGCCAATCAGAGCCTCCTTCGTGGCCAACTGACATGTAGTATCTCTACTACGGTGCATTGTCACATTGCTTTGCGGAACGTTCAGGTATGATTTCACCTACAACTCGCTGACGCTCCTTTTTTTTTTTTGTTAGGCCGTGGCGCTCGCTCCTTGCTATCGCTAGTTTTGTTGTTTGTTGGGTGGAAGGCTGTGTACAGAGTTGATCAACTCGATGGTATGCTCAAGCAATTCAAGTCCCCAGTTATTTCTGCAATTGCTTCCCCTCCTCTCCTGATTTGTTCCCAATACCTGCTTATTGCTGCAACGTTGGTCTTTATAGAATTTTTTATATATATTAAAAGCTTCCCTTTCAATTTTTTAGAATACTGAATCAATCCAATAGAATGGTGGCATTAGTTTGTGGGCTTTTCCGCCTCCCTTGAAAGAGCGGGTCATGTTAACATCAAGGTACGGGGACCTTTATAAAATGATCATTTTTGATATAGGCATATTGCATTAGGAATGGCTCAAGTCATGATGGAGTCTTTGAAAGTGCGCCTCCTACTACGAGATTTACTTTGAACACCCACTTGACGAAGAAGCTTGAACATTTCTTCCATATGTATATTTATACCACATTACTTCCCTCCTCTATACTCCCCCTCCCCATCGTCCTAAAAAAAGCTGTTCAAATAAATATCAATTCTTGCTATCAACAATTCTTTTTCTAAAAACTTATTTCGTTTAACTTTACTATTGACACTTGACCAGGATTACTCAATTGGATTCAATTCAGAGGGAGGGAAGAGAACAGTATCGGTACTGTTCTTTAATAAAGGTCTGTTCACTCCGATTTTCAAGAAGCAATACTCGAGAAATTGAGGGACACTGAACCTCAAAACGGCTGTGTCTCAGTCCATTCTGAATATTGACAACAGATAAGTATCTTTACAATATACGCAAATTTGGTCAATAAACTAGAGGATAAGCCAACAAAGAAGGATATATGCTGTGATCTTCTTTTTATTTAAAATAGCGAAATTTAAAACCAATAAAACCAATAAAAGAGATACAATGTCCTACAGTTATTATTTGATCTTGATGAGCGAGGTCTTGATAAGGAATGGGTGGGTGGGTGATATCCTTCCCTGTTGGCTTATCCTCTGGTCTATTGACCAATTCTCCGTCGAATGAATTCTCTGGAGAATTTTATGAGACGGTCGGATAGAGCCAACAAGGAAGGATATATGCTGCTTCAGAGTGAGTATCTAGATCATTCTTGCATCGCATCAAAGAATGTGTCTTCTTCTTGGTCATCCATATCGAAATCTACTCGCTCTTCTTCCGTTGATGTTGATGAATCTGTTAATAATAATATCTGTGTGAAATTGAAGCATGACATATGTTCTCGTCGATAATGGTTTTCAAAAGTCGAAGAATTTGTCCTATTTCTAAGAGTAATAATGTCTCCTTTTGGAATATCACGACATAGGGCTAACAAGGATGCAATAGATCTGACGCTTACATTTCGCTCTTCTGTGGAAATTCTAATCATGTTGCGGAGCCATTTAGAGATTGTTGACGTGGCTAAAGGCTCTTGTGGACACCTTGAATTCACGAAAAGCAAAGAACGAGTGGAAAGGTGTGATAATGAGGGATGATCTCTAAGAGCTATGAATGCTCTAACAGAACAAAGAGAACAGTTTTGGTTCGGAAAGATTGTAAAAGGTTTGATGATACGACGATGGTCACGAGTTTCTTTTGGGGAGACCACTTGAAATGTCAGTTGGAAACCATTGTTGATGTCTGCCGACTACAAATCGATACGATGGAGGTCTGAAGGCCGCAAAAAGGCTGTCATCGCTAGGAGAAAGGCTGTTTTCTTCTGCAAGAGGGGCAGTGGTGTGGACGTGGTGGATTGAATCTGTCGTATATGGTTCAGAGCTGGGGAGATGTCAATTGTTGGGCGATGAATCTGTTTTGGAGGCTCCCTGCGAGCAAGCGTATCAAGAAGGTTATTTACCAAGTGTAGCTCGTTGTCCAGTGAGGCTTTATTTTGGTGAAAAGCTAGGATGGAAGAGCAGAACGAGGGAAATGTTGAGGAGGAATAACCAAATTGATAGTGCATATCCGAAAGAAAATTGACAATAAGTGCAGCTGAAAATCCATTGATATTTACGCGGTGTTGTAAGGACCATTCTAAAAAGAGGAATTGCCCACGTCGATAAGCGCGGTTGGTGGTTGAGTTTTCGAGACGTCGATCCAGTAAGATAGAAGACGACACATCAGATAAACCAGGAATGGATCCTACACCAGACTTGAGACTCTCCAAGCGGAGAGTTTCCAAGGCTTCTGATGAAATGGCCAAGGAATGGAAGGAGTTGTGCACATAATATCTGTTTGCTGAATAGGAATTGGGCTCGACACTGCCATTCGTGTTAAAAGGGGCCACCAGGGAGCGCTGATTTAGTGAGAGACGATGATAGTGGCTTGAGGAAGACGTTCCTGGAGGATCTTGGACAAGCAATGTGGAATTAGATTCCATGGAGGGTTGAGGTAAGAGTTCATAAAGATTGATTTTCATGGGATCGATAGTGCGTCGGTCGCGATTGAATTCGAATCCGTCATCCAGGATACGTGCTTTAGTAGGAGGTGACTCGTACGGTCTGCAAAGAAGTCCATATCGTGGGGCCCCCACGGCCGGTCGATTTTGTTCTTGAAAACGGAAGGCTGAATCTGCCATTGATGTCTGTTGCGAAGACGCCGTGATTCGAAGTCTGCGATACTGTTCTCTACTCCTGGAACATGTTTGGCGTAGATTGTCAGTCGGCGGCGAAGACATTCTTTCCAAAGAGAAGTGGCTAGGAGCATGAGACTGAGAGACTTCGTGCACCTTGTTTGTTGATGTATGACAGGGAGGTAGCGTTGTCCGTACGTAATAGAATTGTCGTATTCCGCAAATGGGGGAAACATTGAAGAAGGAGCTGCGCTGCTTTCAACTCTCTCCAGTTGATGTATTGCTGGGATTCGGCCGTAGTCCAATGACCATAAACCCTCTCGTTGTTGAGATGACCACCTCATCCGTAATTGCTCGCATCGACGTAAAGAGTTGCAGAAGGAGTCGAAGGCAGAATAGAGCGGTCATTCCATTGACATAGGTGTGTCATCCACCAGCGGAGTTCGTCCAAGCATTCTTGTGGCAGAAGCAAAGGCGTATCTCACCCTGTGTTGTTCTTCACCGATATATTTTTGAACCACAGTAAATGTTGCGTGTAAATCCGAGCAGGAAGAAGAGCAAAGGTTGCTGCTTGAATCCTCATCGTTAGACTGTGGATTAATCAAGGTGGCTGGATGAAAGTATGCAAAACTTGGCGTATCGAACGACGAATATCTCGAAGCTTCTTCCCAGGAAGATGAGCAGTCATTGTTGTCGTATCTAGTTAAAATCCTAGGTATTCCAGCTTGGTGGTAGGAACTAGATGAGATTTCTTTATATTCACGAGCCAACCCAAATCCTGAAGCTTCTGCAGAAGAAGATTCATGTGTTGTACTGCTTGGTCTTCCGTATCGGTTATAATTAACCAATCGTCTAGGTAGGCGCTGAGACAAATCCCTTGAGCTCGAGCCCATTCCAAAATAGGACGCGGTACATAAGAAAGGCCACGGATAGGTGGGTAATTGTCAATGATACTTGTACGATCCGCATCGGAGAGCATTGGAACTGTAAAGAGATCTCGGTTAAAACCAAACCGATCTTTTACCAAAAGATCTGGTGTCCAGTCGTAATGGGGACGAACTCCAAAAGCATGCAAGGAAGAATGCAACGAACTATCGGTCGCGCTTAGAGATACTTGACGTTCTTGTACCAATTGCTGTACAATAGCTTGAGTTTCAGCCAATTGCTGACGAAGCGCATTAAAAGATTCTTCAATAAATTCTGACATAAAGGATGATCTATATGCGGTATTGACCGAGCGAAAAAGAAGATCAAATAATAAGTATAGGACATTGTATCTCTTTTATTGGTTTTATTGGTTTTAAATTTCGCTATTTTAAATAAAAAGAAGATCACAGTATATATCCTATATCCTTCCTTGTTAGCTCTATCCGACTGTCTCATAAAATTCTCTGGAGAATTATAAAAATTTAAACGAAAAAAATACCTTCCTATTTGGGTGGGACACGCAAAAAAACAACTTCCTGTTTGGGGGATACATTATTTTATTTCCTTTCTTGACGGGAGACGCAAAATTTTAAAGCTCAAGCAGTGCGGAGAAGTAGTGGAGACCAGAACTGGATATACTGTTACATAATTTGCGTGTCCCTAGTAATTCCCATCTAGTCATGGATAATGCATCTACTCATAAGCCTGAAAAGACCACAGAGAAGGTCAACAAGAGAGGATATAGTATAATGTACCTTCCACCTTACTCCCCTTTCTTAAATCCAATAGAAGAACTTTGGGCCAAGGTAAAGATACTTGTTCGCAGATCTCCAATGACAGATCGCGGCAATTTAACAGCAAGAATAAGAGAGGCTGCAGAGAACGTGACTTCTAAGGACTGTCAAGGCTAGATTAGACATTCTGAATCCTTCTTTGAGTGTTGTTTAAATAAAGAAGAGCTTCTTTAATTCGACCATGCAGCTGAGAACTTGTTGCAACTTGGTCGAACATATTTTTATTTTTAGTTGAAAAGTCTTCTCTAATTTAGTCGAAATAGAGGCACACAAATGGACGAAATAAGCAAGTTCATTTAGTCAAATTTAGTTGCCGCTTTTGTCGAAATTGAAGTGGAACTACAGTCTTTTCAGAAAGTAAAGTCGCATTTTTGCAATTTTTATAATACAATTTATACGAAAAAGCGGCAAGTCAGCGCGACATCTCTCTCTCTGGAAATTGTGTACTGTACATATTATCATTATTAAGACAGCTTCCATAATACGCATTTTCTTTCAAGGTATCAGCCAATCATATTATTCTCTGTAATATCTGTCCATAAAAGGACGATTTTTTTAAGCGGGGTATAGAGGGCAAAACATGTAAAGAATACTAAATGTTGACTGCTTATAAAACAGACATTCGTCATTTTTTTTCTTCGCTTTCCCTTTTCTTCTGCTCTCTTGATGACAAAGGACGAAATAAGCAAGGCACAGAATCTGAGTTATGTCATTAGATCTGGTGTTGCTGGTGGAGTAGCTGGTTGCATGGTAAATCCAGACATGAAGGAAGTGTATATAGAGTTATAACACCTTATCTCTGTAGGCGAAAACAGCGATAGCACCGTTAGATAGAATAAAGATATTATTTCAATCAAGAAATCCTATATTTGAACGATATGCTGGTATGATCATACTTGATGAACTATGTCTGTAGGTTGACCCTTTTTTTTATTAGGCACATTTACCGGCGCATTTAAAGCAGGCCATGAAATATATAAAAATGCAGGACTCATTGGATTATTTCAAGGTCATTCAATGACATTGATTCGAATATTTCCTTATGCAGCCATTAAATTTGTCACTTATGAGCAATACCGTGCAGTAAGATGCTGATGTATTTATAAAAACCAAAATTAATGAAAAATGTTAGATACTGATGCCTACAAGAGCCAAAGAGACGCCGGCAAAACAATTCGTAGCTGGTTCTTTAGCAGGTAATACATTGTTTATCTGTTGTTGACTAAGCAAAAAAAAGTAATGTTACGCTATTAGGTGTAACATCTGTATTCTTTACTTACCCACTTGATCTCATTCGCGTGCGCTTGGCTTATGATGTAAAAGAAGGAACAAGTCGGCCGACGCTATCGGGGACAATACGACAGATTTATAATGAACCAGCGGCAACACAACGCATGAATGGACATTTTCACCTAGCTAATTTCTATCGAGGGTTTTTACCTACCGTGGCAGGCATGATTCCCTATGCAGGTGTATCATTTTGGACATATCATCTTGTTACTCGATTATGTAGATATAACCCCACCGTGAGCAAGTATACTAGAATACCCTTGAATTATACAGCAGATGATTCCGATTTAACACCAAGCCAACGTAAGGCACTATCAAAGCCCCCTCTCAAGACATGGGCCGAGTTATTATGCGGTGGTACGGCTGGTCTGGTGGCTCAAACGAGCAGCTACCCTTTAGAAGTCATTCGTCGACGAATGCAAGTGGGTGGACTACTCAACCCAGATAAATTTGTTGGATTTATAGAAACAACCAAGGATATCTATAAAGTGAAAGGTATCAAAGGATTCTACGTGGGCCTAAGTATTGGGTACATAAAGGTTGTTCCCATGGTAGCTGTCAGTTTTGCAGTCTATGAACGAATGAAGAGATTGTTAGAGATAGACTAGTTGTATATTTTAGAATATATTTGTGTAAATAAATGCCTTTTTTAATGCTATGGTAGAATAGAGAACATGAGATAGGACATGTTTTAAAATCATTTACAAACAGAGAATAAGCCTCGCCTCATGTTTGTAAGATCCATGTCTCTCTCTGTTATCTCTGGTTTATTATCAAAACAGACGTAATGGAATGAGTGTAAATGATGAAAACAGGATATCTCTGATTATTAAACTCTATTGTTTTTATTTACATCTGTTTCTCTGTTTCTCTGTTTTTCTTTTTTTTTTTTTACTACTAAAAATAGAAAAATCAATCGCATCGCTCTTTTTTTCTTCTCTTTTTATTACTTTTTTTTTATGTCTAATCCAATTGCTGATAGCACAGACTACTTCAAAGAAAAGATACCAACAAAAGAACTACCCAATCATAATTATCACCGACATCACAATGACTTTGACCCTAAAGATCAGTGGAATAAAGTACTCAGAAAGATAAACAAGTATCATCAGGATAACACGAGTAGTCCAACAACAAGCAATATCATTGATGACAGCAATGTCATCAGTGATGTTAGTAGTAATAGTAGTAGTGATAATCCTCATACAGAAGAATATTATGAAATGCAAAGACTCAATAGAATTGAAGACGATGTATTACCCTCAGCAGAAGAAATGAACCAAGAGAATAATGTGGAACGACCTTCCATCACAGTCAGCGACAGAAATTATTTTCAGAACCCATTTTCACCTACTGAAGACGGTCCATCCTTACCTCTAATTGAACCAGATCCAGCAGCTAGAAAACATTGGGGAAAGACATTGGATAAAGTCAGACTGATTGCCAATCTTCATGCATTACCACAGAAAAAACCAAGCGACCATCCACCTCAACAACAAGCTGCACAGATCCCTTCTCTTTCGCCGTATTATCCACCCCTGTTTGATCCTCCTTTTATAGCGTTATCCAAAGATGAACATGGTAATCCATGGGTAAGTTCTTTATTTAAGATTCAAAACGTGATCAACTTATTTTTTGTACCTTAGCCGCCTGTGTTGCTGCCTTTTTTAAAAGTAAGTACAAAAAATATAATAATTATGCAAATGTGTATCTGATTGTCCTACCCAGGTAGCAGTCACTGATTCAGAACTGAACACACAAGGCATTCGACAATGGATCTTTCGCATTGAGTTACAATATGGTGATATCAAATGGGTGATCAAGCGAACCATCGCGGACTTTATCAACTTGCACTATACCTTGAAATTCAAACGACGTATCACTGACGCTGTGCCAAACCCACCCAACTTTCCAAGCCAGCTCGAGAGTTGGATCAATTCGGCTAAAGGCACCATCATCCCTGAGGACAATGTACGGGGAGCAGAAAAATACCAGATTGCTCTTAAGCGACGAAAGCAATTGACCCAATACCTGCAAAGGCTACTACTAAAAGCACATATGACGGCCAACTATGACATTTGTGAATTCCTAGAGATCTCTGCCGTCAGTATCGTCGAGGATATGGGATGGAAGGGTAAGGAGGGATACTTGGAAAATAAGGTTAACTTTGTCGTGCCGCGTCTATGTCATTTTTGGAAACCACATCTCTGGAATAAGCAGTGGGTCATCTTGAGGGACTCTTATGTCGCCTTTCTTTCTGATATAGCATCAACAACCATCAAGGACGTCTTTCTATTTGATAAAAGTCTCCTGGTGCAAACCAAGAATCCAGGGATATTTGGAAAGTATCATCATCATATCGCCCTTGAAAATAAGTTTAGACGGATTGAGATTAAGGGTAGCCGTCGTGAAGTCGAAGAATGGAGAGAGAGTATTCAGCGTGTGCTGGATAATAGCCCATGGATTAAGAATCACCGATTTGGTTCGTTTGCGCCTATACGACATGACTCCAAGGTCAATTGGTTCATTGATGCAGAGGATCATTTTAATGCAGTAGGAGAGGCGATCTTGTCTGCAAAATCTGAAATTTATATCGCTGATTGGTGGTTATCACCCGAACTAGTAAGACAATGAAATATACAAACATGAAAAGTAATAACTCCCCCTTTTTTAAAGTATCTTCGAAGACCTCCTGAACAAAATGAAGAGTTTAGGATCGATCGAGTTTTGAAGCGAAAGGCAGAGGAAGGCGTCAAGATTTATATCATCATTTATAAAGAAATGTCGATGGCTCTCACTATTAATTCGTCTCACACCAAGTTATGGCTGCAGGGACTTCATAAGAATATTATTGGTAAGCGTTACCTTATATCTACATATATATATACAAAAGTCCTTTTCTTACTTTGAAACAGTCGTTAGACATCCTGATCATCGATCCATTGATAACAATGTTTTGTTTTGGTCACATCATGAAGTAAGAGCATTCAAGGGAGGGGAGAGGGAGACAACAAGAAAACTTATATATATGTCTATTAGAAAATTGTGGTTGTGGATAACCGTTTAGCATTTGTTGGAGGTCTTGATTTATGCTGGGGGTAATACTGTTGTCAATTCATATGATCTATACTAACTTGGCTTAAACAGTCGCTATGATACTCATGCACACAGGATTACAGATTATCCAGCAGAAGGTCACACTCATGAAACATTCCCTGGACAAGATTATTCCAACCCAAGAGTGAAGGACTTTATGAACGGTATGATAACTCATGATATTCTTTTCTTGCTTATTCAATCTATCATAGTGGCTCAATACAAACTGACTTTGGTCGATCGTAATGTAACACCTCGTATGCCTTGGCATGACATGACAGTTGGCATGGTAATGAAAACAAGATTCAGGGCCTATAGAAACTGCTCACACATATAATATCTTTTAGGTAGGTCCTATTGCTCGGGATGTCGCTCGACACTTTATTCAGCGCTGGAACTTTTTAAAGTCGTCCAAAGGCATGCACCGTCCGAGCGTGCCCTACTTGATGCCAAAAGGCGAATACGTAGCAGCACGCGACGAAAGCGTCTTCAAAGGCAGCTGTCGAGTCCAACTGCTGCGCAGTTCAGCGCAGTGGAGTTCAGGTATCACACGCGAACACTCGATCTACAATGCATACATGGAATGTATCACAAAATCCAAGCACTTTATCTACATTGAAAATCAGTTCTTTATTAGCGCCACTAAGGAAGACAAATTACTGCGCAACAAGATTGCTCAGGCAATTGTGGAACGTATCAAACGAGCCCATGCCAAAGGAGAAAATTACAAGGTCTTTATTCTCATCCCTCTGATTCCCGCATTTGAAGGCGATCTTGCATCTAGCGACGCGTCAGCCGCACGCAACGTGATGCATTTCCAGTATATGACCATTTCGCGAGGCGGCAGTTCAATTGTGGAGAAGCTGAAGGAGGCAGGTATCGAGCCCTCGGATTATATTGGATGGTACAGTTTACGTAATTGGGACAAGTTGGTGCCTACCGAACGAGAGACATCAACTTCTGAAGCAGTACCTAACCCACCTACGACTGCGCCCAAGGAACAACGACCAGGAGCAGGTGTAGCAGGGTCTTCGACGGGCGGTGTGCCGCCTGTGCCAGCACCTCCCAAGCCATCAGCATTCTCTGAAACAGAGTCACCTCCTTTACCACAGACACCCGTAGAAGGTCAAAAGAGTCATGAAGAAGATGGAAGAGAGTATTTTGTGAGTGAGCTGGTCTATATTCACGATAAGCTCTTGATAGTTGATGATCGTATTGTACTTGTGGGCTCAGGTAAGATCACATCGTATATATATATATATATATAGATAGATAGATAATAACTATTATTGAAACCAATAGCCAACATCAATGATCGATCACAACTAGGCAATCGAGACTCTGAAGTAGCAGTGCTGATAGAAGATACCGAAATGATCCCATCCTATATGGATGGCAAAGAATACAAGGCTTCCAAGTTTGCGCACACACTTCGTATGCAACTCTTCAAGGAACACTTGGGCTTACTCAAGTTTACCGATTGGAACTCTCTTATCGAGGACCCAGACAAACCGGACGGACACGACTATCCTCATGAAAGTCATCCAGCCGTCACAGAAGAGACAATCAAGGACTACGAGCAAACAGGAGTTCACAAGATACTGGAACATACTAAACGATCTGGCGACCAACCTGACGTCAACCTAGAGGCTGCGCGTGTTCTAGACCCACTGGCACCCCATTGCTTTTACAACATCTGGAATAGGACCGCTCGAGAGAACACGTTGATTTACCGTAAATTATTTCGCTGTGTTCCAGATGATACAGTACATACCTTTGAACAGCACAGAAAGTTCGTGCCTGATCCTGCTAAAATACCTCATGGCCATATTGCTGATCCGGAGTTGCATGGAAAGGACATTTTGAAAGAGTTGAAAAAGATACGTGGGCACTTGGTACAGTTCCCTTATGATTATCTTAAAGATGAAAATATGTTGGGGTCGCTCATTCGGGAAACAGTGACTCCAATGACTATCTTTACTTGATGCAAGCCATGGATTTAAAATTAGCGGATAATTAAATAGAGAAAGGTGCCTTTCTAACTTTGGAAATAATAATAAAACCAAAAATAACACATTGTCAATTACACGTCTTGGAACGTGATCTTTATTTTACTCACACTAATACTAATAAAATGTGAAACAAGGCTCTTTGCCTTTATCTTTTAAAGAGAAGAAGGGTCAAGTTCATCTGTAATGAGTAAAAATCTATATATTATAGGCGTACAAGAACTGGGTTCAGCATTTCGCGTATACTCTTATCATAACTACTGTAAGGCAGTTTAAACACTATAGTTACTTTCCATAATGGGCGATAGGTAACGTATTCAGCCATGCTATTTTAAGCTATTACTTTGCATGAACTGTCCATCATTTCATAAAGTGGTTACTCTTGTCTAAGTAAATATGTTCTTTTGAAGTGTATAATTTATTTCCAAAAGGACTATTTTATTGTTATTGAACACTATGTGTACTAAGCAAGTATGATAGTAGAGCATACATTCTACTCTCTATTTGCACATCATGTATCAGATGATGGTAATATTGACAGCATTTGCATATAAATAACAGCCATGGATTCTCTCCTACAAAGGCTCTCTCAATATATATATAAAAAGAGGCTTTTAGTTACAACAATTTTTATGTCTTGATAAAAAATGTTCAAACTTACCATAGAGACGGACATAACTTTGCAGAATTGGGTGATTCACAGCGCTCGTTGCTTTTGTGAAGTTTAGCACTTCAGTAGTCCTGATAACTATTTTGACTTCATCGTCCTTCTCTTTCTTCCCTGTTGTATCGAAGTCTATGTCGCCTGAGAACGTGATGAGCACAGAAGTGATCTTTTTATCCTTCACGGCGAAGGCTACGCCATCTCATTTGTATTGTCAGTCGTTAGGGCTACTCTTTCAAACTAAAGAAGGATAAGTATTGACAAGGATATCAGCGTTTGAGATGATGCAAGTATATGTTTATGACATACCAAGCAAGATCAATTATATCGTCGCTTGAAAGGAAGAGGTTGTTCAAGGTGACAACAGCGCTGAAGGTAGCAGCAGTACGCTCCAAAGAGGTATGTTGCATAAGGTTTCGAGGGCTGATGATCAAATCCAGACTATAAATCAAACAGATAGTGTGCAAAATTAGTCATCTATTATAGATATATCATAGCATAGCAATTAACCTACAGTGTGCTGATCACGTCAACAAAGTGCAAATCAGCATGCACGATAGGGTCAAACTCTTCATCACCAAGAGTTGATTTCCTCATAATTCTTCGAAGCACCATCGCATTAGGATCATTGACTCATAGTACTTTTCACCTAAATACCCTTTTACTTCTTTATCATCGAAAAGAAGGATTTTATCGTTCCGAGCCTGGAGAAAAGAAAGGACGTAGTAGTAAAAGTTATGCATCAAGGATAAACATTTATATACGCACTCATCATTCATGTCCTTCGTAGCATTTATTATGTCTTGCCGTAGTTCATCACTGCCAACGACAGTTTCCTCGTATTTAGTTTTTTAGTATTAAGTCGATAACTTGCGAAGTACATTTTTTTATTAAAAGAAAGGAATATTATTAAAATAAGATGCATATGCGCTTTATAGAGGGGGAGAAGTTATGGCTGCTATTTATGTTGATGTGGTCAACGTGATTATTTGTCAATGCTACTATCAATCATTCTCCTAATGTAAAATTTGAACGGAATTAAATACAGAAAATAAGTAGAATGAAGGTATCCAGGATGAATACAAGTGCTAAAAACTCTCAATTTTGGAAACGAGACAAGTAATTAAATAAGCGTGCTATTTAGAGCTTTTGTATGGTAAAATATCAGAAAGCAATTTATTTCTAATTTTAGTATGAACAAAAAGTAAAAAGGATTGTTTATTACACAAAATATTTATAAAATTTATAACCACCAAGATTCCTTTTCGCCACTGTGAACAAACATGTCGGTGTCTTCATCATCGATATCAAAGTGATGATCCATGTCTTGTTTGGTATTATTGTTGGTAAGATAAGCTTCATCTTCTTCGACCATATCAGACCAGGACATGCCGGCACTAAAGAAGGCAGAGTCGTACGAGTTCATATTGGTGTGCTTAGTAGCTGTGGGAATATGAACAAGATCAACGAGTTTATCTTCTTCTTCTTCAGTGGCATAAAGTCGATCAATACTCAAAAACTGTTCCTTAAGGGCTGCAACCGATGGACGATCAGAACCGTTGGGGGCCAGAGCAGCTTGTAACCAACGAAGGGTAGCTAAAGAGAGTTCGGGAAAGAGATGTTCCTTGAGCATAGTAGGATGTCGTGTGAATTGATGATAGGCAGGATCAGAATGAGAAGCTTCTTGCCAAGGGTTTCTACCAAACATGAAGGCCAATAGAAGAATACCAAGGGACCAGGTATCAGAAGCAGCGGCGTCGTAAGGAACAAGCTCAGAGTCATCGTCAAAATGTTCAGGAGCGAGGTAAGAAGTAGAACCGCAACCAAATTCCATTGAGTATCTCTCACGTGTGGCTAAACCGAAATCAGCAACCTTGCAGACAGTGTTCTCTTGTTCTTGCTTTAATAAAATATTTTCCAATTTAATATCTCTGTGATAGACACCTTGAGCATGCATATGTTCTACTGCATCTAATATTTGAGTAAACCATTCCTTGACCAAACTCTCGTCACGAATAAATGATGATTCTTGATCCTTGATAACAAAGTCAAAGAGATCACCTTGATCACATAGTTCCATGATCATATAAATGTAGTCTTGGTCTTGGATGACTCTATGAAGGGCTAATAGATGAGGGTGTTTGAGCTGAGATTGAATATCCATTTCAAGTTGCTGGAGTTGAAGCTGCTGGAGGTCTCGTGATTTTAAGAGAATCTTTATGGCAACATAACTATTATCTCGAAGAGATTGACCCAGAAATAAACAGCCATAAGCACCATGACCGAGTAACTCGAGTAGCTGATATTCTTCATCAATCACTTTATCCACAAAGGAAGTAGCCAGCTGAGACCAATAGGCCTCATCTTTGGTAGTGGTAGTAGTAGTTATAGATGTGTTTGGGGTAATAGGAGTTGAGCTTGCACTTATCATTGATATAGGTTTGTAATTACTGTTGGTGATGACGACTAGACTAGGTTTAATGCCAATTATAATAATGGAATAAAAGGAGCATGTTTATACAAATGATTGTTGTTGTTGTTGAGTTGTTGCATATAAATATATATAAAAGCTAAAGAAAAGGAACTTCTTTTTTCTTTAATGGTGTGTATTGAGGGGGGTTGAAGATAGATTTAGAGAGACATATTGGCAATTATATATAAAGAAAGAAAAAAGAATAAAGAAAAAGATCGAAAAGAAGGAGTGGCCAGATGATAATTTATTATTTATACTCCTTCACTTACCTTCTGGTGCTTTCTTTGAAAGACGATTGGTGTATAGCTTTATTAGGTAATTTTATTACCATTCCTATGAATTTAATTGGTCAGTTTAAATTTATATCACATTTTGCAAAAGTGTGCATAAAGATGAGTCAAATAAGGTGATTGTAATTGGACTTACTGCATAACTTGTATCTATGAGTAATACTAAAAGTCACACAGAGGCACTCATATCGTTACTATGGTAATCCTATGGAAACAGTTATTTCTTGCTATCTAACACTTTCACACACACACAGGGCCAATGATGGGCTTTATCGTGTCCCTTGGCATGATGTAATACCCTCATTGCACGTCATCCTCCTTTTTAATAATCAAAATAGCTCTCCCTTTAGTCATCACTTTTTCCCTATTAATAATAATAATAATAATAATAATAACCTTTTTACTCATCTTTAGGTTCCTTAATAAACATGCCAATAAACAAATAAAAAAGTTTCCAGGGCATGGAGCATACCGTTATCACCCTATTTCTCCGATATGAAACGGGGCATTGACTGATTTAAATAATGGGCTTAAACTGCGGAAAGACAATGAAAAGCCAAAACATCCCTTGATGATTCATGTATTACATAATTAATGTCTTTATTGTTACAATACTTCCATTGAATTTTTATCTCATCCTATCTATTACTCCTAAGAGTGATTTCTTTCACGGAAATGGTAGAGCCTGAAGATACAGCATCTACTATACCTAAAGAAAAACTGCGGTTGGCCATTACGTCTAATTTATCAGTAACATATTAGATATTATGGATGCATGATCTTGTTGATCCTGTAATATGGAAATAGGTTTGTTACTTGTATATACTTCACTCTATTTATCCGAATTCAACTCTGTTGAGATGTTTTGGAAAGTTTTGAAGGAGCAGAGTCCAAAGAAGCTAACCTAAGCAAAGTGGAAACTCTTACTTCAAGAGCTGTTAAAGAAAGTAAAAATGATCCCTACTGGAACATTTGCAGAAATTCATCCAGCACCCCATAAATGTTTTTAATCTGTTTTACTTGATTGCCATAACAATGGTGTCAGAGAATCTAATGCGTACTATAGTAGACTAGCATAGTGTTGTAGTACAAACCCATTTTAAGCAAAATAATGATAACAGAGTTAATTATTCAAATATGTCCAATGCAAACTTGCTTTAACAGCATAATATACTACGTTTAAAGACAACATTTTCATTTTATTTGTTAACAAGATAATGTTACTTTTCTTGGTTCTCAAAATAAAATTTTGGCATTAACAGGATTAACCGCAGAAAGGTGAAAGCACTTCTAATTCCATAAAAAAAAGGGTGTATAGATGATAGTCCCTCCCTAACTTGATTCTAACATCTCAAAAATATATATCCCTAGAAGCTAGTAGAGAGTTGTTTCATGGCTGACGTACCCATTAAAAATGTTTTGACAGCCTCGCGGTTCCTCCCGACGAAGCCCAAAACTCGGGAATAAAAACTTCTGAGAATTGGACATGGTTCATCGTGAGAGCAGCCCATCTTCTGAAGCCCATAGCAAGGACTTACATCATAAAAGTAGACAAACCTATTTTCAGTGTGAAGATATACCTTATCGTTTAAAATGATGAAGAGAAAATAAGAAAGATAAGGATATAGTGTTTATACAGATCTTGTATCTCCAATTCATTTTCAGCTACATTGAGCTCTGTCATGATAGTAATTTGTACAGCATTTATCCTTGTTATTTCATTTATCTGATCAAGGAGTTAAATACCTCATATTTATTCCCAATATGCGGGAATAAAGTTACCATACTTTACCCCACTCTTGATTTAACATTGGGGGAAATGTGAAACATATAGATTTAACCCTGTTTCCTTTTTATAGAAAAACAGATCATTGTAATAATTGTCAGGTTACATAAATTATTATATTTGTATAGTACACATAATACTCAAAGACAACCAAGTGACCCTTTTCTAAAAGAGAGAGAAAAAGGGGAGGCATATATTTGTTTACACTAAGCGTCTCTTTTTGGTAACCACTTTAACTTAAAATAGCGTGGCTTAATATGTTGCTGATCATCTGTTATGGAAATACTTGTGCAGGCATATGACATTTTAGCTGTCAGTCACTCCTACAGCAAATTGTTGTTGGCGCCATTTTTATCTTGGATGTGGTCATACGTTTAAAGGCATTTTCTTTATTTATAAAATACAAAGTCATTCCTTCATTTTAATTCAGCAATGCTCTTTTTTGAAAAGTATTACTACAAGCCTCGGTGACCAACACAAATGGAGAAACGGTACAGATCCACATTCGAGCCAATAGATAGTAACGCTGACCAAATGAAGATAAAGGATGTGATTATCCTCCCAAGGCTCTTCAGTGGGCTTGTATTTTTTTTTTTTCTTGGGTCCTTTATTTTGTATCTTTCGTACTAATTGAGGGTATCAGTCCCAGTTATCATCTCCTCGTTCGCCCTTGATTTGTGCTGTAATGGTATCGTTGTCATGTAAGCTTGATGTACTTGATGGTTCATTGACTGATTCGCGATATAAGGAAGGGCGTATCAAGGGGTTAATATCTTTTTCTTCTTAGACGCTTTTAATGCATTAGAATGCATACTCTATGCTATACTTACTTAGTTCACATGTTCAAAAACAATAAAATAAAGTAATAGCTTAAAATAGCATGACTGAATACGTTACTGGTCGTCCATTATGGAAATACTTGCGCGTATTCATGACATTTAAGTCTCTCTCATTATTATATCGCCTTTTATGGAAATACTTACGCGTCCAGATGGGTATTTTGGACAAGAATTACGCATTCGTGTAACCTACAGTCAATGATCAGCAAATATATATATAAAACAAAGATATTTCAAGAAAGGGTCAAAATCATATAACAATCAACTTGAATCAAACAAACAAACGAAGAAAAATGACCATGAATAACGAACGCATCTTTATTGTTGGTGGCACTGGTACTGTTGGTGCTGCTCTCGTCCGTGAACTGCTCGCAAAGAATGTCCCTGTCACTCTGTTCGCACGTAGTTCTGACAAGGTTAACGCTCTTTTCTCAAACAATTCTCTTTTAAAAGTTGTTGAAGGGGATTACAACGATCTTACTCCTCTCAAGGAAGGCGTTAAGGGCCATACAAGACTGTTCCTTTTGGTGATGGGCTTTAATACATGCGTCGATATCAAGATAACTATTGCTACTTATGCCTACGAAGCTGGCGTCCGACAAGTAGTTGATGTCTCTAGCCTTATTGCTGGTGCACCATGGAGAATGACGTCTGTTGGTTCTGCTCATCGACGTGCCGAACAAGGTATCTTGGATATCCCTAACCGTGGAAGCTTTGTTGCTTTACGCCCTGGTAACTTTATGTCAAATATGATGTACCTCGAGTACCCTAAAAACGATACGGTCATTGATACTACCGACCCTGATGAACCCATGGGCTGGATTTCTCCTGATGATATTGCTGCTGTAGCTGCTGTGGTGTTGACAGAGGATATTGAAAAGCACAGAGATGCTGTCTACGAATTGAACGGTGATATCGTCACAGGAAACCAACGTGTTGACATCTTTTCACGTGCAACGGGTCGTCCTTTCAGTTACAAAAGGATCAGCATGCCTGAGAAATACAAACTCTATATGGACACTGGGTTCTTTTCTCATCTTGATATATATGATTTGCTTACAAAGAAGGCCAGTTATGACGCAAGACATCCTTTTATAACTGATGGCATAGAGATCCTGCTAGGCAGAAAGCCAGAGACCTTGGAACAGTTCATATTTAAGAACAAGCATCGCTTCGAATAGAAAGCATACCTCTTCCCTTCCTTTTGTATATGCAACTTCAATAAACTATAGACCCCTTTTTTTACTATGTTTAAAAATCATAATTCAATTACTTTTGCAAGCATTTATGGCTTGTCTCATTCAGCAAATAAGAAGCTTGCCAAATACAAAAATATAGTTGATTTATTCCTTTATGATCTTACAAGTCCACAAGAGAATTATAGTGCGCACCTAGCGAGTACAAGTGCTTATGATATCTATATCAAGTATTATACGTTAACGCTTGCTATTTGAAATCTCCAAAATAACTTACGCTAATTTAACAGGAGGCTTATCTGGATATTCATCATCACATATCTTTAGTACAGGTGCGCCCGTTTGAACGATATCTACAGGAACTTTTCTTGCTTTTGCCAAAGCTAAAATCTAAGGGGTATTCTTGTTAGTTATATGATATATACGCATATGAGTCAGATGGTGATATGATACCTCTAATTGGCCTCCCCAACGTGCTGTGTTCTCGACGTCATTGCAATATTTTTCAAAATCACCGTCTTCGAGATACAAAAAGGGCGTAAAGTCGTCGGCATGATTACGCATATAATCTGCTGCTAGTTTTCTAAGATCCTTGTATGAGGTCTAAGAAGACATTAATTAAGCATAAACGTTTATGGTTAAGCCATATTTACCTCTTCATTATATCTTTGTTTTAATTGATCTGCAAAGGCATTATATAAACTGATATATCAAGTTAATAAGCAGCATTTTTGTTTCAAACTTTACATGTTCCATTACCAGTGACCGTCTGCTGTAATCTGTTTAACTCTTAGGTTCATTGGAATCACTAATTCTCTAATAGCGTCGGCTTCTATAGCACCTTGATCTACTTGATTAGCTGCTTCTTGCTCAGCTTCTTCACGCAATCTCTCCATTTCGGCATTTCGCTTCTCTATTCTTAATTTTGCTTTATTCACTTTCTTAGCCTTTGGTTGCTGTGCCGCATCCGGCATCTTTAGTTGGTCATTATCTTGCAGCGTAAGTTCATTTAAGCGGTCTAAAGATATACCATCGTCCAGCTCATTCTACATGATCGATCAGTTACTTTTACTCATCGATTTAAGTCAAAGTGAATATACTTGTTGATCACTAGGATCTAATCCTGATTCTTTCGCTTTAAAGGCTCGAATCTCTTCCTCATGCTTTAATTTCAGGTCATACTCCAAGTCTGCTATACGAGAGTTTATTTCTCTCTTTTTTCTCTTGTCACTTTTCGGAACAGATTTGCGCAAGGCAATGATCCTGCCTGTAAGCTGCTTTTGTTCTTCTTTATGTCTTTCTAACAGTTCATCAAGGGTAAGATTCTCTTCTACTGTTGACATTTGGAAGAATAAAAAAGGCAAACACAGGGTGCACGAAGAAACGCATGAACAATTGGGTTTGGTTATTTGCACTGCACATTTGCATGGCATTCAATGTCCGCATGGAGACTAATGTTAGGCGCACGCCCTAAAAATGATATTGGTTACGTCACTTTTTTTTGTTTTTTCCCGATTTACTTGTACCCTCGCCACTTAAGGGAACTTTAAAATTTACGTCTTTATTTTATCGTCTTTGGGTTGAAAAACTTTGGTTTGTTGCATTGTTTCTTCTAGTATTATTTTCGTCAATTGCAGACAGTATCAGTTCTGCTCCCAATCTTATATTTGCTATTTGCTTATCAGTTAAACGGTATGGATTTTCTCTATAAGAGCGATAAGCAGCAGGAAGATTAGCCATTTCAGCTGTTAGATTATCCTGAGACGTAGAAAAATGTCCTGTAGCAACAACTCTGTTTTCAGCAGCATTGTTAATAGCATTAACTTGAACAACCGAGTCTCCTTGCTTAAATGATACGATGTTTTCTTATAAATGAAAGTAGGTTTTTGTATAAGTTATCTACAAATACGTAGACCTCGCAATTTACCTTTAAAAGGAGTTATTCCAGCATGTAAACGATTGAGCAGATACATCTGTTTACAAGCAATGTTGTTGTTCCTAAAACCGTTACAGATGCAGCTCTTCATTTCATTTTCCATTACAATGATTTTGTGCTGAAGTTCTACATTGTTGAACAGCTGGACTAGGTAACCTCCAGATGTACCACTTTCTGTAATCATATCAGGAATACACTCCAGGTTGATTTGATCGGCTTTTATTTGCCTCGCCCTTCTTCTTCTTTCTTCAGGGCCCATTCTACCAACTTTTAGCATCAGCCTTTGTATATTTTGGAGATAATCCTCTTCAACATCATTCACTAGTATGAATATCAGTCTGCCTACTCTTCGGTTCTGCTTTCTTTTTAAATATGTCGCTTTCAGCTGATTGTGCCAGCTTTCAATATAATTGCTGATCTCCATATTGGTATAGATAGCGGGCTGATATGCTCTTGCCCAGCGCTTGAAATTGTCATTGTTAAAATATGACATGTAAAGATAAGAGATCGACTGCGTATACGACCCAAAGTCAAGAAGAAACAATTGCAGTTTTCTATTAAACTCTGATGCATTTCTTCCCCATTAACGACTTCAAACTTGTGATATTTTTTCTGCGTTCAGTTGAATCTAGATGGGTATCGCCTGTCTTGATGTGCTCTTTTATTTTTGCCATCCAGGCACGAGCGACGTGAAAGAGAAACCATTGTATTTGAGCTTCTGGGTACACGGTTTGAGTAGCACTTAGCTCAATGCTAGAGATATCAATTGCTATTTTCTGGACATCTACATGACCTTGGCTTTTTACAAAAGATAGAAATTCAGTAATAGGTCTTACAGAATGGTCCATCGTAAAACAAAAAGCAACTGGACAACCTGTGCTTGTAAATGAATGCCTAACAACAGTAGTATATAAAAGGCAACGATCAACGTTTATTATGTTATGGGTGGCATCTAAGCAGAAGCAAGGCGTATTTAAGAGAAGATTCCTCTGCCATGGGAACATTGATCCAAAGGTGTAGCTATTATTGAAACTATCGCCAATGTAGGCACTGTAGCCCTTGAATTTAAGCTCGTCGATCCAAATTTTGATGGACTTATATTGGCCATTATAGCGCTTATATGCGTTCTCTTGTATACACTTGTACTGGTTGTAAACTAGTTCAGGATCCATCAATTGATCACGGTAAGTAATCTCACAAATTGATGAAGCATTGGATTGGTGATCAACAATGATGCGGAAATGATGAACACATTTCATTAATTCATGCTGAACGGACAAGCGTACATCTCGGCACATAAATCCTTCTTGAAGTTTCTGAAAGACGTATTTTTTTGTTCCCTCTGAAACAGGCAACTATTGAAAGCCTTCCTTGCTGCCAATAGGACCATGGTTGTGATCATTAATAAATGCAAACACTACTTCTTCCGGTTTAGACTTATAGCAAGTAACTTTGATGGTAGCAGGTCAGTTTATCTTTTTGGATGTCTTCTGCACTTCTCTTATTTGATCTGACTTTTCTCCTAGGTCGTGCTTAGGCTTTTCTTTCTCACCGGACTTATGACAGTAATATGTCTTGTACTAGAGATAAGGAGCATATCTTTTTCTTTTCTTGATTGAGTTGCCCTTTGCATCTAAGCCAGTTGTTTCCTGATCTTCAACTTGGCTCTTGGGCTTATAAAGCTTTCCGACGTTCCACTTCACTGCATATGTCTGGAAAAGTATCAACAACCTCTTGCATTTACGAAATAGGTACCTCAATGCTTTGAGGGATAGCCTTATAATGGTTGATACGTAATGTAAAAGACATGTTTATTGCGCTATCAAATGAATACAGTAAAAAAAGGTATTTATTATCATTGTGAATTAACTTTCAGGTACAGCGATTAGGGTGGCTTTTGATGCCTTAAATTACTGACCCATATATAGAAATTACAATTTTAAAGTTCCCTTTTGTAGCGAGAATATAAGGGGATGCTAAAATTACTCCCGCATGGACACTGAGTCGATGACGTGAGTTCAAAAGCATTTATTCTGATAAAAGCAGTTAGCTTGTACCACGCCGAGCTCTCCTTACAATGATGCCATAGAATCGAATAATTATATTTTTGAATTAACAACAGGCTAAAGCGAGGGCTGTGCTAAGCACCTTCACTTGGATTTATTAAGTTACTTTGCTCTTGTTTAGCACTGTGTTTTTCGTTGTCGGTTACCTCAATCAGTTCCTTTTGATCATGTCAGCATTCTCAAACTCATCGCCTTCTATTGTATGATAAAATAAAAAAAAAATGTAGCATTGAATTGTTATTCTGATATTCTTTTATTTGAAAGTCATTTCTATAAAGTAAAGCTACTCGTTCCTCTAATGGCTTTGCTACTGGATCCAACATGAACAATGAATTCTCCCTTTGGCACAGCCCACTCATGATACTTTGTATCATAATAACTAAGTTCTTTCTTTTTCAAAGTAAATGTAACCTCCTTTTCTTCTCCAATAGTAAGGTATATCTTTTCAAAACCTCGCAGAATCTTTGGTGGTTCCTGTGCAGCTTTTGGGAAGGTCAAGTAAAGTTGAGCAACCTCTGCTCCATCAAATTGACCAGTGTTCCTGATTTTCACATGCACTGTTACTTCAAGATTGTCTGGATTCTGTTGACTTCCTCTGATATGGTCAATCTTCATTTCTGTATATTCAAACGTAGTGTAAGACATTCCATAACCAAACTCAAAGAGGGGTTCTATCTTTTCTTTTTCAAACCATCGATAGCCGATATATATTCCCTCTGAGTATTTAAACTAAATAGCCAAGCTTTTAGTTGCGTGAAAAGCTTCAAGATGCATGCTTCCTTACCTCCATCTGTTGACTGACATTAGCAGGGTAATGATGTGCCTCTCTGGCTATTGTGTATGGTAGTCTTGCGGATGGGTTAACATCTCCAAATAATATATCTGCCAAGGAATTACCAGACTCTTGCCCAGGTAATCCTGGCCAAACAATTGCCTTTACATTAGGGTTCATTACCCAAGGCATAAGAATAGGACCAACCGAGTGGACGACAACGATCGTGTTTGGATTGGCACCTGCTACAGCATGAATCTATATGGAATTGGTGAATACTGTTGTTTGTCTATTTTTCTTTTTCTTTACAAGCCCATCACCGTCGTTCCATAATCGAAGATGCTTACGATCTCCTTTATTTCCTTCTACTGTAATAAATTCTTCTCCAGAGTTTGCGTTAACAAATACAATGGCAATATCTGCTGATGCTGCTACTTTTGATGCAAGGTCATAATTATCGTCTCTCAAGTACTCTATAATTTCTATGTTATTTCCGGCCCTGTTACGAATTCCTTCTGAAGGCTAAACATAAAATATAAGAAGACATGGTCCCAACATGCAGAAAAAAAGAAGTTACCGTGATTAAGTAAGGGTAGTTGGCTGTACCAGAACCCCATCCTTGTGCTAAGGTTCCTTTGTTACAACCGTGATCTTCACAGTTTAATTCACTATTTTAATGTGATTAGCAAGTGCATAAAAATAAATTAAATATGCATTTACTCAGGGTTTGGACCTGCATCTGAGCCTATGATTGCAATCTTTTTAATACTTGGTTCCCTCAGCGGTAAAATATAGTCTTTGTTCTTTAACAAAACAGTCGAAGCAGCGCCCATCTGTCTAATAGCTATCTTGTGATCGCCTTGAACATTTACATGCTTATCATTTTTTGGCCTAAAGCTGTCAAAATTGATTTCGGGGAAATTCTTTTAAATTGAACGGTTATCCTATTGATCTTTGTTTCTCTGCTTATCTCTCCTACCTTGTCTTGTCCAACCTATAATCAAGAAAGGCGATGAGTAACAGGGATGAGAAAATAAAAAACAAATAGGCTACCTTGTACCAAGCAGCAATGATCCTTGTTGCCATATCAGTTATTCTAGCTTCACTAACTTGTCCAGCACGCACAGCCTTTGTTAAATTGGCGCCAAAGTAGGAGTCTCTTGAATGGAACGAAATATCACCTTTGTAATAATGAGAGCAAAAAAGACAGGTTAGCAGCCATTCTGTATGCGAACAATAAAGTTTTTGCTGTTTTTACCTGGCATGGTCATATCTAAACCATGGTTTGCACTATCTACAGTCGAATGCGTTGCAGACCAGTCACTTTGAACATACCCACGGAACCCAAGCTCTCCCTTTAAGAGCTTGTTGATGGTATAGTCGCTTTCACAAGCATAAACACCGTTGATTTTGTTATATGCACACATGACTGAAGCAACACCTGCTTCCACCGCTCGAGCAAATGGCCACAGATAAACCTCGTGAATTGTTCGTTCATCAATGTATGCAGAGTGCTATACACAGTGTCATGAACTTCATCTCCTTTTTATACGAAATACAACTTACCTCATTTCTATTGGTTTCTTGTTCATTTCCAAGTAAATGTTTAGCGACAGCCATCTAATCAATGTATACATCAGATATATGAGTGTGATATGATATATTATAGAATATACTTACTACGCCCTGGCTTTGAATACCAACAATGGTCTCAGCGGAAGCCACTCCGACCAAAAAAGGATCTTCACCGAAGGCTTCCCAATTCCTCCCACCTGTAGGACATCGCAACATATTCATCGAAGGTCCAAGTTGGGCATGAGCACCCTTCGCGCGGAATTCTGCTCCCATATATTCACCACGCTTTCTGATCGCTTCTTTATCAAACGACGCAGCTGCATTGATTCCCGCCACACCTGAGCTTATACCGTCTGCGAATCGAACGCCCAAAGGGGAATCTTGTAAGCAGAGTTCAGGGAAATCTGGGTTGGTCGTTCTTCCTGTATTTCCAACGCATGGGCCTGCTTCCCATCCTATTCCAGTAGTAATGTTCACTTTTTGCTCGAGCGACATTTGCTGAACGAGAGCTGTTGCCTTTTCGTACGCTTCATCCCATGAGCGCAGAGCCACTGCACCATGCCTGTTGACTGAATGATCTTTAATTCTGTTTAGTTTATTTGCAACTAGTATTTTATGCGTATATGAATTAGCATCCTCTAGTTCGGCCACACTTGCTGCATGAACTGTGCTCATCTGATACAAGACGGCAACTGCAGACACTGAAAGAATGTACAATGGCTTCATATTTTTGTTTTTTTTGTAAAGAAAAAAGACAAAAATTCTTTACAGAACTACTGTTAAATTAAATAGTATTATGAAAATGACTTGTTCTTCATGGGTTAAAAATTCCGTTCAGTGGACTATCGGATAATTCGATGTGTCATTTATTGTAAATATTTTATTAAGCAAACACTTCGCCCCCTTGTTCACCAACGAACGCACTGATCCTTTTAACCTGGTTATCCCATTCCTCAAGTCTACGTCTCATTCCGTCAATTTGTTCTTTGTCTAGAACGCGTGGTTGCACCCAAGTGACAACCACAATTTGATCTACTTGATCAATGGATCCACGGATCAAGTTTAAGGATAATGCCTTCATGACAAGATGTTCTACTTCGTCCAACGAAAGACGAGTTTCTGCAGCAATTTCTGAAAAGGGAATTGAACGGTTATCTGTTGAGCGAATGAACACTGCTTCAATCAATGACATCAAGCAAATCTTTCGACGAAGGGCAGCCTTGTTTTGTTCAAGTAAAGGTTGCTTGGGGAAATGAGGGGCCAAGGCTTCAAACTTTCCAATGTCACCAGCGTTGAAGGCAAATAACAGAGATCGAAGCCAGTCATGCTCAGTTCCAGAAAGTGAGTCAAGAATAGGATGCATCAACTAAGTCATTTGTTTAAAATCCAGCAATTGTTTTGTACATCATTTTCTAACCTTACCAATTCACCAAAGTTATATATCATCTCTCCTAACAGGGCAGAGAGTGACAGGTCATAGGCTCTTTCCATTCGTTCCATCACAGTCAGCTCTTGAATGTCAATACAAGATAAATACAGCAACGCGTTCTTGTAATACTGTGCGTAATTTGCTTGTCCTTTATAATACTCTGCGCTCACACGATAAAAGCTGGCGTAAATGCTCGTTTCTACACTATCAAACTTGTCCAAGATTTTTTCTGATTCATCAATGGTTTTCTTTACTGATTCGACTTGGCCGGTCTTTAATAAATAGTGAGCAACCTCCATGGATGCAAGCACGTAAACATCGTGAGTTTCAGGTGTGTCTACTTTCTTTACAATTTCTCTCATAAACTCGGCAGATTCATTCAAATCTGTGCATCTTTAGATCATGAACGTAAAAGAATAACTTCACTTACCTGAAAACTGAGTAGCTGCCTGTCTTGCAATAGTAACAAGAGAGAGTTTATTGATTTTGTCTTCCCACTCGGCAACAAATTGTTGAAAAACTGGAATCTTGAACGAATCTGATTCAGGTTCTTTAAAGAATTCGAGGATCTTTAAAGTGAGTTGATGCCACAGTCTGAGTTGAGGGAGAGTAAGTTAGTATCTAATCTATCTGTCAAGCCCAAGTGTCTTACTTTCTCTCATAATAATCTTCAAAGGTTGAAAAGAAATGTTGTAAGTGAGAAGGTGCCTTTTGTCTTGTCTCAGCGAGAAACTTGGGTACGTCAAAGTCAATTTCCATGTGTTGTGCCATGATGGGTTCTTTTTATAAAGGTGTAAAATGGTTACGAAAAGTGGATTGCGCGTCTTTTTTCTCTTCTTTTCTCAGCTAGCGGCCGAATCCAGCCATGATGACGTAAGTTGAAGATGAGCGCGCGTACTAAGCGGTATTCAAAAACAAGTAGTTGATCTCGTTTTCTTTTTGATCAACATCCTTTACATTAGTCTGAGTTTCACCTTAGCACCATGAGAGACCTGAAAGAGTCATCACTAAAGTTATTCTGCTGCGAAAATAGAGTTTGAAACCCCAAAGGTTACTTAGTAGTGCTACTAGACTGTCTTGATGCACATTATGAAAAAACGTCTCCTACAAAAGGCAATAATCCTCAGTGTTCTTTGCCTCATTGACACTAGCTATCCAAATGTGGATCTACTCTTGTTGAATAATGACAACAACAAAGGTTCGCTTAAGTAGACTTCGATAAGCGCTCTCTCTCTAAAAATCACAAATGGGAGATGAAGATATTTATACAAACATTCATCATGTTTTTAATACAAAGATTTGCTGGCTTTACTATAATTCATATGAATATGTATACAGTGCTTCCAACAAGTAATGTCACAGGCCAATCAAAATCAATGTCATGTTTTTAGAAATCATCATAACTCTTGACACTCGAAAAGGAGAGTGAGTGTTTTTTTCTTCCGGTGAATGGGTGCATTATCCATGACTATATAGCGACCTTCCATATGTGCATGTTTGTCCATTTCATCGTGGTTATGTTTGATGAAAAGTAACCAAGCGAGGATTGAGTCAGCTTGGTCAAAAGCACTTTTGCCGTCAATCAATACACTTAACGAGCACACCTGAATTGACAAGGAGAATAAGAAGGAATACATGTTACTGCATTGTTTTTATTGATACGATCGACCAATGGCGACCGATACGATTGGTATGGAAAACTAGAAAATAAAAAACAGTTACAATTTCCTGTTCGAAATGGATCCCAAAGATTGTCGTCGTTTTATAGGAAGAGATTTTCGTTTTCCTTGTACAGATTCAAATGGCAACGTCGGTAGCTGAGCATTTGTCATGGGGACCTTCGATACTGTACGGTGGTATACGGCAATTTTGAAGAGGTCATCAAGGGCGCTTATCACAGACATTATGTCATTCTTTGCCTTGGGTATGGTAACTGTCGCAAGTTCAGTGAACGTATAGATACGAGGGTGAGGGTGTGTTAGTGCATAGAATGTGATTGTTGTTCCAAGGGCTTGAAAGCACAACACACCGGTCAAATTGCTGGTGACGATCTCCAGTTTTGCAAACACTCCCAAACGGTAAAAATCCATAATTGTCGATACATCTGATGATCCTTCATCCTTCAGTTCCCCAAAGCATGTACGAAAGGATGGTTGGTATTGTTCGTAGATGGTAACTTCATAATCGGATCGTCGTCCTACATCCGTGCCGATTTCAAAGATGGTATTCGTACATTTAGCCATCTTCTCATCCATTTCATATGCAAGTAATGATTGGATAAGGGGATGAACAATTGAACAAGCCAATTCGGATTCGCCAATTTCGCCAGCATCCAACTCCTTCATAGTAGGTAAGAATGATTCCACCGCGGCAACAATATTTTGTCCTGGGTCAACTTTTTTTCAAGTTACGCGTTTTTGTAATACCAACACAGATGAAATGCACCTGTCAACAAGTGAGGACACAATATTAGCAAAATGCTAAATCAATTTAACTGAAAACACTTACAGAAGATCATTGAAGCACCGATCAACATCCATATTGCTTTGAAAGTTCGACAAACACGAAGAGAAATAATCATGAAACTTGGTGACAATGTTTGTCTTCTGTACTATCCAAGGTAAAGCATCATCAAGAACAGGAACCTTGAAACCATGTTGATCCATGTGTAGTTTCAATTCGTCTTTTGAAATGGTATAGTGCTCACAACGCGGTGTCGTGTTTACATAGATCACACATCTCTTAATTCTCTATTTATTCATTCTCAGCTAATAGACGACGTCAGACATTTACAGTCGTCATCCCTCGTATATATTCAAGTCGTATCCTCATTTATTAGTTCCTCTCTCAACTTTAAAATAAAGAATAGTAATTGTTAGCTATTGGCTCCTACTGTTCTATATATACATAAATACAAGAAATACAACACGCGGGCATGCAAAATAGCGTACATTTGCATTTCTTGGGTTTCTGTTTCCAGGTTTTGCCCTGTAGATGTTCGTAGGCAACAGAATGGAATGTTGATTGTATATGTGCATTCGTGTTTTTGATGCGTAGTGAAAGTCGCATCATCAATGCAAAAAGGACATAGCTTTTCAATGATTGACATAGTATACCAAGGATATGATACAAACAAATGAATAATGAATGCACTAACGACAAATGCTAAAGTAAATGTACAAGAAGGAAAAAAAAAGGGTGGGGAACAACAACAACAAAAAAAAGACATTGGACATAAAACATTTAGGGGACCGTGTAACTTCACACTTTGTTTATCTCATCAAACATAACCACACCAGCCTAACACCCACTTGGTTACCTTTCATTAAACATAACCACACCAGCCACTTTTTTTTTTTGGCTTCTTGAATGAGTCGTTAATAACTATTACATGGGCTCTCTGTTTCGACATTTAACCCAGCATTTGTAAGAGTGTGAAACGAAACCTTTAAAGTGATTTTTCTCCACACTTTTACAGGCTTCCGTTATTCTTTTAAATGAAGTGTCTTCTTGCAAAGACCTATGGCGCTTCACCTTACTCTTTGCCGCCGCCCAGAATTGCTCTATTGGGTTAAGTTCAGGAGAGTAAGTTGGAAGATACACACATTTATATCCTCGATACTCAATATACTTCTTTATGTTTTCGTGGGTGTGAATGGGTGCATTATCCATGACTACATAGTGACCTTTCATATGTGGATGTTTGTCCATTTCATCGAGAGTTACTTTTAAGAAACTAATGTAGCAACTAGTTACTGTTCCTGAGCTTATACATCCGTCAGCCTTTCTCTTCTTTGCAGGTCTAGGTTTTTTTTACGCCGACGGTAATCAAACCTGCGGCAGAGACAGCACCCAGTATAGACGTTGTGTTTGCTCTCGTAGTAGGTCTGGTAACAATAGCGCGAGTGCCTTTTTTGGGCCAAGCTCTTGAGCGTTTCATATTGATATCAAAAGCAGACTCGTCAAGAAATACACAATTCGTCAGGAAGTTCATGTCTGTATTTTCCCAATTACAAACCCAATTGTACCGTTCCTATGCTGGACTGTTTCTCTCAACAGAATGAAAATCTGCTTTTTTCAACTAAAGGTTGCATTCACGTCTCATAAAGTTATTAACAGTACTGCGTGATACTTTAAGGTCATGAAACTGCTTCAATAAATGCTCAGTCACTTCAACAACAGTAGCAGAGGGATTAGCATCAATGAAAGTGATAATAGTCACTTTATGTTCTTCAGATAAGATGCACTTACGACCTATTTTTTTTGCAGCTCTCAAAAATACTATCAGGACACACATTATACTGGCTAACCCATCTATACGCTGTTCGAATGTGAATGCCCAACTGCTTTGCTGCAGCTGATGCACTCATACATTTTTCAATCTTCAAATCGAAAAACCTAGCTTTATCCTGAATGGTATAACGCACATAATCCCGTTTTGGTCATATGAACATCTTCATTTTTTGGTTTTTCTAACAAAATTGGACACGCCATAGAAGATTCATTGGGGGCTGTAGTTTCCAAGTACTCAGTATGAGTAGCAATTGTCTCGACAACAAATTCATTCTGATCAACAATGTAGTCTATGGGCTCAGGACCACCATTCTCATCAATAACATTCCTATGTCCATCTTCATATAGAAATAATGTAATGCTGAATTGTTAAAGTATTGAAAAAGAAAAAATACCGGAAGAAAAAAACACTCACTCTCCATTTATATTTTTTCGAGTGCCAAGAATTATGATTTCTAAAAACATGACATTGACTTTGATTGGCCTGTAGCATTGCTTGTTGGAAGCACTGTATCTTGTCCAATTGTGGCAATAGATTCAGATTTGGACACGTCTCTTTTGGGAATCAAATAGGAAAAAAGAATTGCCGTGGTCTTCTTGCTTACAATAGACATAATGCTTGCTTTGAATCGGTAAATTTACCAAATGAAAAATGACTTGAGAGAGTACAAGGGCACGAAAGATAGGATCAGCGATACCATCAAGATGTAATTCATTTCACCTATACTCCTAACACACAAAGAGATGTCACCTTTTCATTAGATTAAATTGATAGCCCGCTTTATCCAAATTAGTAAATAAATGATTTGTGTGTCCCTTCTTTTCTTTCTCTTACTTGTTATTCTTTTTTTCTCCAAGAAGAAAACAGTAGGGAATGAGCAAAGCCAATGATGAAAATGGGAACAAGAAGACAAGAAAAATAAGCTGCATGCCTTGCCGTATAAAAAAGACTAAATGCGACGCACAATTGCCTTATTGCACTCGATGTATTCGAAACTCTAGGGAAAACAAATGTGTCTATCCAAAACCAAGAACATTTGGGCGGCCACCGAAAAATTCTGTGTTCCAAAGAAACCAAGATAATCTAACGGCCACTGCGATGACCTGTAGGGAATTTATATTTGAGCAGATACCTCATAATTCAAAAACGTTGGCAGCGAAAGATCCACTGATCATAGACATTGAAAAGATATATAGAATATTTATCGAAAAGGGTGACTTTCTCAGAAACAAGATATGTCACCATAATCCACGATTAAAGCTAAAGATAAAGAACCTAAGGCAACACAATTCCCTCATCGTCTCCAACGTGATACATCTAACCATCAAACGATCATGCCAGTTACTCGAGTTCAAAAGCTACTTTGATCCTGAACTTGCAATATCTGCATTCACAAAAGAACAGGATGCCGATCAATTTTTCTTTACCAATCATGTACATAACAACGCCACACCACTAAACTCTATACCGACCGATCAAGCCATGAAGCTGATCCACTTTTTTTTTCAGTCCAATCCTCATTGTATCTTAATCAACAAAACTCGCTTGTTAGAAAGATATTGGAAAGATTCGGCTGAGCCATTGTTACTGTCTGTTATCTATGGTACTACCATCAGTGTAGGACAACACATCCTAGAAGGAAAACCATTCACACTTCATCAATGCACAGCGAAAAGAAACCCGTTCTTGGACTATGCGTACATACTGTATGAACAAGTCTATGCCAACAGACAAATCTCCCTGGGTAACTACCAAGCTATTGTTTTATTAAGTCTTTATGAAATCAGTCTGGGGTATTCCAAACATGGAATGACCATGCTTTCGTTTTCGTACATGATAGCTGCTGAACTGGGCGTGTTTGATGATCAAGGCATGCGCGCATCTATGGACCTGATCGACCGAGAGCAGTTGGTGACTACCTACTGGACTGCCTTCAGTGCCACATCTCATGGATGTTTAGAATGTAAGACCATAAAAGAGCAACTATAGTAAATTAATCAATATGTATATCTAGTGGGATTTCATGTCAGAGAGCGGCTCCTGTTCCACAAGCAGCCATTCCCTCCGGCAACAGCAAATACCTCAGCATCTTATCAGTATGATCTAATCAATAACAATCATGGACCAACAATAAGAGCTTATTTTATAGAATCTTTTCATGTGGGCATGGTTATCAACTACTTTAGCTCAAAGATAGCCATATGCCTACCCACCACTAAAGACAATGTCTTTGGCCTTTCCGTAACAAAGTCTGACAGAAACCTGGCGTTATCCCTATTTCATCATGACGATGAGGGGACGATAAAGTACAAAATTCAACTGGTTTTGAATGACTTTTCCATTTTTATCGAACAGGAAAAGCATCAATGGACACCCAGGCAGCTCTTTATGATTGAGACAACGCATCAACTCTATCGTATTCATTTCAGCTTTATCAAGTCCAAGAACACGGGGCTACAGCTGAAGACTGTGAAAGAACTAGATCTGAATGATCAAAACATAGTGCGTCTTTTACAATACGCCCTACCTATATCCTATACCCTGACCCACAGCCTAGATCAGTTTATTCAACAAAGCTGCCAAGTAGAGAGTGAAGAAATGTTGGATATGCTGCCTATAGGCTTAATGGCAATTACTTTAGAAACAGTTGCACAGGTCTTCATCTATAACTATCTTTTATCCAATGAACAAGAAAAGGTTCTGGATCATTTGAATCGTGCTTATTGCATCTCAAAAAAGAGTATCTGGAGACATTGGACACCCATGCGATCTATTCAAAAGATGCTAAAGGACTTTTTAAAGAACAAGCCAAGCGATATCTTCCAAAAACACTTTACTGTGCATGAGCCTACAGATGACATCACTTGTTTTTTATTTATGGATGATGAAAGAACGAGTTCACCAGAGATGGAAGCAACGTTCTTGAATGATATCAATTCTTATTTTCAAAACATGCTTGCATCAGAAAACGCCAGCTTGTATTTTTAAAGAAAATCATCCAGAAAACGAGGAAATTGTCAAATTTTATTTTCTATCAATGTGCAAAGCTAACTTTTGAATAAAGCGTGTATTTCATACCTTTGCTCAATTATTTGAATATAAGGTATGATGATCATAGATTAAACATCAATTTATTGAATTGTCGTCAATGAATATGGATTTTTGAAAGTCGTGAAAAGTACTGCATTCAAATTTATGCAAGAACTTCAAAAGCCGAATGTACTCAGTCCCCCTCCCCTTTTGTGTAATCATTAGCATGCGTGCTTGTCTTGGGAAAATGACAACATGGGCCAAAAAGAAGAAAGACTAGCTTATCTTTTTAACATCACTGCAACCATGAAAATAAATGTAAAGAAAAACACCAAAAGAAGAGTCAAAAGATACACCACAGCTTACTATCTCTTATTTCTTTTCGTTTCACTTTGCTTTTGTAAGTGCTTGTTGTAAGCACACAGGATATGGGGAAGGGCATGGATCAGTGAGTTTTTAGTATCCCGTCTACTGTACATTTAACTCCCGCTAATTGTAGCTGTCAGCACTGTAACCATGGGCACTTACGGGAAGCAAAAAAGATTCTGACACAAAAAAAAGGGCTTTGTCGGGTCGGTATTACACAAAGGGATATGACCATAATACAACGCGCATCTGACCAAAGATGTGTGTGTATGATAGAGAACTATTTTTGTGAAAGGTCACAACGTAAAAATTGATTGCAGATTACATGCATTTTGTTTTGAATATTTAAGGTAACCTTGGTAACTTTATCATAAACACAATGTTTTTGAGTGATGTAAAACAACAAAAAAGCGATGGCTTATATTCCCTTCTTTTCCCGAATCAGGTAGAAGGAAGGGTATTTTTAGCTGCAGGGGGAGGGCCAAAGGAAGATGATTGAATGCAAAGTTTATTAAATATATACAATTTTAAAGATATATTTATTATTCGTTTTGATCACTGTTGTAAAAACAGTACTTTTTTAGAAGATCTAAATAATCTGATGAATTGATATCCATTGAAGCAGGCGATAACAAGAATATGGAAGATGGTAGTGTAGGACTTGCAGGAGGAGTGGCAGCAGCGACGGCATCATGATTGTCATTATGGTCAGCATGAATGTTGGTATCGATTGCAGTATTATTATTATCGTCGTCATGATGATCCGTAGTAGTAGTAGTAGTAGTAGTAGTAATAGTTGTAGTAGTAATAGTTTCTGTTGTTGTAGTAGGAATATACATGTTATCCAAGATATGAATATGATCTGGAGGAGGAGAAGAGGGTTTGATGAATGGTTTTGGAAATAGTTCGTCATTGTGATTTGAGGTAGATGATTTCTTAGCTTCAGACAAAGACTGATTGAAATTGTATCTTGTAGCAAGGAATAGCTGTTGATTCTTCTTTAGATATAATGGTTTTGCGTGTTGATAACCCTTGAGAGCATTTGTGAACTGATTGTGTCTTTCCATTTCCTCTTGCTCTTCTTCCTCTGTTGGGTAATCGTCCTCTTGTTCATATTCATCAATGTTGTATTGCTCTTTATTGAGCGGGTCAGCAATGATCTTAATCTTATAGTAATGACCTTGATTGTCATCATAGTAATCTCTTGTGCCAGCAGTGACTCTGATACCAAATTGTATTTTTCCACGTATTTCACCGCGATCAGCCAGCTGACCATTTCCAATATAAATTAAAAAATCATAAATATCAAAGGTTACATTCTTCGGGTTTGGACCAAAGAAGGTAGCGTCGACCTCATTTGTAGATGACCAATGATCAAATGTGTACCTGATAGATACAAATTTATCCAAAGCCAAATTACGCACCATCAACTTTCCTTTAACGTAAAGATTATCTTGACTCACGGAAAAGCTAGCCTTGTCGACTAAGATGTGTGAATTTGTTCTTCTCCAGTTGGGACAGATGATTCTCAACTTGGGTTGTTTGTCTTGAACTCTATGTAGTTCTTGTGGTGATTGAGTTTCGCTAAACAAACAGACTCTCTCAAGGAAAATCGAATCAAATTTAACCTTTTTTTTCTTTCTTGTTGCGGTCGTTATCGTCGGTATCTCCTTGATCAAGTCTTTTTCTTCTTGTTCTTTCTTATTCATGTCCTGAATGATCGTTCTTTTGTTATTCCCGAATACACTAAATCTTGGCTGAACTTCAGGTTTTTTCTTTTCTTTCACTGCTATCGCTGCTGTTGTCGTCGTTGTTGCTGTTGGTTTATGCTTGTCATTATTGTCTTTTTGATGATGAGTGTTATTGTTTGTCCAAGTGGAGTGTCCCCATCTTGTTTGACTTCTTGGAAATGCTGTAAATGATGGCATTTATCTATAATTTTGATCTTTCTATACAATAAATATTTACACTTGAGAATTAAGTAAAAGAAAGAGAAAGAAAAAAAAAAAAATTGAATATATCAAAATACACACAAGACTGGGCTGTGTTCAGAAAACGAGTCATTTAAGCCACTGTGACCCCTCTTTTTTATTATTACGATTT